CTCTTTTCTACAGAAGATTGGCGAAGCTACAACTACTGGCAGACGCTCAGCAAGTACTACAAGTACGGTAATGGCAACGACATGGGACCAACACAAGGTGTAGGATATGTCAATGAACTTATTTCCCGCCTGACACGGAAGCCCGTCAAGGATGAGACAACTACGAACAGCACGTTGGATTCCAACCCAGAGACGTTCCCCCTTGACAGGGCTTTGTATGCGGATTTTAGCCACGACAACAGCATGGTCTCCATTTTCTCCGCTATGGGTCTGTACAACTACACAGGCAAGTTGCCGAAACAACACATTGTGCCCGCCGTCCGGGCGCATGGCTACTCGTCTGCGTGGGTGGTTCCTTTTGCGGCGCGCATGTACGTCGAGAAGCTTGAGTGCGGTGCTACCAAGGAACAGAAAGGCGAGGAGTATGTGAGGGTGTTGATCAATGACCGAGTGATGGAGCTCGACACATGTGGAGGAGATGAGTACGGACGCTGCACGTTGGAGGACTTTGTAGAGAGTTTGTCGTTTTCTAGGGGAGGAGGACACTGGGATCGATGCGATGTTTGATTTAATGTTAGATTTAAAGTAGAGAGCGGTTAATTGCACGTTATTGTTATTTTGAGAGGCTAGTGTCCGCTGCAATGGACTGAAATAGAACTGAGACGCAAGGATCGTAGATTGAGTTGGAAGAGGAATACGAGGTTTTTAGGGCTAGTAACATGTTGTAGTTCAACAGCGAGAGTGATTAATGGATAGTACCATAGTCGCCTCTTTAGGAGAAAAGACTAGTATCGCTGTCTATCGAAGTGGTTCATGAGCTCACTGATCTGGAGGGTTTAGAGTTTGCTCATTCGGTGCCATGGCTCAAGGAACTTACCATTCAAATGCAGCACACAGCATCAGCGCCAAGCTCACTGTAAGCAGCCCCTGTACCTTAGGCCCTGGCCCGCCCGTGCAGCCGTCCATTGCAGTGGGCTACCGAAGCTTCCCGTCAGACACGGGCCATCCATTGATTTTGCTTAGGCTTGCTTATTCCTCATAACTGATGAGTGAGATCGGATCTCCCAGCAATCTGGAAAGCACCCGACCTTGAGCACAGCCACCTCACCCACAGACAAGCCCAAAGTCAAACAAAGGGCCTCGAATCTTACATACCAGTCTACCTAACTAAAACATCCGTCTTTCAAACCTTTCTTTTCTACGGCGATTGTTTCGTCAGCATCCAGATACGTCTGTCCACTGGAGCAATCATCTTGACTTGCGTCACCAGGACTCGTGCATTTATCCATCGTCATCACACGATTGAATCGCATCGCAGAACGAATTGTCTGGGATACACAATAGTGGGATAACAGAAGATGGTGTCGACGGCTGGAGGCATCGTGATTGCAATTATCGTCCTGCTATTCGCAGGCGCCGCAGGATGGTTCATCTTTACACAACTGCGCGCCCGCAGACTCGGGGTACGTTAATTGCCCTTGCTTCTCTGCTCCCGAGCAATCAGAACTGACTTCTTTCTACAGCTCCCACCCCCAAGCTTCACATCATATCTACCATGGCATAAAGAAGACGACGGCTACGGGCCCCCGCAACCTGCACCAGGAGGTGTTGTCGGTTGGTTCAACGATCAGTTCCGAAAGCTGAAGAACCGCAACAACCGATCCGCCGCAGGCGCTTACGAGCAGTCCGGTGCATCCCGCGGCCGTCGCGGCTTCGGTCCTCTCGATCCGGACGAGGCATGGGACTCGCGCGTTGGAAACGAAGCCGACCAATACGGATATTATGAAGAGGAAGTTGGCGGCCGTGGCCGAGACACCGCATACGGTGGAGGCGGCTACAATATGAACCTTGCAGCAACACCGGGAATGTCTGGTGGACGAGGATTTGGTGATGGAGAAGAGGACCGAGGCCGCAGGGCAAGCAGGAGTCCCACCTCAGGACCTGGTGGACGAAACCCATTCGATGACGATGCTGCTGCCACGAGTTTGCGCGGCGTGAGCCCCCGACCTATCGACACAGGATACGGAAAACCCAAGAACAGAAGTGGTAGTGCCGAGAGCAGCCCGACAGAACGACGGTCTGTGTTCAGAGAGAACATGTGAGAAGATATGGATAAGTTGTTTGATTTCAGGATGAGACGAGACAGGAGCTACGAGGACGACGGATTGTTTACTGTTTTGCGTTTTCATTTATCGGCCTTCGAAACGTCTCGCTGTTGTTGTGGCCTGGGTTTTCGCTTGGTGGAGGAGCTCTGATATATCATGACTTTGTTATATGCGTGTTTTCTCTTAAAATTGGCAGTTCGTGTAACATTTGTATAACTTATGGCGAGGTGGTTTTGCCTTTGAATCAATGGCGTTGCGATATGACATGTTGGCCTAGCCATCGACGGATCCCATCGTGACCAATTCATAGCAGGGCAGGAGAACAACGCGCAATTCTGTTTCAGATAGAGCAATTCGGTAATAGGAATATCACTTTGAGTGGAAGCTCTGGATGGGGTCTTGTCCGACCGGCCCCGGTTTCCGGCCCCTCCTCGCAGACGTCAGGGTGGCCTGGTGGAGCTTCACTACTTAAACGCTTACCCTTGTTGGGACAGAGACTCTTAATCCTATGTAATATGGATAGCAAGCGATACCTGCAGAAGCCCAGTCAGTTACTACTAAGGAAGATGACATAATGGATGTGTAGGAATGGTGATGGGATTCAATAGTTCGCTTGAACTATTTCCTCTCTTGTATCTAAGGAGATTTCTAGACAAGTTGAAGGACTCAGTTTCTCCGATCCCGGTTAGAGGACCAGTTATCATCATCGTCCTAGTAATATATTCCCCTCAAGTGCCCACGCTTATCTTGTCTTGACAGGAAGCCAATTGTTTTGAATGTGACACCCCATTGTGGTAAAAAGGCCGCGGCTGATGAAGAAAAGCTTTGATGTCAGCTCGTGGGACTGTGTACAATTTATATTGCTGATCATGTGAATTTTCTGTTTCCAACTTTCAACAGCTCATAATTCAAAAAATCAACAATAAAATAACCTATCTCGGGCAGATCAAAACTAAGTTATCATTAGGAGAAGTGGCCGTGACAAATGAACTTTAAGATAAATACGCACATTATTCCCCCAGTTGATAACATGGTTGATAACACAGTGGGGGAATCTCATGAAGGAGGGAGTAGAGTTTAAAGGACACATGGCTTAATTGATCATACCTCGCCTTTGGCTTCGTGCTTCCTTCATATTGACTTTAACTTTACAAATTCGACTTTTTCGTTACCCATCCGAATTTCCGTAGAGCTAAGGCAGCTGCCCTGTCAGTCAAGTTGTACTGGGAAACACTGTCTTGAGAGGAACCGTATGGAAGTTCTATGATCAGTCTGCGCGGACAGATTAATATTTGTTGATAACTTTAATAAAACTATAAGGTCGTCTTCCTACAAAAATGTGATATTTAGAAATATATAAACCTATCAAGATCTACGGAATTGTTTTGGTAAATTTCCGATCATAATCGTCTTCCGTTATATACATAATATATGAGAGGGCAAGTATACGATATCTTGAAGCCCTTTTAACAACTTGGTCAAGGATGAGTAACCTACCGCTGAGCTACCCCGCCGAAATGACATGGGGAACCCCTCCATAATAAACCTGCTCCGCCCAGTCTCATCATAACACTGTCGAACTGAATTATACATTTTAGCCACGGTAACCAAACAATGGCAGAACTCGACCTTCAAGCTGTTCACGATGAGCTCGTATCGGTGGCCTACGAGGCCGGAGCCATGATATTGGAAGCGAACCCTGCTGAGCTTGACACCGATACTAAGCTCAACTGTATGTCTCAGTCGTCCTGGCCTTGACGATACCACTGACCTGACCCTTTTGTGTAGCCGTCGACATTGTCACTGAAGCAGACAAGGGTGTCGAGAAGATGGTCTCGACCCGACTATCATCATCTTTCCCCAACATCTCTTTCATGGGCGAGGAAACATACAAGCCTGGCATGAAGCTTGGCCCCGAACCAACCTTTGTCGTAGACCCCATCGACGGTACCACCAACTTCGTCCATTCGTTCCCCAGCGCCTGTATCTCTCTCGGCCTCGCCATCGATCGCAAGCCAGTCGTTGGCGTTATCTATAACCCCTGGCTCGATACTCTCTACACCGCCATCAAGGGCCACGGTGCTTTCCTTACACACGGTCGCGGAAAGCAGCCTCAGCGTCTTCCTCTTGCGCGCTCCCCCCGACCCATTGAGGGATTGGGAACCTCGCTCGTCGCTATTGAGTGGGGTGCGCAGCGTGACGGACCAAACTTTGACATCAAGGTTGAGGCATTCAGAAAACTTACAGCCAGTCGCGAGACGGGCGGCTCGATGGTGCACTCCCTACGATCGATGGGATCTGCCGCACTGAACATTGCTGCTGTTGCGGCTGGCCAGATGGATCTGTACTGGGAAGGTGGCTGCTGGGCGTGGGATGTCTGTGCTGGATGGGCAATCCTCAACGAGGCCGGCGGTCGAATGGTGCATGGAAACCCAGGTAACTGGGATCCTGAGGTCGAGTCGCGTGTGTATCTTGCTGTGCGCGGCGCTCCAAGTGGTCAGAAGGAGCTTATTGAAGAGTTCTGGGGAGTCCTAGGAGACAACAAGCTTGATTACTCTATCTAGAGTCTAAGAGTTATGTAACGAAAGATAATGAATGCTTCAACGAGCGGGATTCTAGAGAAAACGGATGCAATGTTAGAAAAAGTCACTTGCGAACAGCTTATCTATGATGATTTTTGTCAATTTCCACTAGCCACATTTAGAGCTATGATAGACAATAAGAAACACCCATTGCTCCGTAAAAAGTTCCATGATACAATTGTAGTAAACGAGCATTGTGTCCTTTGCTTAATAATGACTTTCCCAGTTCCCGAAACATCCCCCCCTTTTTTTTGTTTAAATGCGTGGTATCAGCCAACATGAACTTGTTTGGTATTCCTTTCTCTTCCCTGGTTCAGTTATATGGTTCTGTTTTGACCTTGACCCACTCGCCCTCGACATCAGATTCGGACTTGACTTTGGGTTCAGTCTTGACCTGGGGAACAGGATCACCGATAGGTGTATCTTCTCTGTCGTCGATGGACTCTTCGGATTCAATCTTGACCTTGACCTACTCGGTCTTGACATCAACCTTCTTGGCGGCGGGCTCGCCGGCGGGAGCCTCTTCATCGCGGCTTCGCTTCTTGTTATCGCTAGACTCGTCGGCGGTGGACTGGATGCGAGGCATGGTGCTGTTAATGTTAGCAGATGAGCTTGATAATGGAGTCAACGGGGGAACCTACTCGTTGCTGCTGTGCTTGACATCGTCCTTGGCCTGATCCCGGTCACGGCCACCATCGCGTCCGCCACGACCACGACCGCGACCTCGACCTCCACGGCCACCGCGGCCTCCTCGTCGGTCCTTGAAGCCGTTCTTCTGGTCGTTGTCACGGCGCTGCTTCCAGTTGTCGTTGTCGCGGCTGCCGGAGTCGTTACCGCCACGTCCGCGGCCGCGTCCACTCTTGCCAGATTCCCTACCCTCGTAAAACTTCTTGGGCTGGGTCTGGTTGGGCTCGATCTTTCCTTGCTTGATAAGCTCGTTCTTCTCATCGCAGTAAGCACGCTTGCTCATGATCTTGAGGTCATGGTCCTGCCACTTGGGGGCGGGCTCTGTCTTGAGGAACTTGTTGGCCTCCTCCTCATCGGCGAATGTAACAAAGACGGAGCCCTTGAAGAGACCCTCATTTGTGCGTCGAAGCTTGATACCCTTGACCTCACCAAACTGGGCAAAGAAGCTCTCAAGATCAAATTGAGTGTTGGGGGTTTCGTCGCCAAAGCCCTTGACATAAACGGTGGCGGCCTCAACCTTGGACTTGGAGGTGTTCAGAGGCTGGTAGGGGGTCTTGCGCTTGAGCTCCTCCTCACCCTCCTCACCGGAGAGGTCGAGTAACTTGCTGTCCTTGAGAGCAGCAATAACGGCGCTGTAGGGCTGGAAGGTTCGCATGCGCTTGAAGGAGTGGATAGTCTTGACCTTCATGGGCTTGTTCTCGGTACCACCGCATGACTCCCACATGAACTTGTCTTGAGGGAAGTTCCAGTCACCAAAGTAGAACTCGACCTAGAGGAGTCAGTACGCGCGCCGTGGAGTTTTTTTTTTTAAAAAAAAAAAAGCTGTACATACCTGCTTGCGGATGGCCTCAGGGTCGTCAGTAACCTCACGGACAGAAGGGTCGAATTTGCGGTTGTTACGGGGGTTCTCGGCGTGCTTGGCGGTGGTCTTGAGAATCTCCTTCTTCTCTTCAGACTTCTCCTCTGAAGTCTGTGTGGTCTCCTCAGGCTTCTCTTCGGTAGACTGGGTAGTAGGGACAGCCTCGGCCTCAGGCTGGAGAGCCTCGACAGGCTTGGGGGCTTCAGCTTCGCTCATTATGTGTTTTTATCGAGAAGTAATGATTGAATATGGTATGCGATCGCGATAGTGTAATCGATACAAGCTGAAAAATGGAGCGTTGTGGTATGTAAAGGAAAGAAACTAGAAGCTAGGTGAGAAGGAGTCGCGAAAAATAGGTACCATAAAAAGATGGTGGCGGGGTACGGCAAAAAAGAGTCATCGGCGTACCTACACTCAAAGTTGAGTTTGCAGCTGCCTAATAGAGACTTACCTAAGTATTGTATTGTTTGATTGAGATTGCAGAAGAATTGATTGTGCAATGTAAAGAGGTTGTTGCACAAACGCAAGTATGCGATTGATTAATTCTGCCGGCGCGAGAGAAAAAATACTTGAAAAAAACCATCCAGAGGCCCATCCTTGGTTTTGCGATTTCACCGCCCGCCGCTTTTAGCCACTCGGCGCGCTCTGTCTCTTTGCTAAAGAGAGACTCCCCCACCGAAGCCGACCCCACTTGCCATTCCCTTGCTTTTAGCGCTTTGACCGTTTGTCCATTGTTTGTATTTCCTGTCAGTTTGTGGTTGTACGTGATTTTCAAAGCCTACTAATAAGATAGTAGGTACTGGCCAATACTGACTTTTGTAATTTTTGTATGGTGCAGATAAATAAAGTACTTTTGTTGATGCTTCAAAGTATGATGACTTGATAAAGCTTTTTTTAATTTTATTTTTTATGTTTTTAAGAATTTCGCTCCAGTTGGAACATTTCTACTGTGCTTGCTTAGAATTTAGTACTTGTTCCATGTTTGTACAATCATGACTGTCCTTAATGACAAAGTTGTTCTAGAAGACAATTGAAATAAGGCAACTAGATTGATTAAATAAAAATAAAAACTCGAGTCATTATTCAACTATCAATGGCCGTGGATTCAACAATGTAGTCGTCATTAAAGATGTCTCGTGATATCAGCACTATCGATAGATCTCCACGGAAGATCTAAGATCTGTTTCCTTTGCCAAGATAAACGTCGAGCTTCGAGTCTTCCCACCACCTCAAAACTTGGCAGTAAAGCAGATTAAGTTCCCGCGAAATGAAAGCGCTCAAGTTGACCGTTAGCCGTGATTTGATTGGGTCTTGACATGGTTGCTTGGCTTGAACCAAGCTTTCTAACCATCCAAGTTTCGACCGGACCTGAAGATCCGTGGCACATGTAAAAATTGGCAGACACTGTCCGAAATAAGCATCTTTACCACATTTTTGTTACAAGCATCGGGAATTTTCGTCTTTTTTTTTTTTTGCCTCTGACTGACCCATGCATGGTACCACCCTTGTCTGCCTGCCTGTGCGGGAGTGTCCGACGTGATTGTGATCTCAGACATTAATAGAGCGATACTTGGAATAATCTCACACTTACTATAAATTCTCAAGTACCACTCTAGTGTTATCTTCTTAACCCCACCTCCCACTTTTGCAGGGAGCAATTTGAGAATGACATCAGCCATCGTGAGCTATTCTCAACAAGTTGCGCAACGCCGTGTCATATAAACCTCCAGTGTCCGACGTAACCCGCAGCATCACAACACCTGTGTTCTAATCTTTTAACTATCATGTCAATCTAATTCTTCACTTTCTTTCAAACACTGTCAACTTCCATATAATCCTTTCGCGACAATGTACTAAGTTCGGACCTAGCCACAGAAAGCATGTGCGCATAAGAAAATCTCCAACGAATACCAATTGAGCTCGAAAACCATGAGACACTATCGTGGCTCTCTCAAGAGCCTCCATAGAATCCCCTCTCGATTCAATAATCTCACACGACTCCCACGAAGGCGATTGACGCCTCGCCAACACCGTCAATTTTGGACTTCGCATACCAAAGGTGATGCCAAGCAAGAAGAACAACAACGATCGACGTTGCCAGTAGCAGTAATCACCGGCGGACTTTTCATCTGGTGGCTTTACCCTTCTGACGACTTTGCACAGCTCTCCGGCAAACAAGCAAGATTACGAAGCGACCAGGACTCAAAACAAGACAAGAGCCGAGATACGAGTCAGAACTCCGAATCAGACTCGGACCAATCGGCCTGGGTCAATTTCTCTCGCCGTTTTGAGGCCTTCTCCGCACTGAACAGTGTTGAATTCTCCTCGTTTCCCGATAAGATCGTCAACTCGTTACTCCCAGAATGGTCCAGACTCATACCCGGATATGTTCGCAAGTTACAGCGCGAGCTATCCATGTCACCAGGCTCCTTAGCCGACGAAATTTGGCGAGACGCCCATGATCCATCAATAAATCCCGAAATCCAATATTCCGCCACAGTCCGAGTATCCCCAGACATTTGTGACGAAGAGAAGGAGTATTTATCCAGGCGGAAACGAGTTGCCAGAGTTGGCCTGGCCAAATACCTTGGACTCAAAGAGGATGAGGTTCACCCGGACGATGTTCCTACAATCGCCATGTGTGGCTCAGGAGGAGGTCTGAGGGCGCTCATTGCAGGAACAGGCTCGATCCTTGCGACAGAGGAAGATGGCCTATTCGACTGTGTGACATATACATCGGGCGTGAGCGGCTCATGCTGGCTTCAAGCTCTGAACCTGACCTCGTTTAACCAAGGGAGCCTCAAAAAACTCATCGAACATCTGAAGGCCAGGTCTTCCACTCACATTGCTTACCCACCCGAGGCATTCCAGGCGCTTGCCTCTATGCCTACCAACAAATATCTTCTGAGCGGTATGGTTGAAAAGCTCAAGGGTGACCCGAAGGCCGATTTTGGCTTGGTTGACGTCTACGGCGTTCTGCTAGCAGCAAGGTATCTGGTCCCTAAAGGAGATCTCGGCGTTAATGACCGCGACTTTAAGCTTTCAAACCAACGACAGTATGTCCAATATGGACAGCTCCCACTACCTATCTACACTGCCGTGAGGCACGAAATTCCTGACCTCCCTGAAGCTTCTAAACAGGGGCCTATAGAAGCTGAAATCGCCAAGGAGAAAGCCAGGAAAGAGGCTTGGTTTCAATGGTACGAGATCACTCCCTACGAATTCTTTTGTGAAGAATTCGGTGCCGGTATTCCTACCTGGGCCCTGGGCAGGAGATTCAAGTCAGGTCGCGATATCGCTCCAGAGGATGGTTTTCATCTTCCCGAGATCCGATTACCGTTACTCATGGGCATCTTTGGTAGTGCATTCTGTGCTACTCTCAGCCATTACTACCGAGAGATCAAGCCTCTTGTTCAAGGGCTAACTGGTTTCGGCACTATTGATGAATTGATCTCGACACGAGACGATGATCTGATCAAGGTACATCCGATCGACCCTGCCAAGATACCCAACTTTGCCTATGGTATGCACGGAAAACTCCCAAAGACAACTCCTGAAAGCATCTACGACAATGAGTACATCCAACTCATGGATGCTGGAATGTCCAACAACTTGCCCATTTATCCTCTTCTCCGACCCGGCCGAGATGTTGATGTTCTTGTCGCATTTGATGCTTCTGCAGATATCAAAACTGATAACTGGCTTTCAGTCGCAGACGGATACGCTCGCCAACGTAACATCAAGGGCTGGCCAGTTGGAATTGGTTGGCCCAAGCCAGGGGAAGCCACATCTCAAGTCGTTGAAGAGCTCGATGAAGCCCAGGCCAAATCTTCACGTGAGGCGGAGAACAAACTTCGAGAAGCCAAGGAAGAACAAAAGGAACTGCGCCAAGAAGCTCATGAAGAAGGCAAACAAGTTATGGCCGAGAACGACAAAACCAAATTCGAGCACGGTGATCAAGAGTCCGGCGATTTGGGATACTGCACTGTCTGGGTCGGAACAAACCAAGAGCGCAGTTCTAAGCCACCTCCTCCCTCAAAAGCATTATCTGGTGATAACTCGTGGCAACTGATGGAGCCGGAGGCCGGCATTGCCGTCGTCTATCTGCCATTTATCTCGAATGACAAGGTACCCGGCATCTCTCCCGGCACCACGGACTACCTCAGCACATGGAATTTTATCTATACCCCTGAGCAGATTGACAACGTGGTTAAGTTGGCACGAGCGAACTACAACGAAGGAAAGCAGCAGATCCGAGATACCATTCGTGGAGTGTACGAACGCAAGAAGAAGCTTCGCGAGGAAGCTGAAAAGGCACAGCGAGAAAATCGCTATAGATCTCTTGTGAGGAGAGGAGAGGGTGTCCGTCTGGGCGAGGGCGACCATTTCAGTTGAGCCTGTAGTGGCAAAAATCATTGGTAAAGGAATTGTTTTGATTCATAAGACCATGTATCTAGTATACCCATTTGGGCGTCAGGGACGCAGCGTAATGCAAAAAAAAAGCTATTTTGACTCGCCATTGTCGAGGAGTTTTGTCATTGTTCTACATTGTATCGTACATTGACATTTCCCGACCCGATTCTCTAGGGTCCTATGCTCCCATGTAATTTTTATACACTGCCCAACCTGGGCGAAGAATTCATTATTCACATACAGGATCGACGCCTTACACCGTCCCTCCGCGTACATATATATCCAACACGATGACGCCTCTTTTTAGATAATCTCACCAATATCAATATGAGGGGCCTTCCAGGGCTTAGCACCCTGCTCGTGCATATCACTTGGTACCCTGACCTTGTTACCAGGGCTGTAGAGGTACCACGCCTTGAGAGCGTTCATCGAAGCCTTCCACCTAGCAAGGTCCAGACTAGCACCGGCGCCTTCACCAAGCTTCTCGGAGTTACTGTAGATGCCAACAACGAACACGGGAGTTCGTGAGTGACGACCTGTCTCACTCTCGAGGCGGGCAATGGGAGCTGGGAAGCCTTCGCGGGCACAAAGTAGGGCGAGTTCTCGTGTGGGCAGCTTGAACTGGAACATGGTGGAAACATCGACTTGTCGGGAGAGGACGTGAGACTTGACAAAGTCTCGGGCGGCGTCTTGACCGGCGTGGGTGTAAATGGAACCGACAACGGCCTGAACAAATGAAGAATGCGCCTCATGCTGGTAGTACTTGTATGCATCCTCACCAGTCTTGGGTTCTTGGATGGGATCGCCGAAATCGTCATCGAAAACCACTCGGCTGCTAATTCCACGGCGGGGCTGAAATCGGTCGGTATAGGCGGCCTCTTGACGCACATATCCCCATCGAGTTTGCATGCCTGAATCCTTGGGTGCCCATTGTAGCAGACCAGGATCAACCTCCTCGCCGGGAGCAGCAGCGGCCTCAACACCCCATCGACGAGCTATTTGATGCAGAGATTCCTTTCCAGCGAAGGCACGAAGAGCCTCATAGAGGATGGTCATTGGCAGACGAGGCCATTTGCAGACAAGGTATTCGAGGACGTGGTAGTTGATGAATGTGCTGCCGAGGAAAGCGAGGTTCGAGTTGTTGTAGCTAGGGTTCTCGTCGGCCGAGGGGACGACGAGGGTGCGGGCGAGAGTCTCGAGTGGGATCTTGTTGGAGAGGGATAACCGGGCATGGAGGGCAGCAAGCTTAGCCGACTCTACCGCGCGTTGGTAAGGAGGAGAAGGAAGAGATTGAGGTTTAGATGAGGCGTTCTCAGTTTCAGCAGCGGTAGCCGAAGTGGTCTGTCGTCGAGTCGTTTGCAGAAAGGCCTGTCTCGTGATATTGATGCCGCCGCGGGCTTGGGTTTGGGCCTGCAGCAATTGGCCGCCCCATCGATCGAGCCGTACCCGCTTCATCGAGCCAATTTATTTCCCTCTATCCCAAATATCTCCAAGTTCCCTTCTGTTCGTAATTGGGGGCGACGGGGGAGGGAATTGTCGCCTGTTCGTTTGGTCGTCGACGGGGAAAAAGTTCTGCGCTACAAGCCTAGAGGCTAGAGTCGTGTGAGCTGGGGTGTGGTTGGTCGGAACAACCTACGGCCCGCTGAGCGTTTCTCCCGGGCGAACCTTGGAAGCTTGGGATGGGGACCTCACCTGTTGGTAACCGGCCATTCGACATCAATTCAACGTCGCCATTGCGCACCCCGATCCTCTCCTTTACGTCCATTGATAAGTCATTCAAAATGGTAAATGATATTTTCATAGTCCTGCATGATCCTGCGCTGACAATTGACCTAGGGCGGCGGCGGAAAAGTCCCGTAAGTCTTCTCACGAACCGACGCACCGAAAGAGGCGACCGTATCTAATCCGTATGCTACGACAGTTACCCTAAGCACGTCTGGTCCCCAGCCGGTGGTTGGTACGCGCAGCCTGCCAACTGGCGCGGCAATACTCTGATTGCTGGTGTCGTCATGGCCGGTATCGTGGCTGTTACTTGGAAGTTCAGCTCTGAGCGAGAACAATGGGCGCACCGACCTGAGCCAGGTCAATGGTACGCCAGCCGACAGTACGTTATTCGGTCCCGATTTGCGAATGAGAGTGAAAGTGCTGACGTAGGAATGTAGCTGGTCAAAGCAGTTGAAGCAGTGGGATGCGGAGGACCGTGAGAACTCAACAAAGAGCGAATAGAGTCTGGATAAAAAGACCTGTGTATATTTCTGCGACAGCTGAAGACAACCTCGAGTTAAAGATCAATATTTGCGGCTCCTTGATGTTTTGTGGTGAAACCGAAGCGCTGATAACGTTTGTGAGGATTCTGCCTATGCACAATTGAATTGGAGTTTAATGGCAATTTTCGATCTCTTGGGAAGCTGGGCCACTACTTGTGATGTTCGACTTCACCAGCGTGTTGTACTGCTGGGAAGTGAGTGAATTGCTGGTTTACACATGTCTTGATGGGCAAATCAGAGCATTTCTAAATATGCTTATAAGAGAGGGTATATCCGTCCTAAATCCGCGCTATGGACATGGTTTTGGCGTAATGAGAGGCACAAAGAAAGCTCGTTGTGTCTGGATCTATACAACTCAACTTACCTTTATCTACTGGTAATTCTGTAAAGTCATGGATTCAAAGTATACAGGTGGTTTCTGTCTTGTAGAGCTTCATATTGGGTGTCATGCCTGGCATCCATGGATTGGGTAGTCTTCTCCTGGGACTCACCTCAACTAACTCCAAGAACTGACTGGTTTCATTCGATGCCTCAGATGATATAGAATTTGTGTGTATGATGTGCTATGTTACCACTAAGACATTTCGCTACTGGAAGAAGACCGCGTGGCGTAGTCTCTAGTTTGTGTGATCCAGCGATCGATCCTTGACATGAACTACTGGGTAGGTAGGTACCTTTGTATGTAGTAGAGCAGGACAGGGAAATAGATGGCCCTGAACAAGACTCTACCCGATTTCATCTTGGACAAGATTGAAGTTGAGCAGAGGTGTCCAGATAGAGGTAAAAGCAAAAGACTGTATATCTTTGTCCATTTTATGCGCAATTATAACTGTGCTCTTATTGTCTGTCATTTACGTATTGTAGTACAAGGTCAGGTAGTATCTTATTCTGCTGATTTCGAAGAAACTTCAACAATTTTCGACACGCTTCTGAGTATAAATTGGTTAATGGGGATGAATAGAAGCAAATGAAAGTAGTCTGAATCTTTTGAGTCCTTTGTATTTTAATATCCGCTCTTGTTCTTGCAGTGCTGAGAAAGACATAAAGGGCAGCGGAGTGATGAGTATGGGCACCAAACTCTTTGATATGATGATGGTGATACAGCCAATGAGTGTGCCTCATATCCTCATTGCCTGATCCGATGCATCATGACCAATAATAAGTGCATTTCATTGTGATCCGGTTGTGAATCATTGGATATCAGCCGTCCTCAAGACGAACTGTCGTACATCTAAGAGGCAGTACATCCAGCCCAGACAGCCTGCAGCGTGCCAGAAATGCAACACTTGCAATGCCTACGCACCTCCAATCAGTCTGGTACAAGTCTCGGGTCCAGGGGTACTTCATGGACGCAAGGATTAAACTGTCTGAGTCCACTTTAAGCCGCTGCCATTGAGGTCACTACCGACCCTTGTACAGCTCCGCTGGCTTATTGAGGCTTCAAGGCTGCTTTGCGTTGTCATCTTTGTATGCCGATTTCCCCTCTTTTGTATCGATTTGTTATCAATAACTTGAGATTGATGGGAGTTTGTTTTGTAAAAGATAAGATTCCACCGGCATTTGTTATTTGTTGTACGGGGAAACCTCAGGCCTGTCGTCACGTTTTGACCTGGTTTGACCTCCGATCTCGTTCCGCCAGTATCGACCGTCTTCCAGAGCCTAAGCCACAACTGTCAGTGCATCCAACCAACTACCTACAATACCTACACTTGACCTACCAAGCTCCTGTACCTCAAGGTCCTCCCATACTCCTCCATTCCTACGAGACATCACTCTACCTCTTTTCTCTTTTCTCTCTACATTACGCTCTTCATTTTCTGTTTCTTACCCTTTCTGTTCACATAACACTCCTCGACTGGCCCACCCTTGTCTTGGCACTGCATCACCGTTATTCTTTGCCGTTTAGGTCATTTAGTTCGCCACCGCCCTAACGCTGGATAACCAGACCATTACCTTTACATTGCCAACTTTCTTAACGATAGCCTCGTTTGGGTTCGAAAGGGGGCTGACGTTTTCCTCGTCGTTTGTTCAACCAGCACGATCTGACTAACGCATCACCGCTTCACGCGAATTTCCAACCTCAACATCCGGACCTGCCGCAAGAGCTTACCTCACTCTAGCGCTCGGTCCATTACGCCATACCTCGGCCATCGCTACAAACGACTTCTTATACCAACCTTCAGTCTGGCGTCCCGAGCTTTTCGCCTAGCCGGCCTTGCTGTCGGCCTTGGTTTGAGTGCCTTGACTGCCTATCAGCGCAATCAAGCGCAACAGATGTCTTCTCATGCCGAAAGGCATGGCCACCTCGACGCGACCGCGGGGCGTGAGGTAGTGTATTGCCATGCCTGCACCAACGAATGGTATCGAGATGAGGATGGCTTGACATGCCCCGAATGCCGTGGGGAGATCACGGAGATTGTAAGACTTGCACCAGACCCGTTACATCCCCCGCTTGCTGACCATGAATCTTTAGATCGACCCTGAGAACGATCCCCGCGACCTTGGCCACCATTCCTCCGGTTCTACTTCACCAGAGCTTCACCCTTACGATTCGGACCCTGATGAAGCCGATATAGATGAACACACCAATCAAGGCTTTGTATTTCGACAAAGCATTCGGGAGGGACCCGGTCACCATCACCACCATGATCCTGCCTATGTTCCCACTTTCGAGAGCTTTGTGAATATGCTTAACGAATTCGGAGCGCGGGTACCTGATGGCAGATCGTTCTCCCATGGACCTGGCGAGCATGGTGAACATCAAGGTCACGGAGAACACGAACATCAGGGGCATGAAGAACGAGCAGGAGAAGGAGAACATGCTCAACCGAACTTTGCACGTGTACAACGGGCGACTTTCACTGGACCCTTTGGCTCCGGAAGAACTACCATAACAATGATCTCTACACCTATGCAAACAACCCACACTGGGCCCCCTGGTGCCTCTGGTGCCGCAGGACTCCAAACATTCCAAGAGTATGCACAACCCCTTCTGCGACGCCCCGACGGACCAAGGGGTCTACGGGTTACAGCCATTTCATTAACCACGGGAGCTAACCAACGTCCCAGCATATTTTCAGACATACTACGCGATGTCGGGGCACCACCAGGTCATGAGAACGCTGGTGAAGATGGCACGGGTGGTGTCCATCCACCTGGCTTCGGTCGAGGACTACAAGATTTGTTGAACCTCCTCACCCCAGGAAATGCTGTGCATGGTGATGCAGTGTACTCTCAAGAAGCTCTAGACCGGATCATCACTCGGCTCATGGAGGCCAATCCCCAGTCAAATGCGGCGCCTCCAGCTTCAGACGAAGCCCTTCGGAATTTAGAGCGTAAACCTGTCAACAAGGAGATGCTGGGCTCTGAAGGTAAGGCAGAATGTACCATCTGTATCGATGAGATGAAAGAGGGAGATATGGCCACATTCTTGCCCTGTAGTCATTGGTTCCATGAGGAGTGCGTCACACTTTGGCTGAAGGAGCACAATACGTGCCCTATTTGCCGAACACCAATCGAGAAGAATGACCGGGGTGCTAGCAATAACAGCGGTAACAACAACAGCAGCGGTAGCAACCAGTCTCAAGGACCAGCTTCAGGACCTAGCTCCGACCGACCGAACCCTTTTGCAGCCCATATGCCTAATGCGTTCAACTCTGGTTGGGAGACATACAACTGGACTTCTCAGCCTCACAACCACTCGCGCCCGGCACAACACTCACGACCCCCTAGTCAGAGCCAAAGCCGCATCAATGAGGTCCTGCGAAATATCTCACAACGAGAAGAGAGAGACCGTGAATATGACCGCGAGCGAGATCGCGCCACAACATCTGGGTACAGTTACGACACCTCTCGACTGCAACGTCGCAGCTCCCATTCCCCCACCAGTCCTCGTGCGCGAGCTCCTAGTGAGCATGGCGCGCGTATGAGACAAAGAAGCCCTTCCCAGAGCAGTCGACGATCGACGGCAGATTCGGACCAACAATCTCGAACTGGCGGTCACGGTCCCATTAGCTGGCTCCGTGGCCAATTCAGTAGAGGACCAGGTACCGGATCACCACGAGACGGAAGTCGGCAATAGGATGGCCACTCACAACCCTTTGGAGGAATCGCATTGGGTACGATATCAGACGTCCCGGTTCCTCGTTTGTTAGCTAGCTGGATTGAAGAAAATAAGAGGCTCATCAGGCGGGTCGCACGGAGGAGAAGACATGCGGGCATCATGGCACTTTGATACGGCGAAACAGGCATCGGACTCTGGAAACAGAACACTGAGCTCAAAGGCTTAACGTTTTATGTACAAATAGAATAGATCGTCAAAGGGGACGAGGGGATGGATTGAAATTAAGCTGCGAGCGGTATTGCTAGTTATATAAATGGACGTCAGGGATACCCATACTGAAATGAAGATTGAGATTGGCCACTATCGCTGTGATATATGTTACTCTGGATTAAAGACGAGCTAAGCGACAGCCAAGTTTTTGGAACATCAGTATAACCTTTGATACCACAAAAGGCACTAGAGGTCCTTGACAATAGGTAAACACAACAACTCCCAACCCTAGATAGACAATGCAGAGATTTCCTAACCAGATACCGCCTAATCAAACACATCCGTAGCGAAACGCTCGTTTCTGCTTCTCTCAAACCAAGCCCTTGCCTTCTCCTCTGTCGCACCCTTTCCATCATGTGTTTCTTCTGACCTCTCCATGGCCAAACGAACACAGATATCCTCAACTGCCTTGCCGATCTCGCGGCTTCCACAGATGAACACCTTGGCGCCTTGATCCCACACCTTGAACACGTCGGAACGGTCGTGGTAAATACGATCCTGGACGTACTTGCAACCTTCAGACTTCTCGGTAGCTCGAGAGTAAGCACGGCGCACATCCACAGCTCCCATCTGCTCCCAGCGTGCTAGCTCTTCGGCATAGAGGTCATCGTTCTCAGGGTCGCGACAGCCGAAGAAGAGAAGAGCAGGAGCAAGCTTTCGGCCGGCGGCAAGCATAGCGGCGCGCTCCTGAATGAAGCCACGGAAAGGAGCGAGGCCAGTTCCAGCGGCGACGCAGATGATTGGGGTGGTCTCGGGGTCACTGGGGAGGTGGAAGGCTGCGCTAGAGGCGCGGACTGAGACGTGGAGTTTGTCGCCGGCGATGAGTTGAGAAAGGAAGTTTGTGGCGACACCAACATGGCGACCCTGGCCAGAGAGCGAAGGGGCGTCGAGTAGGGAGTATGTGAGGGTGAGTCTGCTGGGGTCGGCAAAGGGAGAAGAAGAGATGGAGCTAACAATGTTAGTATTTCGTTCTGTTGCAATTTTTGAGATGAAACTTACTATTGTCGGACTCTCATGGGGGGAAGCATGACGAGATATGAGCTGATGGGAAGCGCAACAGCTGGGTATTTCTCAAGGAGGTCCAAAACTGAGACCTTCTTGGCCGAGACGTCTTCTTGATAAGCATCACCAGCAAGTCTCTCGAGTTCCTGGATGATCTTCTTGTCCTCGGTTGCTTCGGCCAGAGCGAGGATGTTCTGGAAATGTCAGTAGAGCTCAAATGTCAGTGATGATTGCACATACCCTCTTGGTAGCTGGCTGCGACAGCTCCACGTAAGCACTGAAAACGTCAAAGGCAGAAATCGCGATATTGGTAGGCAGTGTAGTGGGACCATCAGATTGAATCTTCAAGAAAGAGTCCCAAGCCAGAGAAAATCGTCGGAAGACTCTTGAGACTGTCTTCCTTGGGTTCAGGGGAAGGATGGCGAGGTAATCACCAGCCTTGTAGGTCATGCCCGAAGGAAGCTGAATCTCAATGTGCTTCTTGGCGGGACCAGACTTTGTAAGTGTCTTTTCTGATACCACCAGAGCTTCCTCGACGTCTTGACGAAGAGTGGTCTTTCGCGGTGTTGTCACTTCGACCAAAAGACCTCTTTGTCCATTGGCCTCATCGTCTGTGACGTTGTACTTTTCTTTGAGAGCGGGCCAGAGAACAGTATCTTCCCAAGCTTCAAAATCACTGAACATGTCACTTGTAGCAGCGTCGGCACTACCCAGAGGAACAAGACGGGTACCGCCTCGCTGTTCGAGGGTAGTGTCGACGAGCTTGGGGATTCGAAGGAAGGTATCAACCCAGTCGTGGTGGCCACAGCCAAAGACGGCGTAAGATACCTTGTCCATCTCGTTACCGCTCAGATCTTCCATCCACTTGATGAAATGGGCGGCATTAGAAGGTGGCTGTCCCTCGTATGAAGCAGTGACGATGACGACGGGTCGGTCTTCGGGGAGGTTCTGCTTGGCCTGATCCAGGGTACCAACGATTGATGCGCTGAAGCCATGACCAGCCGCGTCTGAAGCAAGTCTGTTAGCGAGAGCCTCGCAGGTGCCACTGTTGGAACCGTAGTAAATAGCCATAGGCTTCCCGTTGCTGGCCTTGGCTCCCTTGGATGCAGGAGTCTTGGTGTGGGAAGCGATGCTAGTAGCAGCACCCTTTCCAGCCAGTTGACCCTCAAGGTCCGTGGGGGTCATGCCATGTCGCAGAGTACAGTTGAAGAAGAAGTTGTCAGGCTTGATGGTGAGGTTTTGCTTAATTTGCAATTCGTAGTTAGGATCGGTCTGTGTAAAGTTGAAGTTTTGGAACAAGAGGGCCATTGCGAGGAGACTTTCTTGCCACGCGAAAGGTCTTCCGATACAAGCTCTCTTACCGTTGCCGAAAGGCTTCCAACAGTTGGGGAACTCCTTGTTCAACCTGGCGAATTCTTCGTCAAGCATACGTTCGGGAACAAATTTTTCGGCATCAGGTCCGTACACGACGGGGTCTACGTGCCCTCTTGACAGGACAGAAAGGACAGTTTCGCCCTTCTTGATGAGGTATTTGCCTCCGAGGAAGGTGTCTTCGATAGCCTCGACACCAAAACCGGTGATCGGAGAGCTGATTCGGAGGGTCTCTCTCAACACGGCGCTGAGGTAGGGGAGCTTGGTGAGGTGTTCCACGGTGACAGGCTCGCGGCCGATGACCTCGTCAATCTCCTTTTGGAGCTTGTTGTAGGCCTCTGGGTTCTTGAGAAGGTGATACATGGCGAAGGATAGTGTGCCAGACGTTGTTTCGTGACCAGCGATGAGGAATGTGATAAGTTGGTTGGTGATGTTGTCGTCGGATAGCTTTTCGCTTGTTTGGGGGTCAACGCCCTCAAGCATAGCAGTGAGCAAATCCTTTCTATCAGTGGGGTTCTGCTTTCGTGTCGCAACGACTTCATCTGCCACTGACTTCATGAGAGCAATGTCGGCGTAAAACTTGTCGTTGGCTGCGCGGTAGAGAAAGTTGGGTGCGAATGCAGGTCGCCTGTTTCTGTTTCCTGACTCAAGTAGGAAATCGCCCATCGCTTCAATAAAAGGATGCAGTTCCTCCTTGTAGTATGAGTTGAAGCGGAAGTCCATGGCACAAAGAGCCAAGGTGTCGAGTGCCAAGCGAGTGAAGTTGTCACTGGCGTCAACTGGTGTGTGAGGGCCATGGCGAGCCAGCTTCATGCACAATTGATTGGCAATCTCATGCATTTCTGGAAACATGTTTCTGATACTCAGAGGTCCGAAGGCAGGAATCAGAATTCTATGTGCCTTGCCCCAATTGGGCTCGTCCTCGAATGCTGTGAATAATCCATCGTGGACACCTTCTCGCACGACCTAATGACGCTGGTTAGTGGTGCCTTTTTGTTTGTGGGTGGTATAAACAAACACTAAGAACAGACTTTAATGTCTTTTTGAAGCGCTTTTCGTCGCAAACCTCGTTGATAAAGGCGTTGCTTGAGACAAAAGTGGGCGTTTTTGCTCCAAGATGCAGTCTGAAGATGGGGCCTGTTGAAGGTTTAGTGGCGGTCAAAAAGCAAGGCGAGTGAGGTCATTCACCATAAGTGTCGGCCAGACGGTTGAGATCATTGAGTGGGTTCGTCTTGAATTCACCCAAATTTCCAATGAGAGGATAGCCAGGAGGCTCAGGAATGGGCACGGATTCAGCCATTGTTGTGTGTGAAGAAAGGTGAAGATGTGGGATGGATGAAAGAGTATTCGTTCTCTTAAATATCAGCACCTAGTCCAGCTAGATTACAGAGCTTCAGCTCGTATGAGGCTTGGCGTGTCTGTGTGAAGAAAAGTTTCTTAATCGTGTTTGGTTAGTGTGGGATGTGTGTTGACGTGGATCAGTGAGGGGAAGGACGACTGGAATTCCGTATTTAAAGTATTTTGCATTTGTTGAGAAGACATGGATCTCCTTTATATTCTGTCTCAAGAAATAGCTACTTTGATAAACGTCATGGCACACGGCGAATGCCAATACCGACGGACTAAGGAGCCTCAAAATGACCCAAATGTTCTTATTCTAGACTATGCATCAAACTCCGGCCCCGTCCGTATCAAGTGCCGGTCATTTTGACCAATAATGGGGGACGCATTGCATCAAGCTACTCAACTTGGTAACGTTGCCGTTTCTGTCTCTACTGTTCTCCTATGCCTCGGCCGAAGCCGTGTAGATCCACACTTTTGCAGCACCGAAATCCGTCTAGCGGCGAAAACGGTAGGATTGTATTCCCGAATCCCCTTCCCAATCTCTCCAACGGAGATGGAAACGGAGATGGAAACGGAACTATCAATGAGAGTTTTCGAATGGCTTTTCGAAGCAAACATTTGGGAGTTTGGAGTTTGCTTGTCAACGTAGACCAGTTTGAGTTAGCACATTCCTCATTCATCATCTGTCTTGGGTCTAGGGTCGGCTTTGCCTCTATTGCACTTATTCCTAGCCAAATAAAAGAAACACTGCACAGAAAGAATACTGACAGCATCTACTAGGTCTCTAATTACGCGATATCATCAATATCGGTTCTTTAAAATGCCACCTTGGAGTCTGCTTGAACGGCCCGTCGGCGTTGTAGATCCTCGATCGGAGTTTATAGACCCCCGGTCCTCCGATCTTTTGACATGTGCTTAGCGTTATCAGTCACTTTAACTGCGGATTGCTACTAAATTGCTTGGCTTATCGTCCTACGACATCAATGCTCTTCATTACCCACCACATATTTATTATAACGACTCCAAGTTCAATGTCGTCAACTACGTACGCAGGTTGGATTCGGTTGAGGGTAGTGTGAAACAGAAAAGCTGGCCTTTGAGTTATGGGGTACAAAAATAAATAGCCTAAGAAGTCTTGTCTAAATATCATAAACTAACCTAATAATTTTGTCCCTTTTGCTTTCAGCTCCCAAGTTTTCTGTTACCCTGAGGCGAGGCCACAGCCCGGCACCAACCCTATTTCTTCATTACCCTCGTGTACGTCAACTCGGACTCTCCGCCGGCAACAACCATACCAGCCACCTGTCCTATTTAGTCTCTTCACAGCCTCAGGCGTACTTTTCAAAAACAGCCTATAAGGAACACCATCAATCATTCTAAGGCTGATTGCATCTTTACAGAGTATGTGGCACAGTGGTGAAGCATCCAAGTTTATCATTATTACTCAATCAAACGCCAACAAAATGTTGCCCACATTATTCATCAGACTTACCAGGCCCCATGCTCTTGTTGCTCCTATCCACGTACCCCCTTTTAAGTATATATAGACTCAGTAACAGCGTTGACTTGAAGTCCCCATTCTGCCATCTCGGCTTCAGACAAGAACTCGAGGGGGAACCAGACGAGGTGTCCCTTTATTTGCGATAGCTTCTCTCTCGCGTCAGCTACCGGGAGGAATTGGTCGAAAATGTGGCCTGCTTTTACACCCTTGGGAGGTAGGTATCTATCGTAATCTTCGAAAGTCTTGACTGGAAGTGAAGTGTTAGTTATGAATTGAGATCAAGGTTGAGATTGAGTTGAAGGTTGAAGGGTAAAAGTGGGGGTCCCACAACGGGTAGGCACAAGATGACCAAAATAGATGACTAAAAGGGAAGGAGTGTATCAAAGTGGAAAGAGGATTTCCTCCACGGAGTAATAAATGAGAAGAGATGGTATAACTTACTGTGGTCATCAGGATCGGCATGGAAAAGATGTCGGAAGAGCATGGTGTTTTTGTCCGCTCGGCTAGTCCACATGTCCCAAACCTCGTCGCTGAGGGGATCCTCGACAAACTTGTAAGACTCGTCCTGGTCGTAGATATTGTTTTCAGGGTTGACGTTGACGGGCATGGCGTTGATGTCCTTGGAAGCATCATGCTCCTGAGGGGGCAAGAGACCCATGTGTTCACGCCAGAGGTAGCGACGAAGTGTAGCCGCATGGTAACCAGCTTCATAAGGCTGGCCATCCATGACACTAGGAATCAAACGAGTATCCTCCATGACGACACTCAATTCGCTGTCGTGATCGCCGAGCTGACTTCGATCGTTGAGGTTACTGCTTCCACAAACGGCGATTCTGTCATCAACAAGTAGCAACTTGCCATGAATGTAGAGCTCTTCTTGAATCCAGTTCTTGATTTCCGATTCGGGGTCTTCCTCGAACCAAGGTTCGGCCTTCAAACCTTCGCCAGTACCAGCCATCGCGTGGTGGGCGACCGATGATGTTGTGTGGACGTTTTCCGGGGGCATGGCAGCCTCGAACTTCTTTCGGGCCTCCATCGTCTTCTTGATGTCTTCGTCAAGTTCGCCCTTGTTCTTGTCTCGCCTCATATGCTCGTCGCCCTCGGAATCTTCTGGGTCGTATGAGCCGTGGATACCCTCACTCATGATCTCCTCGGCTTCAGCACGTTGTACCTGCTGGTAGCTCACACCAGTCTCCTTTTCAGCCTTGATAATAGCAGGCGTCTTGTTGAGACGATCGTAAGATCGCAAGTTGAAGAAGAAAATGTACTTGGTGGGGTCAACACCCTCAGCGCGGCACTGGCCAAAAATAGAGTGTTCACCACGGCAAATAGATTTGTACTGGTAATCCATGATAGCACGCGTGCCCGTAGCAGCTTCCTCTCGTAGATCTCCAGCAAATCCGGGGATTGCGGGGATGAGAACGATAACGCGGAATTTGCGACCCTCCTTGGCGGCTCTGACAACTGCATCGACGATAGCACGGCCAATCTGGTTTTTAACCGGAGCCTGCTGGTCACCTGTCGCTGTGATAAAGAACTGGTTCTCGATGTAGACGTAGTGCTGAGCCTTTGAGATAATCTCAATGTATGCGTTCTGGATGCTATGGTCTGTCAAGATACCGCTGCTCCAGTCGGCGCTTGACCGAACGATTTGACAGTTAACTGTGCCCATACCCTCAAGTTTTTTTTCACTCAGGGGCGTGTAAGGGTGTCTGACGTAATCTCCAACTGGATGTTTGGGGCGCTGAACTCCAACGAGGTCCTCATCCTCGCCCTCACGGCCCTCCAACATCAACCAGTTGAATCTTTCATCACGTTTATATTTATCACGCTTTACGAAATTCCAGCGAAGAATGAAGTGCTCAGCTACATCATAGCATGAAGGGCATTCAGGAGAGTCAGTTTGGCGTCCTGAGAAGGTGTGGGGTTGAAAATCGACATACCTTGGATGCACATCGCCACGTCGTGCCAGGGCATGCGCCCGAAGTCAGCCTTGCTCAATTCATTATCCTGCCAGCTGTCCACTTTCTGAAAATCCATTACACGGTTGTTATTAAAGTCCTGGCCCGGCCAGATCTCGTCACGAACGTCGGTAGGGTGGATGTCGGCGAGAGGGTGTTGGTGATTATCCCAGCGTCCGAAGCAGAGATCAAGACCACCAACAAAGGCGATTTCGTAATCAATGACAATGAATTTCTCATGGTGAGCCCAGTACCAAGTCATGTCGCTGAGAAATAAGTCAGTAATAGCTTAACACGGTTGGTGATGATATCGCCAAGTCTGGCACAGGCACCACAACCCCGACCGAAGCTGCGATATTTCTGCAGCTACTTATTAGCTTACCCAAAGTTTTCAAAAACATTATGATCGGGGTGCCGGGCGACATGGATGTTTCCGTATCCAGGGGTGCCCTTGGGGCAGAGCCTCCTCAGCGCATGCTTCGTATGAGCCGAATTGCAAGTCAAGGCCTGTTCAACCTCCTTGTAGACACAAACGTAAATTTGGACACCAGCTTCGGCCTTTCGCTTAATCAGTTTGTCCAATCTGTACTCCTGCTCCTTGTACGGGGGGCGGCGGAGGAAGAGCTCGGGTGACAGCCACCAGTCGGCAATGTATATAGACTCTTTGGCGTTTTCGAGGGCGATAGAAACAGCCCAGAAGTAGTCCCTACCATCGACGTACCTGACAAGTTAGCTTCCGGTTCAAAAACAATGTCAATTGACTTACCATTTCACGCGGTTGCCGGCGCGCATGGGGAAGTAAGATTTGTAGCGGTTCTGCTCGCAGATGGCGGTGCGCTTTTCGTCGCAACGCTGCTCATGCTCTTCATCGTGTCTGTGATTTTTATTGAACTAAGAAACACGTGTGTAAGCTTCACGGTTCGAGGTATCGATTCGGTCGGCGATCGCGACAATGCGACACTATCAATTGGGAAGCGCGCAGCATACCAAATTTGCCAATTTGCCAATTTTATGTTTTTGGTGAACTAGATGCACTTTCGCATCATGCAGCTTGAGTTTCTCCATCAACGACTCGGTACGCTTGTGTTCCCCCATTTTAACAGAGCTCTAGCGATCTGTAGGGGTCTTTCGAATGAGAAAGCAAACTAGGAGCGCTCAGATCGCTTTGCGCCGGTATTCGGCAGCAGATCGATCGGAGAAATATGAGGGGTTGGTGAGATTTGAGTGAGGGGACCAAATGGAGGGGTAATGAGACGGAAGAAGCAAAGGAAGAAGAAGAAAGAGAAGAGAAGAGACAGAATATACGAGGGTGACAATGCCTTTAGTCTCTTGAGAAGAGAGTGACAGTAATCAAAAGGCTTGGCTTAACTAGGGACAGATCCTCACGCGACAACCCAAAAGAAGAGCCAAACTCATCTCAGGTTAATGGTATAACTGACTACAGCTCTTAGAGCCTGGCGATGTCATCGAACAAGCCAAGCTCAAAATGCAGGAAAACAACGCCAAGCCGGCGATACGGCGCGCAAGAACTCTTGGATAGCATCTTACAGGCTCAAACCAGGGACTTTTCCCTCTCTATTGCAGGCAAACATTAAGCCTCGGCCAAGCTAAACAAGATCACGGCATCCGTCATGACCCGCACACATCAAGCGGAACACGTAATGGGCTACGCACAGGGCTGAAAGGGTCGTATCACTAACCAACCAATTGACTTGAGAATACCGCATGAAGCTTTTCATGGTCTCCCTTGCCGAGCATTTCATTAAGAGAACAAGCAACAACGAGAAAAAGCTTGCATTGTAACTCTAAAAATAAGAAGAACCAGTCATGCCATTTCAGTCTCATAGTCCCGTTTATCCCCTGGATCTGATGACGTCAGAAGCTATATCCTGAATTTTGGCCTGTCCTGTCACAAAAGTTCGTGACGATCAGCCGTTCGACATGTTTCAAGCTAATCAATTTACTTCTGTACGATAATTAACGGTTTTGATGGCTATCCTTGCCTTGGTATGTTGTCCAATTGACAAATCCTTTCAGTAGACCCCTAGCTAGGGATCCAGCACCTTGCATGATCTCGGCTGGTAGAAGCGTAGCATTGTGACAAAGGACCATACAGTTAGACAGTCTCCATGGAAAGAAACAAGTTGACACGTTCCCGAATGAGTGATATTTCCGGGATTGTCAGATTGTGCCTGGTCTAGTTTGCTTCCAATCAGGTTTCCCTATCTTCGATGGTGATGTACCATGTTCACCATCTGGATTGTATCGCCTTGAGCTTCGATTGGTGCAATCGTATCACAGTTTTCTTCTCATTCATTCAATGATTCTCTTCACCTTATCGAGTATCATACTTTTACATGTTCAATTGAATGAGGGGTAGACCTGGTAGCCGTGTATCATTCGATTACAAAAGATAGTTGTGTGAACAAAACCCAAGGGCTAAGACCGATTCCCCTCGCTTGTCTTAGTTATAAGATGAATTGTATGATGTTTGCAGATCTTTTTGATACCCCCAAAGACATAAGTATCTATCACTCTTGTGGATGTTATTTCTTTACGTTGATACCAAACAAACTCATCCATTACAGACAAACTTGTCGCTGGTATTGCTACCCTAGAGACATACCAGAACCAAGGCCCAAGCTCGACCCGCCTCATGGGAAGCGTCGTAAGCTAAAACAGCTCCATATACTTCAACAGTGGCCTTTGCATCGTATCATTGAGAACAAGTCGTTCCACGTGAGAGCCACTGAAAAGTATCATCAATTATTTCTCAGAGGTATTACCCAACTTGTAATTATTTGTTGAGGTCTCGACTCTGGTCTCTTTCTCTCCGCCATTTGACAAGTCAGGGATCAAGAACGTGGGGTTCAAGCGGTCGACGGAACAACTAAATCCAGCCCCGAAACACAGTGTCGGGTGCGAGAACCGTTGATGCATCTGGAGATTCTAAGCCATACTGAACTCGAATTGTGTCAGATTGAATCTGGTTCTATAATAGAGTACATTATGCGTGTCTCTAGTAGAATACCTTATATCTGTTTCAAGTGTTGTCTTTAGATGCGTACAGCATGATTGCTCCAATACCCATCGCCAATTTACATGCATCAGAGCTCTTATCTTATCTATATGCACTGTACATCTGCCCCTCTTTCACCGTATCGACCCCTCCCTAGGTCCCCTGAGCTAGACCCCTCCTGTACTGCTGTTCACTGTACCTACCCGCAAAGGGACAGCTCAGCTTGACCGCTCCAACGACATCTCCTTTATCTTCTTCTTCCCATCCAACAAATCTTCAACTTCCTTTTTCCATTCATCTCTATCATCAATCATCATGTCTGACGCCGCTTACCCCCCTGGAGGCACTATTGTGCAGTCGCTCAAGCGATCTTTCGTCGACGTTCCCGTCGATGAGGCCAACGGCAAGGCTGTCTCTACCACTGAGTTCCTCGAGGCTTCCGAGTCCCTGACCACCATCTTCGGTATGATAATGTCTCAGAGATTACGAGGATGATCTGGTGCTAACTTTGTTCTCTCTTAGATGCCATTGGTGGTGTTGCTTTCGGTCCTGTCAAGAAGGATATCCTTGGCAACGTCGAGGTTCGTCACGACATGCTCCTTTCCGTTGCACAACAGCAAGCCCTTGTTATCAACAATATCCGTTCCCGATAATATATCTGACAATTCATCTGCAGAAGCTCCGTGCCCGCCAAGCTGCCGCTCCTGCTGAGTCCGGTACCGTCCAGGACCTCGTCCGCAATGAGCTCAAGTCCGGCAAGCACACTGCCACTGAGGGCTGCCTTTGGCTCGTCCGGTATGCATAACTCCCCGAGATGATACATCGACACACATCTGACAATTTTATAGGGGTCTTGACTTCACCTGCCAGGGCCTTGAGCTCAACGTCGCCAACTCCTCCCAGGAGCTTGCTGACTCTTTCCGCACTGCCTACGGCAACACTCTGAAGCCTCACCACAGCTTCATGGTCAAGCCTATCTTCAGCGCCGCCATGTCCGCTGTTCCCTACCGAAAGGACTTCTACGCTAAGCTTGGCGAGAACCCCGAGCAGGTCGAGGCTGAGCTCAAGACTTATCTTGCTTCCTTCACCAAGATTGTTACCATCCTCAAAGAGTTCATCAACAGCCCTGAGGCTAAGTGGTAAATGATATATGATATAATAGATGTTAGTGTACCTGTCGCCAGTCAATAAATGGCAGAGCGAAAGTGACAACGAGTCACAAAACACGACTTGGTTGATGAGATGCATCAGCATTGAGAAGCTATCCTGTGGAAGATGGCTACAACAATAGCTGTCGTCCCATATTACGATAACGAAAATAAATATATATTGCATGACCGACCACCTGTTTGATCTGCTGCTCTTGTCGTGACTTCCCACACTCGAAGCCCCTTTCCGTGCCTGATAGATCCGGATCAAGATTTCTGAACCAGCCACAACCTAATGTCAAGCTTTCTCCAAAAGTCATGCCACGATTGTCGATCTGGAGACGCCACATTGTATCATGAAGTGGCTGAACCTTTGTATCGCTTTCAAGATCGCCAGGATGAAGTACCAGTCTGTCCTAGCCAATTCGGCAACATGGGACCGGGCACACCACTTTCATGGCTAGAAGGTAACATCATGAGCTTCACTCCATGATTGGCGGCATTGAAAAGTAATAAAAGTCGATCTCTGTCCAAAATACGCGGCAACAAATGATGACGGCCTAGTGAGATCTAGTGGTGAGACATGGAGCTTGGCAGATAATCTGACAACAAAGTTATCCCACCAACATGATAACAAGACAATGTTTAAGTATCGCGGATCTTTATCTCAAATTGTCTCCCGATATTCCGTCATGAGTTACAATACGATACTACATACGATCTGCACCTGTTCTTGTCATGTACCGGGAGCGTCGGATTGTCCGGACGAAACAGCTCGGCATTTGGTACTGTCCAAAACCCCGAAGAGAAGTCCTAGTCTTAGTCACGCGGCCATTAAGCATAAACAATTAATGCATAGATGCAAAAGATAAGCAGCTGACCAAGGTCGCCATAAGTATTACCTCTCCGCATATTGTTTGTAAGGCAAGGCTAGTCTAGGCTGAGGGTGTCTTGAAACACTCAATGCCATTGATGGCAAGAAATGATGGGGAAATTTTGTGAGAAAGGCATCACCTCTCGGGACTAGTTGACGATCCAGAAAAGCCACATGGACATATCTGAAAACGCATTGCCCAATCTCAGGGTTTGAGATGCTACCGTGCTCCCGACGCTTCCGAGAGGACCCCCAAATGCTAGAATGTACCTTTTGCAAACTTTCAAGTACCTGGTTCCTGATATTTTCGTTTACACCTTGGGGTGGAATTCACTGAGACGAAAAGAGAGCAGATGCCGAAGTCTATTTAGCGAAGTGCCCTTGGCAAGACCGGAAATGCTTCTTCCTAATTGAGTGGGCATGTGGCTGATATTGGTGATCTTGGCTACGGATCTAGAGACCCCTGCTACTCTGCCAAGTGTTCTTGAGATGCTACTGTAAGGCTGATTTTATCATGTCTATATGCATTTATCTCGCTCTAAAACAAATTATGTGAAATCCAAAGCCTAGCCGTGTATTCTTCTGTGCCTTGCCAACCGTTATCTGATCAATCGGATGAAGCGCCTCGCTGAGTAAAAAACAGAATAAGAAATACGCAAAGTAATATCAGGATGATGCCAAAACCCAATAATCCTGCCAGAGGCCACTACCACCCGGACCAGGTATTGTAAGAGAGGTATTTGGGTCGTTTGAAGACTGCTCGCTTTAGTTTCATGGACCGTAGCGACTCGGTGTCGGTCTCGCACTTCTTGCCGAACCAACTAGCTATGGTTTCAACAGCTACTTGATACTCTGTCATGACACTCTCCTTGGGTGTCATGGGCGGGGGGCAATCCCAAGCGTGCCTCTCACCTTCAACAATGCGCAACGTGAACTGCTTCCCAGCAGCCTTGAGGCGATTTGAGAACTTGAGACCTTCGGCGAGGAGCATGTCATACTCGCATAGGACCAGGTGAATAGGGGGGAGCTTTTTCAGCATCTCATCTGGCATTAGACCTGGTGACAACCGTGGATCAGACCTTTCCTCGCGGGGAATGATGGGGTAGATGAACGAGGCATCAATTAGATCCGTGAGACCCTTGGGCAAGGTGAACTCGGGTTTTGAGCATGTGAGTCGCTTCTCGGGACGGGATATGGTCCAGTCCAGGACGGGGTAGTATAGTGCTATACCCGCAATCTTGGGGGGTTCGAAGGGAAACTTGTAGCCCCATCGATCAGGGTCGTTTAGAATGAGCCAGGATGCAATGGCGTTTGTAGCCCCTGCAGAGAATCCTGAAAGAACAATTCGATCAGGATCAATGCCAAACTCGGCGGCTCGGTGCTTGATCTGGAGAACAGCATCGACACAATCCTCAATTGGAGTTGGGAAAGGATATGAAGGCGCTAGACGGTAGTTGACAGTGAAGACAACCGCATCCAGATTAGCCATGATGGCACCGGCCCAACGGGCATCGTCAGTGCCCTGGCCGAGGATCCAACCACCGCCGTGGAAGTTTATAACAGCAGCTCTGGCGCCGAGAGCGGGACGGGGCGGCATCCATACTTCGGCCTTGATCTTAGTCTTGGCGCGGTCGGCGTGATTGGGGGCAGCTTTTGACAGCGTGGCATCGAGCCAAATGTCTCGCGTGGGTGATGGTGCAGGTGGACTAGTGCGATTGGCGATGCTGAAACCCAAACTCGCAGCAGAGCGTATGGCTTGGGCACGAGCGGTCAGGTACCATCTCGAGCTGGACTCGAGAGGATTCACATAACCCGGAGGTTCCGGGGTGGTTGGTCGTGACTCAGAGGGGGTGGCCTCAGTCTCCATATCAGATTTGATTAGATGGATGAGGGGAGGGAGGAGGGCGTGGTTCCAGCTTGAGACTCTGGAGTAAGACGGCAGCCAGTAGCTACAGTACTGTACTGAGGGAGAGTGATGAATGTGAGGAAGCACAAGAAAAAGGCTTACAAGCCCAAAGCAAAGCCAAGAAGTGACTCGGCTGCGACGGAATAAAGAAGCGGTGGGGGAGTTTCCTTTTGCGTGGTGCTACAGCCAGAGCCGGTGCCGGATTGGAGTGTTCTGTAAGCGCGATAATATGTGGGAGCAAGGATTGGTTGACAAGGAGAATGAATGCTGATCAGAAGGGATAAGAAGATAGATAATTTGTCGAGGGAGCTATTGATAGCGTCTATGTTGGTGTTTGTCGGCTCATTTACTACTAATGACGACCTCAAGTCAAACTATTGAGATTGGACCCTAAAGCTGAGCTGACAATAGCAGAAAAAGAGAAAAAGCAAAAGCAGGTTTGGTAGGCCAGGCAAGCAAGCAGTGAATTGAGATTGAGTGGCTTTGTAAATTGATTGAGTGTATCAAATTCTCATTGAAAACGCCGAGATAATGCAAAACCTGGTTAGTATCCAACCAGAATTGTTACGTGACGTTGCAGGCCTTGGAGTGACATGACAGATGAGTTAATGCTATGACGTAGTGAGGCTTGTTTTTGTTGTGTTTTCCACTTTACTGGATTAAATTGGTTAGTACAGACGCGGCACGACAAGGACAAGGGCATGTCAGTGGAGTCTCCTATTATTAAGAGAGAAAAAAGAAAAGAAAAGGGCTAGAATCGCTTTAGTAGACAAATGAGTAAAGCCAAGCAGATACGAGAATGTTCCCTTTGCTTGGTGATTCGTATCACTAAGTTCCGATTCACCCGATTACTTTTTGTTGATTGACGTCAACTCAATGCGCTGGTCAAATTAAACTTGTCGTTTCAGCACTCGAACAGACACACAAAAAGGCTTGGATTAAATAATTTCAGGGGGGAATAACAGGTTATAGACGAGCCACGAGGTCTCAGACTACGAAAACCCTCGTTTGATCTTCGCTATCAATCGCCGATGGGATTAAGGATATGTCATGGGCTTGGCTGTACTGCAGTATCCGGAGCTTCTCCACCGGAACTCCAATCATGGGCTCCGTGCAGACCCAGAAACATCCGGGGGCGGGTAATTCGCAGTGTCTAAAACTTTAGTCTGGATGGACAGAAGACGAGGAAAAATCGACAACGATCCTAGCGCTATGTCACTGATGTCACAGTGTTTCTCACATTACTCGAACGGGCATCACCCGTAGACGTACCGGTACTTTGATGGGTACGTAGAGGAACGCCGAGACGGTAAACGGCAGCTTGTCTTGTTTTTCAGGGTGAGGCCAAGACTGGGACCTGAGTGTCTGACGGTAATAACACCTTGGCTGCCCGGGGGTATGTGTGGCGTATGCTGGTCAGTCTCTTCTACTGATTATTTGCTGCGTGGTACAGTCCTTGTAGCTGGCTTGACTATTCAGTGTATCAATCACTGAGACATTTCCTGTGCATCAGAAAAACATCAGTTATGACGCATCTAAACACTCAGACATTTGCAGTCGATCTGATGCGATAAAGACGATGCATGTGAGGCTCTAACTGACGGTATGTCCGTCTATCCGCCACAACTAGACTAAACTACCGGGCACGTTACTTATCACGATCATGGCACTGTTCTAGGGCTGCTAGTGCAAAGACCTGAGCGACTACGTGCAGCAACCCGCGGAGTGTGTTCAAAACAAAACCCGTGGAGCTGGGTTATGCACGGGAGAGTTACATCCCCCACGAGATGCCGAATCACCTGTCAGTCTAGCGGATTTTATGTGTAGGGCCGAGGCCGAATAGAGGGTAGCTGATTGAGTAAGCTGTCGGAATTTGACAAAGACTGACCACATTTTTTTCGGTTCTTGTAAGCAGATCCTGTTCATGTCTCATTCCGGGTCGCCGAAAATGCCGTGACTGCGAGAATATTACGGTTTCTAGGTTTGTGTTTAAAATCATATAAACTGTATCGTAGTTCCTTTCTGTTCAGTCATGCTTCTCAAGCGTTTGGGACTCGCATAAAAAGTATAACAGGAAACTAACTATTCTGTTGCGCCTGATTCATTTCCCATCTCTTAATCCAATTACAAGCCACAGTGTGTACCTGATACATACCTGCACCTCTCATCGTCACAGCCACGATCATCAAGACCAGTCCCTGACTCTGAATCACCCAAAAGAGAACTGAACAACCGAAACCAGCCCGCGCGATCGTCATCGACTGCAAGCAGGGGTGCTCTATTGCGGAAACATTACGGAGAGCCAAAACCAAGTCAGGCATATCCAAGATTTTAAGTGTGGCTGACCCACCGTGCCACACCCTCCATCATCATCGCATACTGCGACCTGGGCACTAATTCGCTATTATGACGGGCATCCTGGCTCCCGTCACATCAGCTTTTGGCATGCCACTACCGTCCAAATATCATCAAAAAGGTCTTGCAACCACCACAAATTCGTCTCCCTCCTCTCCTTCTACTCCTACCTCTATTTCTTCTACACCTAGAATTCCTTCACCTTTAATCACATCATATACTCCAGTCCAGGCTTTAACATCAAGCCCACTTTCGACAATCTCTATAGATTCGGTCCTTTCAGAACCCACTGATCCTCTGACATCATCGCCCTACTACACTGCTCAAATGGCGAGCCCGGACACCACCCACCGGCCTGCCTCGGTCGCTACGAGTGCGGCCTCAATGAGTGTTGATACAAGACCCTCAGCAGCCATTCTTAGTTCAGCGTTTTCGTCACCTCGCTCCGTTTCACCATCCAGAACCATTCGCGACACCATGAACGATAGCGGCGTCGAACTTCCCCACAGGGATTCGGCTCGATCCAGCATGGATGGCACAACTGCCACCACCAATGCTATTGTTCCTAGCAGCCGAACTTCTCTCGACAGCGGTCGAACTAGCATGAGCTCTGACTGGCCAGTCCACCCTGGCGAAATCAACACAATTGCTCAGCTCGATACCCTGCCCTTTGGTACGGAAGTCACATTTCGAGCCCGTATCGAGACGCAGCGACCCATCTCAAAGGTGCTCGACTTCCTCCTTCTCCGCGACCAAACACACTCTGTTCAAGGTGTTCTCGCCCGTGATGCCGTTAATACCGAGTTTATCTCTTGGGTCCGCAAGATCAACTCTGAGTCTCTGGTCCAGATCACTGGTACCCTCAAACAACCTCCTGAGCCCATCCGATCGGCCACACACTCTGGAGTTGAGGTTGCTATCGACTCTGTCCATCTCGTCAACCTTGCCCAGAACCTTCCTTTCAGCAACTACAAACCCCCAGAGACTCTGCGCAACCGAATGAATGCCCGAATTCTCGATCTTCGACACCCCGCCAACCAAGCCCTCTTCCGTGTGCGCGCAATGGTCACGCGAATCTTCCGAAACACGCTCGAGGAACATGGCTTCGTCGAGATCAATACCCCCAAGCTGCAGCCTGCTGCCACAGAGAGTGGTGCTGCTGTCTTTCCCGTGAACTACTTTGGTCGCCGGGCCTTCCTCGCTCAGAGCCCTCAACTCGCCAAGCAGGAGGCTATCTCTGCTGACTTTGGCCGTGTTTTTGAGGTCGGCCCTGTCTTCCGTGCTGAAAACTCCAACACTCATCGCCACTTGACCGAGTACACAGGTCTCGATTTGGAGATGGCCATTGACACCGACTACCACGAGGTCATCTCTTTTATTGACATCTTCCTTAAGGAAGTCTTCAGAACAGTTTACGCATCCCGAGAGCTTGAGGTCATTCGTAAGCGATGGCCCAGCAAGGAGTTCAAGTGGCTCGAGGAGACCCTTATCCTCCCTTTCAGCGAGGGTCTTCAGATGCTTCGAGACGACGGGCGCGAGGTTGAGGTGGAGGATCTGTCTACTCCCGATGAGATGCGACTTGGCGAGCTTGTTCGTGAGAAGTATAACACCGATTACTATGTTCTCGACAAGTTTCCCGCCAATGCTCGACCTTTCTATACTGCCAAAGACCTAGAGGACCCCACGTGGACTCGATCATTCGATATCTTCATCCGCGGTCAGGAGATCTGCTCTGGAGGCCAGCGTATTCACAACGTCGACGAGCTTCGAGCCAACATGGCTGCAGTCGGTATGACTGAGGATGGTATGGAGGATTACCTCACCGCGTTCGAGTTGGGTGCTCCTCCTCACGCTGGTGCTGGTCTTGGTCTTGAGCGTATTGTCGCCTGGATGCTCGAGCTTGGCGATGTTCGATACGCCTCTCTCTTCCACCGAGATCCCAAGTCCCTCCCTACCAAGGCTCCTGGCCTGCCTCACCCCGAGGCTGACACCACTAAGCCCCACCACGCCGACTCTCCCCCTCCTTTGGAGAAGCTTATTGCCAACTACGGTGATGCCACCAACACATCTTGGCTCGATGAGCGTTTCCAGATCTGGCGACACGAGACTGGTGCAGCCATCGGCTGGGTCAAGAGTGACAAGTTTGCCATGATCACTGGTGATCCTCTCTGCGACCGCACTCAATACCCCCAGGTCATCCGTGCTTTTATCCACCACCTTACTGTTGACCTGCGCCTGACACCTCTCTGGATGCTTGTCTCTTACGAAGTCCAGAAGATTCTCGCTTCTGAGCTTCGCTGGCGAAGTTTGACCTGTACCGAGGAGCAGCGTGTTGATGCCGACAAGCATAACAGTGCTCAAATCGAGGGATTGGCTGCCAAGGCCCGTCGTGTTGAGCGTGAAGGAGTCAAGATCCACGAGGTCAAGGCTGACGAAGACTTTATTTCTCGTGCCAACCCCGCTATCGACGAGTGGAAGAACAACCGCAAGGGCAAGCAAGTGCATCTTACGGAGGTTCGTCCATGGATCGACCAGGAGCACCGCCGCTACTTTGCTGCCGAGAAGGACGGCAAGGTCATGTCTATGGTCGTTTTGGCCAAGCTTGCTCCTCGTCACGGCTGGCAAGTGAAGTGGGCTCTCGACTTCCCTGGTGCTGTCAACGGTGCCATCGAGGTCCTGGTCAGCTTTGCCTTGTCCAACGTCACCGGAAAGGTCACCTTTGGTGCAGGTGTGTCGGAGAAGCTCACTGCCGGTGAGCACGTCGGCGGAATTCGCGCCAAGTTCCTCAGCGCCACCTACAGATCTATCATCGACAGCCTCGGCCTTCGCCGCAAGGCTTCGTTCCGATCCAAGTTCGGCGCCCTGGGAGAGGAGATTTACATCTGTTATCCTAAGAAGGGTGTTGGCCTGCGCGACTTGCAAAACGTCATCAAGTTCTTCACCGACTAAACGATTAATCAACACGAAAAAATATATACAGCATCATGACCGTGCTACCAAGCGAAACAATAGCGAGGAAAGAGGGTTTCTTTTCGTTTCTAAGATACCATGATACCATACAGATGATTGGACCCGTAGGGCGGGTGTTCAACGATGAATGATGAGGATGGCACCTGCGTTGGAGGAGCTGTTTAATGAAGTCTTGCTTTGGATGGGAGGGCGACGTTAATTTCTTTTGTACTGGTTTGCAACATGTTTATTGTTTAACAATTCCCCCTTTAGATACCAAACCTGGATGAAAACCACTCTAGACGGATGATCTTCAGCAGGCTGTGCCTACTGATGTGAACCAATATTACTAGTTACAGAATTCATATGTTTAAAATAATTGGGACTTGAGCTGTGCGACTTTGTATTCGTGAGAACGTAGTCTATACCTGGGGATCATAACCGCCTATGTCTTTTGTTGTTCCGCCCGCGGGTCGTCTATGCAGTTTGGCATTGTAGATACTGGAGATTCCCGTGTCAGCGAGTAATGTAATTTTCTAAGCTTCAGGGAACAAACATAAATGGTTTACCTAAGAGTATGTCTAAGCAGTATAAACTGACCTACTATTTTCGTCCCTTGTGTCTTTGTGATATCGAGACCCCGCCCATTCACTTTTGCAATTTGCGAGCTTGGTTGGACTGGACGGGAACCCACGACGAGTCCCTTCCCCATTCGCATGACCATGACACCACGGTTTGAACATGGCTTTGAGAACTTGAGGTATGCCATCTGCTGTATATACCCATACCAAGCAGTAAGACTTGTCGTATCTTTACCAGGAATTATCATGCAGAGAATCCCTAGCAAATAACGTATGTCACCACGAGCCTTAACTCGTTTTGTACCATTGTGAATTACTGTTAAGCTTGCATCTCTTCTTTTAGATTGCTTGCAAGCCGCCACGAATAACGCTGCTGGATCTACTTGGTACTGTCTGGACTGCAAGTAAAGTTAGTATGCTTGAGCTATACTCGCAGTGTATCTTTACCCTCTGAACTTGGGTTGCAATTGTTACAGAGGAGACTATAACTGCTCACACAGAGAGAGGTCTCCAAGTGAACACTACCTACAACAGAGAGCACGTTAGACCAGGACGCTAAGGGGTGCGCAGCTGGTATTACCTTCTGTTTCTTCATCTACATCGGCTCCTCCCCTATTCTAACTATATGAGTTCATCACTCATGACAACGCCACCCATTACCTGCTCTCTAAGCTAGAATCTGGAAACTTTCCCGCTTTTTGGCGAGTTGGGAGAGTCTAGCAGGGCATATTCCATATAACAGTATTCCCCTGCGAGTTCACCATTAGTCCTAATGGAGATGTTGTCTAGATCAGGAGACTCAGACGACCGACCATGACTGGGAGGTAGATTCTCGGCAGGGCCCAAGAAGTCGTCCAGAGAGATCGGCCCCGAACCGCGACGAGCCCGGCATCCCGACGTGCCTTACTCTGACTCGCCCGTCGAGCTTGAAGTAATCCCGGAGTAGATGGTCAGGAAACCCGTGCTATGGGCAGGTCGTTGTTAGTGTCAAAGCTTAATCAAATGGCAGATACACTTACATAGTAGCATTTATTATTCCCGCCACCAAGCCCAGATGCTTTTACGGCTTTCAGTAACAACACCCATAGACCCCAACATTTCGGCGTGAGTAGACATCTGGAGATAAATACCGGTGGCTGCGGAGATCTTTCGGGTAAAGTGAATAAGAAATCTGAGAGGTAGGAGGAAGATGAACACATACATTTTCTTCGTTGCAGATGTCGCTTCGCCTCTTTACTGCAGGTGAAGATGAAATCATCGCGTTATGCTGCGCGCGCAGTGCGTCAGAGGTAAAAGTGGCAGTGAAGGATGAAATATTAGTATACAAGAGAAAGAAGAGCATTAAAGCCCTGACGCGTAGAGACGTGACCTGGTAAGTGCAAGTGCCAGCTAGCAGGTATTTTCTACACAGCTAGACATGACCTACCTAAAGAAACAACACTGGGTTTTGTTGCACAGTCTGCCATGTACTATAAGTAACAACAACCTTAGGCGGTAGGTGGTAGTGCGTACTGGGAAAATTCAAACTGAGTAGACATGAAACTTGATGGTCACACTTTACATGAGATCTGTCAAACTCTATAGACTTGCACTGAGTCACATCTGCGTCGCCGATGCATAAAATTAAAACTTAGAGTGTTTTTGAAGATATAAGAGCTGAGCTACCCCATCCCACACGCGCAAAAAGAATTTATCTTCACACACTACATCACTCACCATGGCGTCCTCTTGGAGATCATTGCCTCCAGAGATTCGTCTCCTAATTCTACGATATATCATCCCTCAATATCGACTCAGAAGAACCATTACCGACCGCGGATTCCCTCGAGCATCGTTATTAGCCACCGTGTCCAAAGAGTGGCAGTGCTTTTTCGAGAGAGAAACGTTTCGACGCATGGATCTAGAAGCGACCGAATTGCATACATTTTCCAAGACCGTTCAGGGGAAGAACGTTATCAGGTTGAATTATGTAACCAATGTGTTGCTTACTATTAAACTTGCAACATAAACCCGACGTATAGTAGACAAACCAGAGAGTGGAAGGACTGTTACTCGGTTAGAAATATCATTCTCTACTGACTTGAGACACTGTTGACACTTTGAGGACAGGAACAACAGGACCTTTACGCAAGCTATGGACGTTCTCCTCAAGATAGTATCTTCTTGGGAGGGCTATGGCGGTTCGGGGCTTATACTGGAGATTCGAATGCACACACCAAGTGATCACCTGTATCACGGAACCTAATGCAGCTATATGACGACTACCCGCTTCGGTTTGAGGATGATCCACAGCTGTCGACTACATTCTTGAGGTTTTTTAGGAGAAACAAGACACGATTCAAGTCATTCAGAGCTGCACAACGCTCTTTGCATGTTCTGGGCCGGACGAAGCGACTCCATGGCACGCCGCTCGAGTTGAAGCCGTCACGGGTGAAGAAGCAACATTTATGCTCAAAAACAATACGCAACCTCCCAAAGACCCCCGTTGTCAAGGGTCTAATTCTACGTGGGGTTTCCCGAAAAAGTATTGCAGTGAAAAGTCTCACCACGCTGTTTCGTAAATGCTTTGTAGCTTTGGAATCATTCAATATTATGCGTTGGTATGGTTTTATGGAGGAACAAGAAACAACCTTCACAAATTGTATGTATAAACTTAAGAGTATGTTAAACACAAGCAAAGTTCTCACAACTAACCACTGAGGTCAGATCTTCGTGGGAGTTGAAGCCAGCTTTCCCTGCCAGTCTTCAGCACTTTGTCTTCCATATACGTACGGACTATGGTCGATATAATTCCGACCGTTCCAGCCGTTCCCACTTTGTACCCGGTCTTTTATTGGTGCTCTTGGCCAATGTTTGCCATAAATTTACCCAGTTTTGCCTCCCAGATGATAGGTTTAGCAGCCGGCTTTCTTTTTGGGATGAATTGACGAGAGTTGATGGGCGCGAATCCAAGCTTCAGAGCCTAGCTTTCAGGACAAGGTACCTTGGTCACAGATCGAACCAAGAAGCAGTGACAGAGTTTCTATGCTTCATCAGTGTCGTATCAAAACACTTACATGCATTGCCGACTCTGGAACTATGGGATGCCAGCGATGGATTTGGCTGTTTGTTCCGGTGCACCCTAGATGACTTCAGAGTTACTATCACATGGCGATGTACTGACGACCGATTCACTTTGCAGGAGAGAGTGGTACAGCACTGGGCTCACCTGGCCTCAAACCGTCAACTCGAGGTTAGGGAGGTTCCACTTACGATAAGCATAGAGTTTAACCCAATGGTTAAGCTCTCGACTATGCTGCTGGGCCTACACCTTGGGTAACTAAGTTTTAACCCTATTTACGAAGCCCATATAAGGCTCGCTGAGAAAATGGACGTGGGCGGATTGTTTGATCTGGAATGAGGGGTGTATTGCATAGATTCTGTAGGCCTGGCGGCATATCAGCGATGAAAAGTAGTGAAGAGTACATAATCCCGTCTTGTCTTCTGTTGGGTGTGTTGGTTCTACGGTTTCAAAGCTTCCCCGGCGTTCAGGGATAATGGCCAATAGCTATCGGTCTTTTGCCGCTACTGAAGCTCGGACCAAAACGTCATGTTAGGCACCACATTTATCAATGTTACTAAACATGAACATGAACAACTTATTAACTAGATAGGAGTTCTGGCTAAATAAACGAAAAGGTGTTTTGAAAGTACCTATTTTGCTATCGTCCTCATTTCTGGACAGCTCTACATAGCACACGCACTGGCTTGGCTGTTGCATATCTACGCGCTGATCACGCTGTGCCGCCATCCTGCATAGGGGCTATGAGTTGAGAATAGTATACCAGGATGCTGAAAATAATCACAAACAGACTGGGATACACCTCCACCGACTTATAATCGACTCGATATGCAATTTCTTGGCTCCAAGCATGCCATATTCACCGAGACTGACATGCAAAGCCGCCCGCTTGTTCAATGCTGCAGTCGCGACATCTCAGTCTGAGCTCGCCCACACAACACTTGCGTCAATCAAGGGATCAGGCAATGACGATGCCATTCTCGCTCTTTCCTCGGATGCTGGGCAATGTGAGTTCGGTCTGGGCGAGCGACTTCAACAGCTCTAATCGTCGTATAGCCGCAATTAATCTCTGTCCAAACTGTCTTCTGCAACGCTTCGACCAGTCCTAGCTATTCGCTTTTGAACAGAAGCCCCTACAAGAAACGGTCAAATTATCGCCATTGGTACTAAAATACCCTCAACGTCATGAGGTAGTTTCTCATACGGCGCGTTTGGTTGTGCCACAGTTGATAGATGTCACTGACAGGCATGTCACCTAATGGTAGGTCACTTACTCCGCGCTCCTTAGGATGCCGAGACCCTAGGAGAATGTATTGCAAAAGAATCTTTTTTTCCTTTTTCTCCTTTTTTTCTTCTTTTTCTTCTTTTTTTTTTTTCCTTTTCATGACGCTAAAAAGATTCATGTATCATAGAAACAACCCAGTCACTAGAGGGCGACACAATATGAAGGATGCCACTCAACTGACCGGGAAAGTATTGCCCAAGGTCGACAACAAGGAGCGTCTTTTCGACTTTGGCTCTAATTGACGATAGGTTGTTTAGACGGAGTGGTAGAAAGAGGAAGAGGAGTGATTGAGATTTGGGATAAGCTCTGAATAAGCAAAGGCCCTTGGGAAATACGTTCTGAACGCCTTGTGTGTTATTACTATCTGCGTTCCATGTTAATCAAGGTTCATGTATATCTGGTGGCCAGTACATGCTGAGTGTTGACTGGTTGTAGAAATAAATCTGCTTGGTTATGTCCACATCCTCAACAGCCTTGGCCAAGGATTCCTCGGCCTTCTTCTTCTTCTTCTTCTTCTTCCTCTTCTTCCTCTGTTAAGAGACACCGGCAGAGACACCCTAGTGAGCATTTGTTATGCTCAAGTAGTATTCAATATCAATCAAGTGATATTACCACGTAAAGGATGGTGCCAGGAGGAAGGAATAAACAACTGGAAATAATACGAACGTTGCCAGCTAAAATAAAGGTTAGTATTACGGTATAGAGTAGGCAGGAATGATTTACTATTATTGCGGCAGGTATCGGCAGTGTGATTCGCCTTGTGACAGAAGGTACAAAAACGGCGGGACTTCCCGGCCTATTGACCTGAGGCCAGAGCCATCCTATTCGGGCCAGTCTTCTTGTGGAGGACTCTGATCGGGATGAGGTTTATGGTCTCCATGTCGCCTCTCAAATCATCCTTCCGCTGTATCATGTCAATATGGAGGCCATGTCCAGTACGACGAAGTTGCTCTTACCTTTTACACTTTCAAGGAAACATGACACGCGAGAAGGCTTGGTTAGGAGAGTTTGTCGGTGGGGTAGTGAGAGGGGAGGCTTCCATCGTCTCACAGGTATTAGTAGAACCAGGCTAGTGAGTAGCAGAAAAGTTAACCTCCTAAGTCTTAGGGTACAAAGATAAGTCGTCTAAGGACTGAAGTCTAAGGTGTATAATCACCTAGTAATTTCATGATGCTTCCAGCGGTTAATGTTTCTAATATCACAAAGGAGGCTACATGAAATGGTAACTGGCTCAACATTGACAACACGGTCTCGCACATCAGACTTGCTTCACCTGAAATAAATATGGCTACAGTCTTTCGTAGCAAAGCAGTGTTGCTGAGGAGATATAGTCCGCCAAATTGCTGCTAGCGTAGATCCAATCTCGCTAATTGTTGATCCTGAAGATGAGGTTACATCACCACAGTGAATATACACTACCAGACAACGTTTTCTCAAACTTCGCTGGGCCCGTAACACGCAGAAACTCTCGATACCAATATGAGGTGCTCTGTAGTGAGGCCTAATGCCCCTGGCGACTTGGCAACGTTAAGTTACAGAAGGGGCAGCTTTGATCGGAGGTACAGTAAATAGCGTCTCGTGTGACATTAGACTGATCATGGCATGACTAGATAAACACTCATTCTAGCCATTCTACAACTGGCTTTGCTATTACCTAGGTAGGAGGCGTCAGAAGCCCCCCTCCTCACCTCACCATCGATGTATCTCCCAACCTTTCCGCACTTCAGGCCCTACGCGTACCAGCCAGATGATACAGTACACAAGTGCCAAGAACAATACAGCTTGACCCAAATGATACAAGATCAATAATACAGGTCCACCGATAAATAAAGATGCGTCTCTGTGTTGGCTCCCTGTTCTAAACAAGGGATTTCCAGGCAACACCACGTGGAGGTGCAGAGTCCGACTTCGTCACCCAACCCCGAAGGGCCCTTCTGTTGATTCCATTCGAAACAGACCACAGAAGGCATACCAAGTTCCCGTCAAGGACCAAGGTCTTTCCGAAGCCGAAGCAACGGGCAATATCCTTTTCCCCGCGGGGCATAAGGATCTTTCTGAAGCCAAAAGGCAACAGGTAATACGTTACTCATAAAGAACTCAGATTTTTTTTATTAAATAAAGTAATTCAGCCTTATTTAAGTAGAATACTTTCTTAAGAGTTGAGCCATTGCTTTCCGTTCAGTTGCTAACCCAACAGAAACTCATGCAGATCTTGTACATACTATTGCAAGTATGGAAGGTTTTATGTACGCGTGCAATCACTTCGTCTTGTCGTCAGTTGTCATATTCATCCTCCTCATCGGGCCCAGCTGCAGCCAGCCTCTCCTTGGGGTTTCTAAAGTGCGACTTGTTGAAAATACCGATAGCAGGGTGAAGTCTGCCATCAAAGGCTCCAGGCTGTAAAACAGTAGGGCCGTTATCCATGGAGTGTCGGAGTCCACCAGGGTAGTCTTTGCTATACCAGACACACCATTTCCCAAGTGAAGTACCGACCTTCTTGTACAGACCGCTTTCAACAGCAGTCTGCCATTCAGATTTGATTTGGTCGATTCTTGGGAGGGCGCGAGAATGCTCAGTCGACTTGTTTGGGTTAAGTCGATTGGCCTCAGCTTGTTGAACCTCGAATGATCCAACGAAGGCTTCGTACTTGGCTCTGACGATTGCTTTCTTGGTATCGTTTCCTTTCTTCTGGGCGGCAGAAAGGGTATCTGATTCAATATAAGCCTGGAACTTATCGGTCATTGTCACTTTGGGCTTCTTGGGCTCCGGGGCGGGAGGAGGTGTGGTTTTTCTCTTGGCGTCTTTGTTAGTAGCAAATGATTCCGCCTGTCTGCGTATAAAAATACGCATGATGGGTTCTAAGGGACTATAACCATTCTGATGAACCGCTGTGTTGACCTCTTCGAGAAGTCCCGAGGTCTTATCAAAGAGCGACGGGAAGCACTGTTGCACTAAGTCAATGGTACATGGCTTCTGTTCAGCGTCTTCTCTCTCTCTCAGAATCTTGTACATCTCATGATTGGCGATGAGTCCAACCTTTTCAGGCAGATTGCTCCAATTGCGTTGACGAATGAAATTGGACTTCCACTCGAAATAGCCATAGTTCAGGATTGGCACTCCAGCAAGTTCATAGCCCGCGTTGTACAACAAATCCCAGACAGCCCCAACAGCTGCCTTCCTGTTGGAAAAAGAGAACTGACCGTGGAATGTCCAGAAAATAACCTTCCGGATCTGTTCGCTCGAATCACGGACGATGTAGATGCGAGGGGCTTTCTCCCACATCTTGGTGCTGACGTCGAGTTCTAGCCACGCTAATGTGAGACCCCATGATTTGATCATTCGTTTCAGATATGGGAAAACCTCGCCTCCAATGGCAAAGATAAAATCATCGTCCTTGATGGCGTCTTGGGTAAAGTCGACGCAAACTTCTTCGATGGCCGGCCACTCTGGATAGGTTGTTTCCCATTCGGGGCCAGTCTTCTTGTAGAGGACTCTGATCGGGATCAGGTCGATAGTCTTCACGTCGCCTCTCAAACCATTCTTCAACTATATTGTGTCAGTACGGTAGCCAAGTCTAGTCAATAAAGATCTGCTCTCACCTTCTGCACATTCAATGAAGGGCTTGCGGGGTCCATGACATGCGAGAAGACTTGGTTAGGAGAGGTGTCGGTAGGGTAGTGCCAGAGGAATGTTGCTCTAGCTTTCATGGGTCCAGAGGGTGCCGCCATTCTGTTGACAGCTACCTTGTCGGAGACTGAAGAAATCTTTTTGCAAAAGGCTTTCCACTTCTTGGTCACGTCGGGACAGTGAGTATGCCAATCAGTTCTATCGTTGTCGGCAATGAAAGCGTCAACTAGTTCCAGAGACTCATGAGGAGCCTGTCTTGGCCTGTCGACGAAAGCAACAAGATCATGCTTCAGAGGGCAATCTTCGATAAGGGAGAGCGCCAGATCACGATAGGAGGAAACGGATGTCTCGATACCAAGTGTCTGGGCCGTGGTGCGAATGGCTTCTTCGCGGCGAATGCTCTCCCGTTCTAATGCTGGAGTGTGAGCATCATCAACTCTGGGGGCTGGATCTGAAGGTGGCAGGTTGACAAAACTTGTCTGGCTATACGAGGCCGCGAAAGTGGCCTTGCGATCAGATGGGTTCGGGAGTTCCATAGCTGCTGGTGACTGTGATTCAGAGACTGGACTCTTTTCCATACTTAATTCATCTTTATACCTACTCTTGTAAGACATGTATGGGTACCTAGGTAGGTACCGAACTTACAGACAGGGAAGGAACAGCAGGCACGGATTCCATTGGCCAATCCCATACCCCCATTGGAATTGGCCAAGGCCCGGGACATGCCGGGGACCTGCCTTCCTTCCCGTTTGGGAAGGAACGGAAAACGCGTCTGGGATTGCGTGCTCGCAGGAACATGCCCCAATAAGACACGGTACCCCTCATCGGTACCCTCGCTGAGGAATAGGAAAGAGCGCTCGTGGGTAGCAGAATGACCTTCTCAGTCTTGGCGCATAAAAATAAGTATTATAAGAACTATAGTTTAATGAGCATAAAGTGACCTACTAATTTCATCTCTTATGCTCCAAGCGGTCAAATTTTCTGATACCCTGAGGGAGCGCAGAAGAGGAGGAGTCGCTGGACGGTTGGGTGAGCGGATAGGTCTCTCCATTGAACACATCTTCATATGAGGCACTTCATGCCATAGGATTTATATTTGGCCAAGAATTGATGGAAATACCTGCGAGACTCTACCTGCCTCCTATTATTCCTGTTGTGCGGCGGAGGGCGCCTAATTGAAACGTGTTGACAGAAAGTGTCGGTGATTACCCCCTAATTAATCTCCCATGACACGTTATTGTCTCTGCACAATACTGCGATACATTACCCAATGAACAGGAAGCAATATCGAAGCATTTTCCAATCTATCAGTTCATGGATTTCCAGATTCTTGCAATCGGGTTGCGGTTAAATGATATGGGACTGTTTCCAGACATCGAAATGTACTCAGTGACGCAAGGCCAGTCAGCGATAATTGGCACAGCTCTCAAAGACGTATTGAACAAGCTGAGGCCCACCCTATATGATAATTCTACCTGACGCCATAGAATCAATTTACCAATAGCAACAATATCTCTAATGAGGTAACATGCGATCTCACTAAGCAGTCCATATCACTCAGCCATACATGTATTAAAAAGAAATAAGTAGAAGACAGCAAAGACAACAATATGAATGGACTGGGAGACGCTTTAGATGCAATGGCAAGCTTTGGCTCTTTCTTCCAGAGGTGGAGAAGAAAACCAGTTATGAAGTTCAAGTGTACGGCAGTGTCACGAACTACCAACTCGTTAGATTACCGCAATAACCAGATCCGCACCTGATATATATCAATAGAGTGTAATAATCAAAATGACAGATTCCAGTCCTGGATTGGCTAATTTACTTTTTGCAGTTTTGTTCTTAGTTCTTGCTCTATTCCTCGGGCGGAGTGTCGGCATCCTCGCCTGCGATGAGGTGATTAACCGCCTGATATTCTGACCTATCTATCATTTGTAGCTCTCAGTATGCGCTCTATACTTGTAACACTTGAATCTTAGCATAATTCCAGTTTAAACCTTTCAGTTAAATGTTAATTTTATAACTAAAATGCTAACATAAGTCTACTTCTGTGTCTATTTCAGTATATGCCTCCTCAGGTTGTTAGAAACTCCGATGAACCTGGAGGTATATGCCAAAATAAATAAATGTGACTGTCTATCCACTAGGTTAATATCAAATCCACAGAGTGGTGGAATCAACACAAAACGCCCCAGGCATACCATACATTCAAGTAAATTGGTTTTTTAACTGCCTATATATCCAGGAAAGGATTGTGTCTCCTTCACAGAGGTGGCTGAGTGGGTCAAGCGGCTGGTTGTCGTGATACTTGGCATATATCAAAATTTATTATCTGAAAACACCATCAAAGCAAGGCAACGTGACGGAGTGGTTAACGTGATCGCCTCGAAGAATCAACCTGAAAGCGATTTCCTTCGGGAGCGCAGGTTCGAATCCTGCCGTTGTCGAGATACCTTTTTATGATGTGTATCCATGGTGTTGTGGGTTCCAGACTAGCTTTTTGCAAGCGGTGAGATTTTGGTGGGTCTGAAACGAGGAAACAGACACTTAATAAAGAAGAAAGGATAACAGTGGGTCGTTTCCGAGTCAAACAGTGCTCAGTTGTTGTTGTGGAACAGTGTCAGTGTGCAGTATGGAGTAGCAATGGCGTTTTGATTCTCGGACCAACTATCGTACAATCTCAGCAAACTAAACCCTACAGATTCTTTCTCAACATCAATTATTAAGCGTAGAGTGATGTCTAAAGCCTCTCTAGGCAAAATGTCTTGGTTTTTTGTTATCTGATACTTGAGGTCGAAATCCTCGATGAATAAAACTAACATCAAGACAAATTATGGGTAGTATTGATAGAAATAATGAATCACGGTTATAACAATATACTAAGCTAGATGCTGGATTCCTGCTACTGACTGATATTAAGCTCACCAACAAGGGCTACGACAGAAGCGAAACCCGCATCAGTCGTAGGCCGAACCAAGAGCATTCCACTCCCTCGATCCCACTCGGCGATGTGCGCATTATCCTCGGTAGCCTTGTCAGGATCGCCCTCTGGAGTAGCAGGTATACCAAAGACACGCACAGAGCCTCCTGACTCCTTGGCTTGCTTAAACATGTCATCGACTTGTCTAGCAAGCTTGTCGTCTCGAATACTGATCTTGAAACCGAGATTTCTTACCACGACGAGGTAATCTGGGAAGGCAAGCTTGCGAGACTCCTCCGAGGCCGTGCTTGAAAGTTGGTATCGTCGACCAGGGCTGGGGACATTCCTGTCAAGTAGTGAGTATGCTATATTTGGGTGTGAAAGTTGTAAAACCTACCAGTCACCAGCTGGAACCGCGACAGTTTGAATCTCGTCATATGAGAATTGAACATCGAGGTTCGTATCAGTGTCGACAGAACCAAAAGACAAAGGCTTCTCATTCGTGCTTCCTTTACCACTGGAGAATGACAGCCACGGACCGTAAGAAAAACCATCTGTGGCAGCATGGCCAAAGTCAAACTCATTGACATGCTTTCCATCTGTGACATTTATCTGTGTAGAAGAGTCACCGTCGCCAACTCCGTTCATCCAGTGCTCAATCTGATATGTATACTGTGGAGAGATGAACTCGGGGACATATGTGATGGCATGTGGTGTTCTATCTTTCTCGAGGAGTTCTCGAGTGATTTCAGCGGATGCATGGCAAGCTGGCATGGTAATTCTAAAAGCGTTAGATGATATTCAACCTATTGAATGTTTGATACTTACCCATCAACAGATTGTCCGCCAATTAAAGCTTGGATGATTCTGTTGAAATCTCTCGCAAGCTGACTAGCAGCTGGGCCTCCAGTGCTAAGGAGGAGAGCTTTATAGTCTGCAGCCACAGCGTCGACCTTTGACTTGGCAGCAGAATATGCCGGTGCGTGCGAGGGCCACCACTGGGAAAAGTCTTCTTCGCCAGTTAATCCATAACCTTCTTCTTTTTCAAACTTGTCTAGCGCACGCTCTCTTTCACGCAGAGCTTGATCAAGTGCGCTGGTTAGGGTCCGTCCTGTCATAGTTATGCGAGTCTGGTTTCCGTCGCCCTGACGTCTGTTAGAAATACGTGTATCTCTGATAAAGAATACATACGATCTTGACTGAGAGTAGATACCTGGTTTTATATTAGCTTAGTCTCACCCTTGGATCGCTTTGCTTACTCAAGCAGACATTGTGTATAGGTCTTGTGGTGAGATGGGTCGAAGAATAGATCATTTGTCTGGAGAAAACTGTTGATGATGTTGTTGATGCCATAGTTTGTATAGGCTGGATCAACATCCGGCGATGCAACGGGTGCCTTTTGAGCCTTCTTGGTAAAGAATAGGGCAGGCTTGTGTCCCGGCAGACCACCGACAGCATTTTGTACTGCCTTGCAGTACGCCAACCAAAGGTACTTGTCAACTTCAGAGATAGACATTTTGATATCAAACAATCAGATGGCTAGGAGAAAGAAAGAAAAAAGATGGGAAAGATCCCTGGGAACGGGAGTAGCGGGTAAGGCAGGGTCGGCTTTTAAGGAATTCTAACAAGCCATGTCTCTTCTGTTGATAACCACACTTTTACCCGGCTTCCATTGAATCTGGAACTGAGACTAATGGTTCTCAGCTGTGGTAAGCCGCTAGGCAATAGGTTCAAACTCTACCAGATGTGATGAGCTTGGCAGGCCTAGCGGGCCACTTGCATCGATAGATCTCTTGTCGGGGAAACTCGACTGTGAACCCGGGTCAAAGTAGCTGGGGGAGTTCAAGACATGGCTTCGAGCAAAATGGTGCCAGTGACAAAACAGGTGCATCCGCACTGACTATTGATTGATCGCTGTTGCTGCTCATTCGTCAATTGTCTCTAACCGAGGTATCAACTACTGCCTGTGCCTCGTGGCGCGTCGTGCAAGGAGGGAACGGTAGAAAAGTCTCCCTTGTCTAGATCAAAGTCCAATTGGCAGGTAACACTCTGGAGAAGTGCACGTTGGTACATCCTTGCATTGCGTCCCTCATTTGAAAAGCCACCATTCCTAAACCCCAATGATCTAGCCGGTTCCCCGCGTAACAGAACAGAATTCGGTGGCATCAGGGTATCAGAAAAGATGGCCACAAGAAGCATAAGAGACGAAATTAGTAGCCGAGTTTATGCAATTTAGATCATACCTTTTAGGCTATTTATTTTTGTAGCCCAAAGCTTAAAAGTCAACTTTTCTGTTACCCACTAGGGTAGCTTGTGATCAGGGGTCCAAAAATGCTGCCTTACGGATTGTTTTGGAGAATCTGCGGCCGCAAAGTGAGAATATGTTGCATTACTTCAATTAGCAACACAATGAGATACATTGACTGACCACCTACAACCATAGTCATAGCTCATTGACTGGAGTAATAATCGTTGAGGCACTTCGAAATATGCCACCCAAAGCAATGCAGTCTCGCCGTTGCTAACATACAATATCTCCGATAAATCCCGCAGAGCTTGCGCTTTGGCCATTGGATCTTGAACGGCAGAGATGCTATGGAGCTCCCACGCGAGAGTAATGAAATTGATGGCCAAGTTAGATAAGCGGACCGACGCGTTGGTTCAGTCTTAGCGCCACCGCACGTTCTCGCTCATACCGAGGGCCAAGAAACCACCGCCCAGACAAGAATGCGGCTGAGCATTAACTCTGCCTGAGGAATGAGGTGGCAGAGAACAATCAAGATCCACTGTCTAGACCCTAGGGTAGCAGAAATCTCGACAGAGGACGAAATTACTTGATCATATTATGGTTATTTGGGTTGGTCTTTTGGCCCAACTATTTTATCCAGTCTCATCTTGGATATTACATTATTTACCGTCCTAAAGTTAGATAACATTTGAAGCCGCATCTGGAAACTTCTAGTGCGGTTTTGACTTTGATAGAAATCCATGAACTTGGTATGTGGCGCACCAAACTGATGGTTTTAAGGAGACAAACTGGGGGATCCAGTACAGCCCACATGGCAAATGGAGGTTTAGTTTCCTTCTTTCCCATCTGCCGATGATTGTGGATATCAAAGCAGATAAAGGCAGACTCTTGTGAGGAGAAGCGAGTTTGTCATGGAATCTCACAACAATCCTTCACGACAGTCCTACCCTAAACTAATGAGAATTTAATTTGCGAAAGCTTTTATTTATCTAAATCAGGCATAACTTGTCGTTCCACCACTGAATCCATGTAATTTGTCAATCCAATTCAGAAACAAAAAACATTGTCGATCATATTCACCATCCCTGTCCATCCCGCATCAATCCAGTTTTGGAAAATTCATGAGAAACAGTCTCTACCATTGTCCAATCGGAGTAATTGTAATACAAGAATATTTACATACGTAGTATGCAGTCGCAACTCTCTTTAATCCCATCTTTCTTTGGCTGTAAACTCAGCCTTTCGGGACTCGGGATGTGGGAGCCGAACTCCCCACAAGGCTCGGTAGCTTGCGTGTGTCAACACCAAGAAAAAGCCACGGCGAACAACCAATCGTCGTCACCTTTTTGTACTCTGACACGCACGGTTATCCTTTTGAAAGTCTTCTCATAGGACAGACAACGACGACCCCTGCGTCATGCGAGATGCCATCCTCGGTAGTATTCCCCTTAGTTGCCGTCTATGCTTATGCTTCATGTTTAGCTTCTTTACTAGCATTCGACTGACTCCATTCGGAGAGATCGTCGTTTTCGATATCTTCGATGTAACGCGTCAGTCACCGCAAATATCCATGCGCCTCACTCTGAATGATACAATGACAGTACTGTTGAGCAAGGCCACACGGCATGTGGGATCTCATCAACAAGAAACCTAAGGACAACTCCTGCGACTAAAGAAACATAAAAGCAGACAACCCCCGGAAACAATCGATATCTCTCTCCATCCAAACCATCCAAACTCCTCAGAAACTACCTACAACTCCAATCCTCACCAACTACCACCAAAATGCCTTCTATCAAGAACATCCTCGCAAGCTTCGCTCTCGCAGCCAGCATTGCTTCAGCCCATCCCGGACACGACATCGCCCATGAAGCCGCAGAGCGCCGCGACTTTCTCAGCTCCGTCAAAAGATCCTCTCTCGCTCACTGCTCCACCAAGCTCAAGGCTCGTGGCGTGGCAGCTCGAAATGTCGCTCGTCGCTCAGCTCAAGTCAACAAGGCTCGTGCTAAGCGCGCTTTGAAGAAGAGAGCTGAAGACGCCCTGAACACTTCTCACAACCAGACCGACCAAGGCTTCACTGAGTGCACTGATGCCGCTGCCCTCTTTGCCAGCATCAACTCTTGTGTCTTGACTCCCGAAGTCACCCAAGGTCCTTACTGTAAGATATACCCCAAACCATGTTTTAGACACAAATACTGACACAAGATAGACGTTGCTGGCGAGTACGTCCGAGAGAACATCATTGAAGAGCAAGACGGACTCAACATCGTCCTCGACTACCAAGTCATCGACGTCGAGACTTGCGACCCCGTTCCCAACGTCTACCTCGAGATGTGGCACTGCAACTCCACCGGCGTCTACTCTGGCATCGTTGCAAACGGTAACGGCGACAGCTCCGATGAGACGAACATCGACAACACCTGGCTTCGTGGAATCCAGAAGACCGACAGTGATGGTGTCGCTCAATTCGAGTCCATCTTCCCTGGTCATTACACCAGCCGAGCGACTCACATCCATGTTATGGTTCACACCAACGCCACTCTCCTGGCCAACCACACTCTCGGAAGCGACAACTATGCTAGCCATGTGGGACAAGCCTTCTTTGATCAGGATCTCATCTCTCAGGTCGAAACTCTGGAGCCCTACGCTTCCAACACCCAAGAGCTTACTCTCAACGCGGATGATGGTATCTTGAAAGAGGAGCTCAGCACCGACGGTGTCGACCCTATCATGGAGTACACTCTCCTTGGAGACAGCGTCAGCGACGGTCTCTTTGCTTGGCTCGCTTTCGGCATCAACACTACCGTCTCCAACTCCGTTACCCCCGCTGCTTACTACTACAAGGAGGGTGGTGTTGCCAACGAAAACAGCGGTGGTGCCCCTGGTGGCGGATCCGGTGGCCCTCCTTCTGGAATGCCTTCCGGATCTCCTCCTGGATCTACTCCTTCCGCTACTGCTGATGCCGAGTAAATCGGGAAAAGAACACCAGAGTGGTCTTCGGGTGGTATCTGTTGCCGTACATCGTTTTGTTAGCCGATCTACCCGGCCTTGCCGAGTTCGGCTGTGCCGTAGGACAAGGGAGGGAAGATTTTGTGGGCTGATGTACAATTCCCAGTCAGGTACTGGGTCAGAGTTTGTTATTATAGAGTGGTGAAATGCGTTGGAAATTTTAGGAGCATCTTGATAGTATAAATTACATTGTTATCCTGTACCAACACGTCTCTTCAAAATAGTGATCCGGTTAAAAAGCCAGAACTATTCTGCAATTGTGCTCACGTGTTGACAACATTTTCCGGTCTGCCATAACTATACAAGGATTCCCTCCTCTGTAGAGTAGTCAGGTTTGGTATCATTGAATCAATTGGCTGTGCTGGTAATATGACTCCGGCGCAATGTTGATATCCGGCCCATCGCATATAGAGTACCGGCGCACAGAACCTTTATGGAGCCTCGCCATACATACTTTAACCAACATATGAACAATCATGATAATCCGATTGGAGAATAATTGACGTAGGAGGGTATGGGAACCGGGAATAAGAATGCGGATGCCATGATCCACTTACCTAGCATGTCATGTCGTCTGTATATAAGCCCCGGACACTCCGGAGCTGAGCCAGACGGAAAGATGAACTGACGGATTCTTTAATAGAGATGATCACTGATCAATTAGTTGCTAAAGATTCTCTTCCGACTTTAGAGTGTTGAGTTGGACCCGTATCTAGCTCGCAAACATGAGTTTCCAAAGAGTTGGCCTCGTTGCTATGCGCGGTACGTAACCTTTCTGTAACAACTAAGCTCACCATGACTGATTTGTTAATTAGCAACTTCAGCGAGGCCAAGCATGATACTCGGTCGCAACACTGCCAGAATGATATTTACTCGTTTGCTGTCTCAACAATCACAGTAAGTCTCACAGCCAATATCCTCCTCATCACTCAACGAAGAGCCCTGACCTTTCCTCAGAGCCCCAATCATCACAAGACTCAAGCCGGAAGAAGGTCAACAGATTCTCGTAAAACAGCGCCTGAACCGACCCGTCACTCCAAACCTTGGTATTTATAAAATCGGCCAAGTCTGGTTCAGTGCTTCGGCTTGGACCAGAATCACTGGCCTCGTCGTAGGCGGCACAGCGTACCTGACACTTGGCGCTCACGCTGTGGCTCCTTACCTCGGACTAGGTTTTGACTCTACGGCTTTGGTGACGGCTTTCGGTGCGTTGCCCTTTGTCGCCAAGGCAGCTATCAAGTTTGGTTTACTGGGATTCCCTTTCTCGTACCACTTCATTAATGGAATTCGGCACCTGGTGTTTGACTTGGGTATTGGATACAAGAAGGCCCAGTTCAAGAAATCAGAAGCAGCTACGTGGATTCTCAGTGTCATAGGTGGACTTGTATTGTCATTTTGGTTGTAATATTAACTTCTACCTGTAGAGTTTGAAGTGAAAACCTATTGAGATTCGACTAACTACTGCACCTTTAAAGTCTCACAAATTCAGAGCGCATACTGAGAGCTACAAATGATAGGTGGATCAGAATATCAGGATGGACCAACCCAAATTTTGTCTCCCATGTTTCAGTCGCCAAAATGTTTATTCAATATTGAGGAGTGTATAGTCCAAAAGGGTCTGTTACCAAGTTACTCTTGACGTGGTACTATTCTGTTATGTGCCATAGTGTCACAGAGTAATTAGATAACCGATATTTAACCTTGCGATAATGGTTGACTCATCTAGCCTTGGTAGATTAGTACCCAGGACGTTGGAGTCATAATTTCTCAACTTCCCTTGAATTGATCAAACAACCAAGTTGAGGACAGAAATCAATATGGCTGACTTTATCGAGGTTTATTCTACCGTTCCAGCGGAGCTGCTGACACTTTTAAACAACAAATTGCCTTACACCTTACCCCTCCTGCGCCGACTACAATTCACTAATTTGGAAGGGGGACTACGAGAAACAGCAAGAATCATTCTTTCAGCGGACTCCAAACTGAATGATGAGGAGTCCCCAGAGAGATTCACGGCCATGTATATTGACGTGGGGGGTGGTCCTGACACACAGGCATGGATCTACTCGACCTACGAACACCCCGACCAAGCTACGACGAGTGACACAGCCATCTACGAGAAGCAGCTCGACAAGATTGTGCAAGAGAGTATCAAGATTGCAAAGGATTACGGCCGAGAACTTGTATATGGTGATGCTGTCTTGCTTGGAACGCTTCATGACTCTGTTCGTGAGCTTCTGTACAAAACAGGGCGAGTAGAACCGCGCGAAACAGGAGCATACGACAAGTGGCTATTCAAGTACGAGGATATACCAAAGAACGAAGTAGAGTTGCCCGAGGGTATGAAATGGGGGGTGGCAACGGAGGATGACTGTCGGATTGTCATCTCGCGAACTGATATCCCCAGGACTGTGTAGGTCTTGACAGCTCGCTGTAAGCGTCTTACTGATGGATTGTTTTAGACAAGTCCTGCGTCGTATGCCAAGTTTGATGATCAAGCTCGAGGATGGGACTCCTGTGTCTTGGGCTTTTCTGGGTATTGTCTCCAATCGTTATTATGCGGCTCGGCTCTAATTGGGTTAGGTTTCGACGGTTCACTGATCAGTCTTCACTGTGAAGTAAGTATACAAAGGCTGACTGAATAAATGGAAGCTGATTATGTCCAGGAACCATATCGTCGACGAGGACTCGCCAAGACACTCGCTGCAAAGCTGTTCCGTGAAAAATCCCTTGACTTTGCGGATGATGGCTGGTGTTGCGCAGACGTGGCGCCTGAGAATGATGGGAGTAGGGGGATGTGTAAGAGCTTGAATGGAAAGCCGTACTGGAGGATTTCATGGTGAGTAGCGTTCTGGAAGATGACTTCTGATATGATCCGAACTGACAATATCAGGGTGTTGCTCTACGTTGGGGAAAAAGTACCAAGTCAGAAAAACAGCACAGGATGAGAAAAGCTACAGGGAAAGATGTGATGACGAGCATTGGCATTGACACAATGGATCAAAATGATAACGTAACTAGAGCAGGGAATAGAACACGACAGAGACCTTGGACAGTAAAGCAGACTTGGATAGAGAAAGATCATTACAATCCTTGACTTAGCCGATCTATTGATGGACTCGTGGACCACTCAATTGCTCGGGCCTCGTTGGAAAAACAAGGGTTGTTCTCAGGGCATCCGTAGTTTGTCACAGTTCGGCTATAGTCTTGAGCGCAAAGACCTGTATTTGGTCGAAGCCTGAGCTGAATGTGATGTTGTGGATTTCGGAGAGACAACGGAAGCTTCCGCTTTTATATCTTAGGCTAAATATTAGCAAAGCTTATTCTTCCTTTGGATAATTTTACCTTGAGGTTTAACATATATAGATTACCTTGGTTGGTGAAAGTTTACCTAGTATTTATCCATATTAATTGTCGAGGTGCCCGTTGCCAATGTCATGCCTTACGGTTAAATGGCTATATCAGTTTTCCATATTACAGGTTGTCAGATAATCCCCAATGACAGCGCCATTAATCTATTAATCTCATGAATGTTTAACGAAAACGGTATTATTTCCATCCAATCGCATCACAGATACATGTTTCTAATGCCAATCAACATCGTCACTTTTCCTTCTCGGTTTTCAAGGCTACTGGTCAAAAATAGCCTCATGTCCGGTTACTGCACCTGAAACAATCCAACTTTGACAACTGGTCCTGGCTTTTCGTCATGTTTCAAGTTAAGCAAGGTTTATCGAATGCCAAGGTGGGTAAAAGTCCCGAGACGCGTCGTCGACTACGGTTACGCTATGTTTCAATCGAAATTAATTGTGGCTCAACATGGTTAGGTTAAGCTCGACGTGAAGCACAATAAAATTGAGTTTGGTTGACAGGAAACGACACAAGTCGTGCCATAGTTGGTACCTATTTTCTGTTTGTCAACTTGTTTCGATACAAAACAAGAGATGCATTCAAAACAGCAAACACGATAGAGTTGTCCGATGATGGAAACATTATTCTCACATCAAGCCTCAGGTATGAGGTGATGATGTTCAATATTAACCAACGCCAAGATTAAAATACTACAGAAGATCTCGAAATCACATTTAGCCGGGGGGAATATCGCCACAAGGCCTGCCAGAGCATGAATATTTCCTTGACATATCGGCATTCTCGGCCCATGATCGATTCATGTTCCTTCGCTGACAGGCACCAACGCATTGATTTCACTGTTTCATAAACATGAATAAACCGCCAAGTCGGTCGCTTAACGGACGGAAAAATTATCAAGTCGATCCTCCTTCATTAACATGGTCCGATCGGCACTTCGGCCCGCCCTGGTAAGCACGCGGTAGTTGTTTCAGCCTCAGTAACCTCATGAAACATGGGACTTTCTTCTCTAGACTATATATGTACTATTTCTTCTGCCTCTTCTTTGTCAAATCATCCTTTCAGCTCACCATCACTCGCTTTCTATTCACTCTTATACATTCTTTTCTTTCAACTTGATTCAGGAATCAATCTTATTCTACCAAAATGGTTCGCATCACTTCCGTCTTCGCTGGGCTGTCGCTCGTAGCTGGTTCTATCGCCGCGCCCTCTCCCGAAGGCCTTTTCTCCAAGCTTGCCAAGCGAGGCGGTACCCCCAACAGCTCCGGTACTCACGATGGTTTCTACTACTCTTGGTGGTCTGATGGCGGTGCTGAGGCTACCTACGAGAACGGCCCTGGCGGCTCTTACACCATGTCTTGGCAGACTGGTGGCAATGTCGTCGGTGGAAAGGGTTGGAGCCCTGGAAAGGCTCGGTAGGTCATTCTTCAACATCAATTACGAAATCATACTGACATCTCTAGAACCATCTCTTACGGGGGAGAGTACAAGCCCAACGGCAACAGCTACCTCTCCGTCTACGGATGGACCAAAAACCCTCTGATCGAGTACTACATTGTTGAGCAATTCGGTGATTACGATCCCTCCACCGGAGCTCAGAAGAAGGGAACTGTCGAGGTCGATGGCAGCACCTACGACATCTTCACCCAGACCCGTACCAACGCTCCCTCCATCGACGGTACACAGACTTTTGAGCAGTACTGGTCCGTTCGCAAGGACCACCGATCCACTGGTAGCATCGATGTTGGTGCTCACTTCGACGCCTGGGAGAAGAACGGCATGAAGCTCGGTACCCACGACTACCAGATTCTCGCTACTGAGGGTTACTTCAGCAGTGGATCTTCCCACATGACTGTCTCTGAGGGCGGTGCTTCTTCCGGTGGTGGTGCCTCCACTGGTGGTGACAGCTCTGCTCAGCCTGACACTGGTGCTGGTAACGGTAACGCTACTCAGCCCGATGCTGGTAACGGTGGTGACGCTGGTGCTGGTACTGGTGCTGGAAACGGTCAGGGTGATGCCGGCAATGGCCAGCAGCAGCCCGGTGCCGGTCAGGGACAGGACCAAGGACAGGGTCAGGGACAGGACCAGGGTAACGGTCAACAGCAGCCTAGCTTTGGAAACGGCCAGCAGCAGGGCGGTAACCCCTTCCAGCAGGGAGGTGCCCAGCCCCAGCAGGAGCAGGCCGCTGGCGAATCTTGCCAGAGCAACTAAAGTGGAAACCTGTCGAGCACAAAATCGGGTACTGGCTTTCCTATCCATCAGGAAACGCGCGTGGATAGAACTAAGTCAGACTACCTGAGAGCTGTCAAGTTTGGATGATGGTTGTTAGCTTCTTGTGCCTTTTGCATAGAGGTGAAAGGAATCGTATTTATTTCTTGTACATATGAAATATTTGCTTGCAGATCCTGCAGCCACATAAAATGTCCCCATGCTCAAGTGATCTATCTGCAGCCATGCTCCTTGTACGTACATGAACTACTACTTATCGCTTTATCTGAACAGTCAATTTATGGTATGTAGATCCTGCCGAGATCTTGCCTCACACCCATGCAAACAACTCCAGTTTTTGTTTCGCCCAGACTTCAATCTGCAAGCATTCTGTAGCTGACCCCTACTAGTTTATCTTGGCCGTCTTGTCGTTGTTAGCAGGCTTGCCTCGCACAGCTAAATCACTTTAGGTTATTTTAGACAGGCTTTTATGATGTTTATTTGTTTGCATCCTAAACCTAAGCCTCAGGATTTTTACTACTGTTAACAGCCAGCAGGCATCACTATGCTCGCTGACACAACAACATCGAGATGCCTCTTACAAGAATAATGGAAGGATGATACTACCAGAGACAGTGATGAATACAGCCAAAAGTCCACCGATGTCAGCAATGCTGTGACCCTGTGCCCCGTTATCACTATCGACGCCGCTATCATCCCCGTTTGTCTTTTGAGTCCCGCTAGTACTCGTAGGTTCAGAAGCATTATCTGTTCCCGTGCCTGTGACCCTCGACCCTGAATCGGTAGTCTTGCTAGGGATCTCAGTCAAGCTCGTAGTAGGTTTTACAACGGCAGCCGCAAGACTACTTCGAGCCTTCTTGACGTCAAGGTTGCAAGGCTTTGGTTTTGGCGACGCATCTTCCGCAAGGATGGGACAGCCAACTGTGTGGTTCTTTTCAAGCTTGATCGCAGTCCCCCCAATAGCGCAACCTTCGTATTCTGTAATAGCTTTGCGAGCAGTCTTTGCGCCTGGACGAAGAGTGAATGTGACGTTTCCTGAACGTTGGAATTGGTTGTTTTTCAACAGAACGCTGCCATCAGACCGCGGTTCACAGACAGTTGTCCATCGGAAATCCCACTTGAGGATGCAAGAATCTTCTTCACCGCGCCAGTACTGGAACTGGTCTTCGTCGGCATCAGCAATGGCTTGACTGGTGTTGAGAAAGTAATATGGCTCCGAGTCGGGTAGAAAGTCCAAGTAGAGCCTACCGATGCCAAATAGCGTGTAAGCGCAGTCAAGCTCCCAGTTCAGGGTACCGCTAAAAGTGGTCAAAACTGGCGCGTTTTGGAGGCCGAAGATGACAGGAAATGGTGCTTCTGCTGCGTACGTTTCCTCCGATCGTGGAAACACGATGTCTACTTCGCCAATGGCGGGGAATGAGACGACATCTTCATCAGATGCAGCTGCCAAGGTTGAGAGGCCTAGGCTGATGAGTGTTGAAGGTATGGCACGCATAGTTACGTGAACAACGGGTGTTATCAAAGAAGACTAAAGATGACGACCGAGATCAAATGAATTATGTGGAAATGAAGAGTATTTGAGCCATTTGTAAAGTCTTATAGTGAGATCAGGTCAGCCGTTTGAGCATGGTGTATCCTTGTTCATCATCCAGAACCAACTAGATTTGGGATCCAGCTGAAAAGGCTGAAACCCATTTAGCGTCACGACTTTGATTACTAGTAAATTTCCCCCAATAGTTGCGCACAATTTCATTAGCATGACACTGAAGAATTCATAAATGCAACTAACAAAGACGGTGTAGGTGGGCAAGGTTTCTTCCTCGATGGGAACCCACCTAATAACCTTATCTCGAACTCTACGCTTAATTTAATGTTGGCTTCTATGCGCTAGGGCTGGAAGTCCAGCACGACAGCAAATTCAGATAATGGACTCTGAATGGTAATAAACTTAGTGGCTTACAAGAGTAAGACAGAAATAGAGCAGGCAAGCCTCAAGGTGCCAGAAACAATAGCCGCTGTTAGCATAAGAGACGAAATTAGTAGATCACTTTATGCGACTAAGACCAGACTTTTAGGCTGTTTATTTTCCTGCCCTAAGACTCGAGAGGCTAACTTTCTGCTACCCACTAGGCAGGGCTATTGCTCGAATGCGATCTCGCTGTCCTGTTTACAATTGTCTGAAACAATTGTTCTTCAATCATGAGGAACCATCAACGCTTCTCAACTGCTCCCTTCATGTGTTGTGTCGTCAACGGCTGTAGGTAAGTTGATTGAACCTCCATGTTTCCTAGCCTATCTATGAAGAACCAGAGATAATGTAGGACTATGAAAAAGTTAGAACGGCAGTTTGCCAATACGCAGGATTCGCTTACTAGATCATGCCAGGCGACGCCAGCATACTCGGACTCGCTTTTGCCGTAGTGCTCGAACCCAAGCTTTTGATAATATGGCACAAGCCGGTCGTACGTCAAGATTGATATTCTGTCTGCCGCATCCATCTTCTTCATTCGTTCGATGTATTCCCGCATGATAGCCTTTCCCAAACCAGACCTCTGGTAGTCGGGAGACACAGCAAGTGCGTGAAGGGCAATTGTTCTTCCGTTTCTCTTGTGGCCAACGTCGAAGTCACCCTGAGAGTCGGACTTCCAATTGCGAGGGTAATCCATATCTTCGTCTCTGACGGGCTTGTTGGTGGATTTAGTGGATATGACGTGTGCTAGGAGCGCATCGTCGTCGGATCCAGGCTCTTCAATGAAGGGTATGTCCTGAGGGATGATTGATGGTAGACTGGTCCCGGCGCGTAGAAACAAACCCATACATAGCTCAGGGCATACTGTCAAGCGGTATTCGATCTATGAACAAGCGTGAGATCATTTTTCATCCTCGTGTGGATCTAAATACCTTTTCGCGAGTTGCTGCTTCAGCTGGTGGGAACGCAGCAGTTTCGACGACTAGTGACCGCTCCAGGTCGTTGACGTTGAGTTCTCTAACGTATAGTGTCATCTTTTCTAGATTTTCAAAGCAATTGGAGAAAGATGTTTGAGTTTTAATGATCTCAATACTAGACAATCCGGCCGAAGTTGATGGAAGAAGGCGGGGTTGTGCGGGGCTAGAGTCTATTTAAGGGCGTGCTTTTTGACTGATCGCCATGAGGATAAACGAAGCCAAAACAGGATGATAGTTGCAAGAAAGTATATAGACGAACAATGGCACATATGTTACAATAGACCCCAAAATTAAACATATGATTCAGGTAAACTCTTTTAAAAATCTTAGCAGGCGGGGGATTTGCTCAAGTCAAAGTCTGCATCAGTGCAAAAACATTATATCAAGACTGAGGCTCTGCGAAGATTACGATTATGATGCCTTTAATGGAAATTGTGCCAAAATTAAGCAAACATTAGTTTCAACCGGATTCTGGTAGTATGTATCAAAATGGGACGAAGCATATTCTTCTCGCACTATATATCGAAAGTTGTTTCAATATCGAAACTCAGTGCATGTATCGCCAGGTCACAGCCTTATCTCCCTTGGCTGAAAGTTCTTCTTCCGATATGGTCTCGTGCTCGCCGGCCGCCATTCTGCTATCGCGGCTCTTGTTGATGCGACTGTAGCTAAAGATCAAGATAAGAGCGGCGATGATTCCTGCGCCAATAAAGCCAAGTTCCAAAGCATGGCCTAGTATATACCGAGGACCATCTTTTTGCCGATAAAAGTTGGATGCCATGGCCTGGAATTATTAGAAAGGTCGAGTTGACTCGGAGAAGAACAATAACTTACACCACCAAGGTTTCCAACACCGATCTGGATAGCCATACCGACACTTCGCTTGTAGCTTCCCGACAGATTGTTGGCCAGCCATGTAATAACTCCAGGGAAGGCTGGGTAAATGGCGCAAGCTGCAATGAAAACTCCACCATAGACAACCTTTGGGTTGTGAGTAGAAATACACCTGCACAAAAGTTAGAGGTGAATGAATGGTGCAATAATAAGACATGACTTACATTGAGAAACCAACAACCATGACACAGAGGAATGCCACGATGAATGGGCTTCTCTTTCCAACTCGATCCGAAGTCCATGCCACAACCACAGCCAGAATAGCTGCTGTGATGTAGATGGGCACAGTCATGAGCTGAGCAGTGCTCGAACTGTAACCGAGGTTTCGAATAATGGTGGGCAAGAAGAGGCTGATTCCGTAGAGTGGGCAAACAATCTGCCGGCCTGTTAGTATAACTTCAAAACCGTCATGTACAAGTTAGACTCACTCCCCAGTACACAAAGATATTGACCCAGATCTGCCAATCCTTGAATGCATCCCAGACATAAGCCCATTTGAACTCATCACTCTGCGCAACACGAGACTGGCTCTGACCGGCCGCCTTTTGCTGACCCTGATACTTAAGTCGGAAAACAACAAAGGCACGCTCTTCTTCAGTCAAAAAACCTGCGGTCTCGGGGAAATCGTAAAGAGCCCAAAATGCAAAGATGGCAACAATAACAGTGACGATCCCTTCCAGAATAAAGATCCAGCGCCATCCTTCGAGACCACCAACGCCGTCCATCTTTGCAATTCCGAAGGCGAGAAGACCGCTAAAGGCACCGGCGATAGAAGCAGCCGAGAAAAAAAGGGCTTGTCGGAATTGGATTTCGTGTCGGCAGTACCACATGGTAAGGTAGTACTAAATCTTATCAGTAATCCGAAAAAGCCAAAAAAAATTGTTGAACTTACCGCAACGCCTGGGAAAAGACCAGCCTCGGTAAGGCCGAGAAAGACGCGAGCGACAAGAAGACCAGTGTAATTCTGGACAATACCCATCAACGTCATCACAACACCCCAAGCAATCATGATAATGGGAAGCCAAACGCTGGGTCGGAGCTTTTTGAGGAGGAGGTTGGATGGAACTTCGAAGGCGGCGTATGTGAAGAAGAAGACGGTAAGACACCAGTTGTATTGGTCGGGGGTCATGTTGAGATCTTCTTGGAGGCCTTCGATTTTCGCGTTTCCGATGTTTCCTCCTGAGAACGAGGTTAGCTTGGTATTGGGGTAGGGCCGGTGATGACGTACGGTCGAGGAATGAGAGGAGATACAGAAGTGCTAGCATGGGGATCAAGCGCATGTCCATCTATGATGACAATTAGCTGGGTTCGCCTGTGGCGGTGACATAGAATTACCTTGCGCAAAATCTTCTTCTCATCAAGGTGAGAAAAAGACTCGAGTGTTACCCCGGGTGCTGTGGCCATAGCATCAATGCGGCCAACTTGTGTTCCATCATGATGTCGGTTGGGTGCTGTCTCTGCCTCCAAGACCTCAGCCTTTTCGTTAGGGGGAGTAGAATAAGGTGCCATCGTTGGAACAGTTGAGGATTGAAACTGTTTGAAGCTTGATCTGAAGGTTCAAAAAAACATGGAATTGTGGATGATCAACGTCTTTAAGTACGTCGGAGCTTGCCCCTTGTCTTCCCCATGATTTCCCCGCAAAATTCAGCTATTTGTATTGCAGATCTCATGTTTAACGTAAAACAAGGATCACAAAAGACGCAGTGTTACAACCGTAAGAGGCTTGTGGGCGGAGCAAGCGGCAGATGGAGACGGCGTAAACGAAACTGCAACAAGGGAAGGGCGGAATTGGTTAGACACAGAATAAAAGAGGACCGAAAGGGTAGCGGTAGGGATCGGTTCCGATGCCATTGTCATTGAGTTGCATGAGTTGAGTCATGCTGTCATGGTTCTCGTCAAGTTTAACTGTAGTGGTGCTTCGGTTCCGATGGCCCCAACCAGCATATTGCAATTGCGTTAAACTAAGAGTGGCGGCGATCATTCCATTCGATGCAAGGGCTCGTCCAAGACTAAAATTGCCAACAACCTTGAGGCTACCGCCAAACTGGTATCGTTTGTCATTTGCCCAGGCCAAGCTTAAGACTGTTAAACCCTCGGTCCACTGAAGCACAGTGACGATACCCCAGATTTAGTGAACTCGGTGATCAGCATGCACTAACGTTACCCCGCATCTCAAAATGCCAGCCCCAGTTCCCTGTTTCTTTTCCTAATCATCATCTTCCGGATCCGATTCTACTCATCACAATTCATCCTTGCCTAATTCGAGATGAAAAGACCTCCACTATAGCGATCCAATCATGCCAACTCGCCTTGTGACAAGTCGTACTCAATTCTCCAGTTGCGATGAATGCCGCCGATCTCGTGTAGCGTGTGACGCTCAAAGAAACCCCGACAATCCACCTGGAGACCCTTCTTCGCCATGCACACGATGTCGGAACCGGAACCAAACATGTACTTTCCAGGTATGTACTAATCCAGTACCATACAGCATCATGGGCTAATGGATGTTCAATCGTATAGTGGCTTGAAAATGCCAGAGCAAATACTTCTTCGAGTGCAAAGGGGAAGTCCCGTCGAAGTCGAAGGACAACTTCGCGACCAATAAGTGATACATCCTCAACACAAGCTAGCCATGGTACAGAGACTTCTCGACAGCCGACCCTAGATGATATTTCTACTTTTGAAGCAGATATCGCTATCTCTGGCGACAGTTCAACCGTTTCGGCGGCCCCCCTAGAGTCAGTGCCACCATCACGGTACACAAGCCCGCCTAGGGGCCATGTGGGCAATGCCAGTATGGAGGTACTGGATACACGATGGCTCGACACCTTGTACAGAGAAGGGTTTGAGGTTGTATTTGGTTCCTGGATGGGTAGCTATAGCTGTCCGTTCTTGTACGTATCAAATGACTCTCTTTCAAGTCAACACTGACATTTTGAAGGTTTGGTCATAACCTAGCCGACAAATACGTCAGTATATCTGATCTTTGTCGCCATCTCGATGGGTGCATAGTAGACTCGGGCAACAGTCAACTAGTTGGTCGAGGTGAGGATGCTGAACAGTCTCTGCAAAGCACCATTTCTGCCTTTGCTGCGCGTTGGCTTCCCGTGACCTCTGAAGCAGAACCTTACGAGAATCACTGTCATCTCGTACAGTTGCTTTGGAGACATGCCCGAAGAGACATGCTGCGTGTCATTAACCGACCGTCCTACAGATCGATGCTATCGTTGCTTCTATTTGCCTTGACACCAATACCCGAAGGTATCTCGGAGGCAGAAGAGACAGACGGCATATCCGGCCAAGCTTGCGTTCATGCTGCCTTGCAACAAATTCAAACTTTGCGAGCTCGTCAAAGAAACCTTCAATTTAGTGGCTCCAAAGTCTCCCCTTCACTAAGATCAGAAACCATCGTCACAACACCCGAATCAATCGAATCCTCTGGCTTCATCAACGCCGAAAGTACCGTATACTGGGCCGCCCTAACATTCGATACCTCAGCGTCCCTCACTCTGAACTGTCGATCTTTGTTGTCTTCAAACATATTCGGATTCGAGTCCGAGCTCCCTTGGCGTCTAGTCAGGACTTGTGCCAAGATGTTTGATGAAAATGCCCGTCAGTGGAGTCAAGCAAGCTCCGACATGACAGATGAGAGGGCGAATCAGATAATTGCTGCTGGTGCCTCCTGGAAGCTTCTCGGATGGAAGTTGACTGCGATATTCAAGGAAGCGCTGCGTGATGGTCACGAGGAGCCCGAGGTACGAAAGGCCTATTTCGCTGTGGTGGATTCCATAAAGCAGTTTGGTATCATCTACCGTCCACTTTTGGACGAGTGTCACAAGAGAATGCCGTTTCTTGGTCAAAAGACCAAATTGCGTTGGTGTAAGTACAGTATATATATGATAGAAGACGCCGCACTGACTGATAAAATAGTCTCTCTTATGCTTCACTACCACCTCAGCATATTAATGCTAGTCGATATCATCGAAGCCACCGATCGTCAAGATCTATTGCAGGATATTACGGACATAAGCATCGATGCCGAGAACACAGTCATGAACACACTGGCGTTTGGCCTTCATAATACCTTTACACTGAAAAGGCCCCTCGACGATTCCCAAAATGGAGGGAGATCAGTATTTACAATACCGATCGTGTCAATTGATCCCTATCCGCATCATGCAGTTGCTGGGGTGCAGCTACTACGAAAGGCAATTGATCGTGATTTTGGAGTAGGCAAGATCACGGAAGAAACGTATCAGAGTTTACTTTCGACATTGCAACAAACTTTAAAGTACTTACCACAAAGTTCGAGATCTGTTCAAGCCGCGATAGCAAAGTTTTCAACGGTTTCAGCCAATATTTGATGATTTTGGCTTTTAAAGCATAATGGCTTTTTCGGCGTGCAGCTTTGTCACAAAAGGTAGAGCTCATAAAGCAGCCTTATTCTCTTACATGATACAAGATTCAGCCAATATAGTCTATAATTGAACGCCATAGTCTAGTTAGCTGATCAAACTCATCTAGCGATATCACGTTCTTTCGACTTCTGCGCTATTGAAACAGAATATTTATCCTCAAGCGAAGGCTTGCCAAGGCGGAAGTGGGACTCGAAGCCTAGTAGATTCAGAACATAGAAAATAGCTAACATGGGACCGAGCTTGTCATTTCGCTCTCTCGACAAGTAGAAACGAGAAACGAGATTCACACTAGCCCAAGGACAGATTCCGCACGGCGAAAGGGCAAAAATAACTCTAACAGAAGCGAGTCAGCCACCGACATCACAGCTGATTCTTCGGGTACGATTATCCTGTTTTTTCTTCTATCGTCGGATCCGACTACAGACAACTTAGAGAAGAAAATGAAGAGGGCTTGTTTGCCACAGTGTCAATCGGATCCGAAATGACGATGTTTTCTGGCTTCTTTGTTCAGGGTGTCTCTTCACGCGTAAATACTTCACCTTCTTCGACGAAAGAAATCTTTGCATCTCAGTACAAGCACAACTCGATACGATGGTACTTACTCGGAAACACGTCACCCTTATCGGTGCTGGGACACAAGGACGACGCCTTGCATTTATGGTCAGTACTTGAAAGCACGATGCGAAATTGAAACGGCTCATATTCTCAATCTCAGAGCTGACACGCTATCTCTCCAGTGGTCAAGCACAGGCAATGATGTCCATCTGGTCGACAACCAAGAGGCTCAGCTCCAGGCCAGCATTGAGGCTATTGATGAATTTCGAAGGAGTTCCAACAAAGAAAACGCTTCATGGGGAAAGATAATTACCCATTCAAGAGAAACACTATCTGAGGCTCTCCAAGCCGCATGGTTAGTGGTAGAGGTAAATGAGCTTCTCTGTCCGAATCGAAGAGGTGCTGATTTTTCAGTGTGTCCCTGAGCGACTTGACCTCAAGCAAAAGGTCATATCTGAGCTAGATTCCATCGCCCCGAAACAGACGATTATTGCTTCAAACTCTAGCAGTTACTCCTGCTCCGAGATCTTGAAGGGTCTTAACTTGAAGCATGAGAGTCGGTTCCTGAGCGCTCACTCTTGTACGTGAAGACAAATATTTTTTCGGGGAACTGCTGTTGATGTTAAAATTTATAGATTGGCCACCTGAAGTACCTGGTATACAATAAACTCTGAAGTAAAGAAATCATGCTAACTGGTTCAGAAATCGAGATCATGGGTCACGAAACCACAGATCCTTCGCATGTTGATCTAATGATGAAGCAATGCAAAGCCCATGGCTTTCCTCCCTTTCACGTCAAGAAGCCATCGATGGGGTACATCTATAACAGGTAAGTCCCTGGTACCGGATCATAGTAGCTTCAATGACTAATAATTCTTCTCGTCAGAATATGGGCAGCTATCAAGAGAGAAGCTCTTCTCACAGCAGCAGAAGGCGTCGCAACTCCTGAAGAAATCGATGGTATCTTCAAAGGAGTTCTAAAGACACCCAAAGGACCATTTGAACAGATGGATTTGGTCGGTCTAGACGTTGTTATGGACATAGAGCAGCATTATGCTGATGCAAGGGGGAATATTCCGAGTGAACCCCAGGAATTTCTGCAGAAGTTCCTAGATGAAGGCAACCTGGGTATCAAGAGTGGGCGAGGCTTTTACGATTACACCAAAAGATAAAGGTCTTGTTTGTTATCTCCAGGTTCGCTTGGCGAAGTCTTCCCTTCATTGTTACGATTTGATAATACATCGAATACCGGCGAATCAAATGAACTCAGATCATCATATCCTTGAAACGCCTCTAAAGCCAAGAAACTCGAATCCCAGGCTCAAACGATTATAAAACGTCTTGGTATAGCTCCAGGCCTCTCAAGCCACCCCGCTATGGTGACATTGGATAAAACGAAAATGCCAGGGATCATCGTTCCCGCGGGGAATGTTGTTGCATCAGGGCTCGGCCCGTAGAGGAGCAAATAAAACTTGGCGCTGTGGATAATGTGGTTGCATTGCAGGGGACATGCTACGGAGTGAAATCCACGCGCTTTAGATCTGGTTAGGAACCGATACTCATATAGGCAGTTGGTTTAAGGTGGCAAGTCGAGCAGCCTATAGTAGAAATCAAGCCGATAGACACGTACTCTGTAGAAACACTCATCCATAGACTTAGACCGGGAACACCTTCCTTGGCGAACCTCAACGCTCCACTATGATGCGACTAGTTACAGGGTTGCACAACTCTGTGTTGGTGACTTCATCTAGGTTGTTGGGCCAATTACTTAAGCGAAAGCGAATAATTACCCGCGGGTATCGTGGTAGATCTAAATCCTGCAACATGGCAATACCAAGACAACGGCGAAGTTGATTATAGTTAAAAATCGTGTGGTATTATTATGATGTAATTAAAGCGTTCTAGCGCAAGAAAAAAGAAATCTTTTCCCATCTAATAATATCGCAGTCTACAGGTAGACATAGCAGAAAGGACCAGATTGAGTGCTCATGAGATCCTTGATCTGCTTATCAGGTCCAAGCCAGGCCATATGGATGGTGTCATCAAAAGTAGTATCAGCGCTGGGAGGCATGTTGAGGAACGTGTTTGTGCCTGCAAGAGCATCCTTTCCATTGATACGGTTCTTGGTGTCAAGCATCTGCCAGATCCACCAGACACGGTCAATCATGGAATGGTGAAGGTAGAAGGCAGGGTCACCAGGGGAGGTATAGACATCCCGACCAGGGTCACCACCAAGAGCGTAGTGACCACCACCATGGATACCAATGTCTCCAGTGCCGGGGACGCCCTGCATCTGCATCTGGAAGTCTAAGACATTCTGGGGCTTGATAATATTGTTCAGGACAGAAGTAGCGTTTGCAAAGCGCTTATTGACCGAGTCACTCAAGTCACGCTTGAGGCAGCGAGGGTTGTATTCGAGCGGGCGAGGATTGGACTGGACTAACCCGCCAGGAAGATCAAGGGCTGCAGGGCCAAGGTTGACACTCATGGTCTTGAAGGGACCTGACGTGACACAGCCACCTCCATTGCCGGTCTCGAGGTACACGGGAGGCAGACCACTGGATGCTCCAAGAACGATATCGGGGGTCTTGCCAATGCTCTCACCATCACCAGAGAGGGATGTATCACTACCATCAAAGATGGGAGACTTCTTGAGGCCACTAATGGCAGTGAGTGACCAGTCCCAGTACTTTTAAAGCATTTTAGTAACCAAAGTAAGTTGTCATCATTTTGTTGGGGTGCTTACAGGCTGAGTTCCCTTGTAGCCGCACTCGTTTCGAAGAGACTCCTCATACAACCAAGTATAGTAGCGGTGGAACGAGAGGAAGTTGCCAGTATAATGTATGGCATTGGTTTGGTTAAGGTGCAAAGCAACGTAATCATCGAACCTTGTCTTGGCTCCAGCGGCAAATTCTGCAGGACCCTTGGCAGGTTTGGACTGGAGACATTTGACAGCCTTGATGTAAGCCTGCTTGTCACTCTTGGAGAGTGTGTTCCTACCGGTAGTTAGTATCGTGCTTACTCTGCATGACATGCAGTAGCATCCAGACTAACCATTCTCGTCGAACGCGGACCTTGCTCCAATCACAAGTGTTGGCACGCTTGGTTTTGCCACCAGCAAGCTCTTGGGCAGTCTTGTAGGCAGCAGCAGCAAGATCAGCGATCTCATCAATGTTTGTCACCTCAGGAGCAGAGGCATCAATTGTGGTGGGCTTGGGGGCAGCCAAAACGCTGATAGCGTTGAGTGCCACAAGGGAAAGAAATCCGGCACGCATGATGATGAAAGAATGAGGGGAACAGGACAAACGAGGGACAGGGATTGCTCAGGTTTCAACTCTGGTGATTGTGACTTGAATAACCGGTGAGTGAAGAGAGATGATCAAGTAGAATCTGATTGAACTATATACTGCATGTGAGTCCCCTTAACCAGGGTTTTCGTCAAGTTGACTTGCATGATCAACAGGTCCCAAGTGCAGGACAAGGAAATGAGTGGTCTTGGCTCTCTGTCAGACCCCACGACTATCATGGATAAAGAATCTGCCAAAGTACCTTACAATTGGGGTATCGTGCAGAACCATTCAACGGTGGCTATAAGGCATTGACTTGAACTGACGGCAATTAACCTCGGACCAATGACCAAAAAAGCCAGGGTCAAGACAGAAGCGCGTGGTGAGTGTGGAGTACCGTCTAAACCTTATACATACACTTGAACCGAGGCAGGGGTTCAATGGACCAAGATCTAATCCGATTTAGGATTGTGATCCTGTAGAATGAACAGGGAGTTCTAGGAGACGCTCACATAGTGACAGGGGTTTATCTGCAGGAGAAAGGTACACCAGCGGCGCATTTGCTGAGATAAATATTTCAGGGGAATAAGGCTCAGTTGATGGTATGATATGATAAGTGAGCCCCTTTTTGAAAATCATGAACTTGAGCTGAAGCTACCATTCTATTCATATCCATATCAATCAACGGGGCTTTTATTAGTACAAACGATGGCTGAGCGAAGATCCGGAACTGTCCCGTCAAGTGGAGAAAGGTATCCATATCTGAGAATATGCCCGAGACTAACAGAAAGTGTGCCATTCCCGTTAGTACCCGCGGGGAAAACAAGAAAACTGTTCCGAGTGTCTGGTGTTTTGAATCCATAGATAATTGAGGGGAGAGTTCGGGGCTAATATCCAATAAAAAAAATTATATTCAACAGAAGACAAAAGACATAAAACCCGCTTTCTGGTCATAGTTCCATCCGAACTCCTTGATCGACATGTAGATCGTCCCCCCCTCGCGAATCATGGCTGGATCCAGTTGACGTGCGACTCGACTTTATTAACCCTAGAAATATGTCACTCTGCTATATAGCACCTTCCATGTTGAATATTACTTCTTATGCAAAGCCGTTGCAGTTGCATTCGCAGACTTGTACAGGAAGCGTCAATCCATTTGCTGGCGGGGAAGAATTACCGCGGATCCTGCAAACGCTTTGGACGTGCATATCTTTAGTCTCGGCTGTAGTGAACTGGATTGAGAAACGCTTTATCACATTATCTTGGCGTTTCATCTACGGTGGCGTCTTTCAGGAACATGTGATCACCAGACCCTGGCCAAACTGATGGAACTAGCCCTCAGATTATGCTGCGTACCGGATCTACCGCTGCCAGGGATCTTCTTCCAGGCGTAGGGTATAAGACGGAACGCAGCGTGTAAGACGCTTAATATCAGGAGGCTGGTGATTATGTCTCGGCACTATGATAATTCTACATCAACTGGGTAGGTGATCCGACTTTAGTTTGGCAGTATTCTCCGATTGGAAAATGTGGAAATTACCCAATGCTATACGAACACTTTGACGTAACACATTTCCGCAGTGACAGTGAATTCGGGTCAAAGATTTTGCAGGTACAATAGTTTCTTCACTGCGTTGTACCTTGTAGCTGTATGTTTATCTTCCTACTTCGGTAGACCCCGCCGAACCTGCATCTCTTCTATCCTCAAAAGGCCTCACCTGCGTTCCTAGACTGTGGGACTTACACATTTTAGCTCATGCTGAAACCCTGTTAGAAACGTGGTGTCCAGGCTCTTTATGTGAGAGGCAACTCGTCTACTGATAGTACCCCCTTGGCAGACACGTTTTGCCCACTCTTCTGTGCATCTATTTTCTCTTATTATGTGCCCTGCTTCCCCTACCTTGCTGCTCCATCCTTTCCATATTCTGGGGTCTCTTGTACATCTTTGCTTTTGCGTCGATTCATCATGGATCCAGCCAACTTGCCCTCAAATCCTGAAGAGAACGCGTCTGCTACTATTCTTGGTTCTACCGTTTCTATTGTTACTTTGGCCACGATCATTGTACTTGCTCGTTTGTATGTGCGAGTGTTTATCATTCGTGGTACTGGATGGGATGTAAGTTGATTTTAATATTGCCGTCAACTTGCTTTTTTTCTTTGCTTTTTGTCTTCGCTTAACTCTCTGCCGATCATCTACTTGGCAATCTTTTGCAGTCCGATCCAACACTGACATTTTGACAGGATGCATTTATGATATTAACTATGGCCCTAAATTGGGCCGGAGAGGGTGTAATCATCGCCTCGGTGGTTTATGGCGCTGGGCAACACATCGGCGATGTTGATCCAGCTGTGTTTCAAAAAGGAATGAAGCTCAACTTTATCAGTCAACCCATTTTTCTTATTGCTATCTGCGTCGTCAAGCTATCCGTCGGATTTGCTCTATTACGAATTGCCTCTACCAAATTCTACCGATGGCTTATTTGTGGTATCATGATCTTCATGTCAATCTATACCATTGGATGCTTCTTTGTAAGTTGCAATTTTCAGTCACAAGACACAGCATGCTGACATCTAAAAGACCGTAGTGCTCCAGTGCAAGGATCTTCGTGCCCTCTGGGATCCTTTAGTTCCCATGCAATGCTGGCACCAGCGCACTCTACAAAGCCTATCATATACAAACGCGGCTCTGAATATCTTGACTGATCTTTTCTTTGCCATCATTATTCCTACACCCATGCTATGGAATCTAAATGTCCACTTCCGCACTCGAGTGACACTCCTTGCCATTCTTGGCCTCGGTGTCTTTGCCTGCGCTGCCGCTATTGTAAAAGTCGGTTATGTTACCAACTACGGCAAAGTTGGTGACTGGCTTTGGGACTCCCGCAACATTAGCATCTGGACCGTTGTCGAGCTCAACGTTGGTATTATTGGTGGCAGTCTGCCCTGTCTCAAGCCACTGTTCCGCCGCTTCCTCGGCACATACTATGGGAAGAATTCCAAGAAGACTCCAACTACTGGCAACACTGGCTATGGTCGTGGGACACTGCGAAGCGCGACAGGGCTTAGCGCAAAGAACTGGCATACCTTGTCGAGTGGTAACAGAAGGGAGGATGAGACGAGCAGTCAAGAAGGTATCAACGTTGATTATGAGCTTCGAGACAGGATAACAAGCCCTCATGGGTTTACCAATCAGGCGACAGTCCTCGGTAATATTGACTTACAATCGAGTGACGATGAGTGCGCAGGCATTACGAAAACCACCATGACCACTGTCAAAATTTCCAGGGCAGGCCATTGACCAATGCGATAATTTTTAGTTTCTTTTTACTTGTATCGATGGATTTGAATTTATTGGAACGAAATTTTATATGATATGCGGATATGTGTCAGACTTCCCTGTGCGAAGAGAAGTTCTTTGAGCCTAAAAGTATGTATATAGTTTTTAGTATATATCCCTTGACGACTTACGCTATGTTAAAGTGGATCTTGTCATTTTCTTATCAATTCAATGCGAGTTTAATAATGTATACATATTCTGCTTCGATTAGCATGTGCAAAACCCTTTTCGATATACTTGAACTGTGAAGTTGATCCGTCTGTCAACGCAGATCGAGACTGAACACATGATAACAACAAATGTATCTCATAATTAATGGCTTTATGTCAATATGAACACATATGGTGTGACTGATTGATCGAATTATCAAGCATTGCGCGAATCCGTGTCTACTTCACCGCGAGTGAGGTCATGATACATTCTTGGTCGATTTGTATACTGAAAAAAGTATGTGATCTAACTTGTCAGATATGGATATACTTTTGAGTTGTGTTAGATGCAAACGCTATTTATAGCTTGTCGAATCCGGATATAAGTAACGTTCTATAATGCTTCTAGGGCGAGCTAATGCAGGGCTTTGAATAGCTGATATGGAAGTCAGGGGTAATTTTAGCATATTCCAGATATGTGAGGGCACGCGTTGCCGTGAACCGAGCCTCTAAAGAAGAAAAGGGGATTTGAGTCTGATAAGATACCCCTTTTAACCAAAGTGATTTATCATTTGGGTTGCACGACTGACCATGTCTCAGCCATCTGTGCTGCATGTTCGTTTCAGGCTTATTATCGGATCATAATGCCTTTGTTCCATTAGTTTGCAGAACTGTCTGTGTGCAAAGAATAAGGTTTCCCTCAGATTGGTATTCTCGAACGGACCAACATGTTGTCCCAGCCAACATTCCTCGCGGAACATACCCTGGAGCTCCGGACAGGAACGGAGCTGGGCGAAAGTTGCCGGCAAGGCTGAAGTGGCTTAGCTTAGTTACCTATTGCTGACATGATTAAAATTACGTTCCCTCTCAATCAGTCTTATCAAATGGTTAAAGTATTGAACCCTCTTGTCTCCGTCCAGTTGCCAGAATTGTCCAAGACACACTGAGAGCAGGGATTCAGTCTGTTATCAACTTATCACCTGCATGCAATATGTATGTATCACTTCATTATCTGCCGAAGAACAGCTCATCTCCACCTCCCTCCCCCAGGCCCGGACAATGGAATTCCTAAGCTTATTTTTGCCGGTCTTGGTCTAGTTTTGTCTTCAGGACTCCATTTCCCCCGCAACGCGGAGAGACCGGTCGGTCCACCCCCGATTGGCCACGGGATCCATGCAGGACGCGAGTAAGGTCACATCAACTTCGTATCCCATCCCGTCGACTCTGAGATAAGGGACAAGAACAGAAGACTTTATAACTAGTCGCGTCTTTATTCCTCTTTGTCGCGGCGTAGTTCAGAGCCAAGACTTTGTTCAACATCAATCAACCCATTGTAAGTCATCGCAATCATGGCGGCGACAGAGAATCAGGCCCACGAGGGTCGCCTCCAAAAGAGGTTCTCAAAGATTACCATGATTGGCATGGCTTTTGCAATTCTCAAGTAAGACATCCATCTCACCACATCTGACTTACCCATACTCACAACCAACAGCACCTGGATCTCTCTTGCAGGATCGCTAGGACTTGTTATGCCATCTGGTGGCTCTGTTAGTTTTGTTTACGGCTTCATCTTTTGCGTTATCTGCAATATCTGTTTGAGCGCCAGTGTCGGAGAGCTAGCATCCCTGTATCCTACAGCAGGAGGACAATATCACTACTCCTTTGCCCTATCAACCAAAAAATGGAAGAACCTCATGGTAAAAACATCATCACCAATTCAATCAATTTCTTATTGACGCGCGACAGAGTTTCATCGTTGGGTGGATTAACATCGCTGGATGGTTGACCCTCAACACAACCGCTGCTTACTTTGGAGGTACCTCACCCCCTTTTTATTTCGCTAAATCTCTATCAAATCGCTTACAACAAATTAGCACGTTTCCTTGCTGCCGCAGCAGTAGCTGGCTCTGGCGGTACCTACGAGATCACTCAATGGGGCACATATTTGATGTTTGTAGCAGTATCAATTGTCGGCGTTTTCCTGAACATTTTTGCCTATCCAATTCTGAACCGTTGGAATGAGGGTGCCTGTACGTCCTGTGTGTATGATCTGAAGATCTAGATGCTAAGTTTTTGCAGTGTATTGGTCCTTGACCAGTGTTGTGGTTATCAGTATTGTACTTCTTTCCACGTCTCCCAAAACCGATGCCAAGTTCGTCTTTACCAACTTTTCCAACACAACCGGATGGAGCGATGGCACAGCTTGGATGCTTGGACTACTCCAGTCAGCTCTGAGTATGATTGGGTGAGTTCCTCTTGGCTTTCAAGTGGCAAACTGTTAACGATTGTAGTTTTGATGCTGTGGCACACATGACTGAAGAAATGCCTCGGCCATCCAAAGATGCACCTCAAGCCATGGTAGCTGCTGTCTTAGTCGGTGGCGTAACGTAAGATTTCCCGAAGAAAGTCTAGAAAATGTGCTAAATATTTCCAGTGGCATTGTCTTCATCTTGGTTATGCTCTTTTGCTTTGTCGATCTTGATCTTCTTCTCGCATCACCCACTCAGAGCCCTCTTACCGAGATGATCTTTCAAGCAACCGGCAGTCAGGTTGCCGCTACAGTTTTGAGTGTTGCTGTTGCTCTGTGTTTCGTCAATGGAGCAAATGGCTGTGTGACTTCTGGAAGTCGTCTTCTTTGGTCCATGGCACGAGATAATGGAACGCCATTTTCCAAATAGTAAGAATTCCTTCAACATTCCATAGCTATGCTGTGTTACTAACAAAAATAGCCTCTCGCATCTTCACCCCAAGCTTAATGTTCCTGTTCGCGCCATCTTGGTACAAGCTGTCTTCAACCTTCTCTTTGGATTATTGTATCTAGGTAAGTATCTTCATTCCCAACGTTACAATGTCCACTCTGACATATCAAAGGTCCGGAGGTTGCCTTCAACGCATATATCGCTAGCTGCACGCTTTTCCTCAACCTCTCATACGCTGCACCAGTTCTCATTCTCCTTATCCGAGGCCGACAACTTGTTCTCGCAGAGCCTCCTGAGTTTTCTCTCGGACATGTGTTTGGATATACAGTGAATTACATCGCAGTCATTTTTGTGCTTGTTACATCTGTTGTAAGTTCTGGCTTCAAGAGCGTAAACTACCTTGTGGAGTTATACTAAACCTTTCTGCAGTTCTTCTGCTTCCCACCTGCGATTCCTATTAACCTATCAACTATGAGTAAGTTTCTGAGCTTGAACATACTTGATCGATATGCTAACATGTTTTAGACTACGTCACGGCCGTTTTGGGCATCTTCATAATTTTCGTGACAGGACTGTGGTTTATGAAGAGAAAAACCTATGAAGGACCCAAGCTTGAGTTCATCTTGGGGGAAGAATTGCCCGTGGTTGACTCACCAGAGCCACAGAGAACGGAGAAGGAGGTTGTGTCTAGCGCACATTCGAAGCAAGAGGAGTCATAATCTGACCAACACGGAAGTTTGAGCACGGGCAAGCAAGCGGGTGGAATTGTTGAACGGTATTTATGAGATTATTGGTTATTTGCATTATTGTAATTAAGTAAAGGCTATCTTTCAAGTTCTCGTTTAATTATTCAAGGTCGACCGTGGTTCAGGGACTGCAAATGTGTCAGTGAATGTAACGGCTAATGCTGCATAGGCAAGGGTTGATGCTAGCATATAGTTCGCATCATGTTTCAATAATACCAAGTCTTCACATGATCTTATAGTAACTCGGTTGTGGCATGAAGATATTGGATTATGTTGTAGTTTTCGTATACAACAAACGACGACGACTTGGAATGGTACTCGGATATTCATTCATGATGTGATATAAAAGAAGATGCGCGCAATAACTTACAGCTTTGCTGTTGTGCTCCTGTCATATCCATAATGCCAATCCTCCCTCGCTAAATCTTGCCTAATCTGGTAATTGCGCTCCGCAATGTCCACAGTCTGCATATCAACGTTCAGGATACGCATTGCCTCCTCACCATCAGTAAAGCTCCCAGGAACAGTCCCAACAATAGGCAACGTGACTTGACTACAGCCAAAGAAGCCCTCTTCCGCTGGTCCGCCAACGTTGCAGTATATAACCGCGGCAGTGTTCTCGAAGGCTCGAGTCACCAGTGCAGACTGTATAAACATCTTTTCGCAGTTGGCATTATATGCGAGGCCCTCTTCTGACATATCCCCCGATGTCCAGTATGAAGGGATGATTATTATCTTGGCCCCGGCGAGGACCAGTTGTCGGAAGGCTTCGGGGAAGGCAAGGTCCCAACACACAAGTATGCCAACTCGACCGAGAGGGGTGTCGATGACTTGGTGAGGGTTGGGGGCTCCGAATTCGTTTTTGGATGTGTTGCGAGCATGATCAACAAAAGAAGTTAACGTAAGGCGCTCTGGAATCCAGAGGTTGGTCTTGGTGTAAGTGCCAAGGAGGTTGCCATTATGATCGATAAAGTCTGAAGTGTTCAGCAGCGTAGGCCTGGCATCAAGATTGGCTACATCGCCAAGGTTGGAAGTCTGGGTAACAAAGGTGCCAGCGCAGATGTTGATGTGAAGCTCTGCTGCTAATGCCTGGTATCTCTCTCGATATTTTTGTGCATCTTCAGGCGAGAGGGCAAAAGATGGCTCTTCTGGCACCCAACCTGTGAGGTGGTATTCTGGCAGGACTGCTAGGGACGCACCCCGAACCGCTGCGAGTCGTATTTGCTCGGCCGCATGTGCAAAGTTATGTTCCGCATCGAGGGGCTTTCTGGACGTCAGTACTTTCCAAGCGTCATCGATACTGTTGTGATGACTTACCTTTGGCTTCATCTGCACAAGAGCCACATTAAAGGAAGGACTTGGTGCTATTGACGCCATCTTGATTAGCTTTGATATTGACAGCTGCAAAAACAAGGGAGCATTGACCTGGCGTTCTTGGTACAGATAGCTTAGATAGCTGGGAGTAATAGGACCCATGAATAGAGAGAACAATAGCCATGATTCCTGTGCAAACAACTTCCGTTTCTGGTACTGATATCCTTAGCTTATTAATGCCAAGTTGGGAATGGAGTTGGTGGAGATGAACCATTTCCTGGGGAATATGGTGATTGATTATACCTCATGTCTCAGAATGGAAGTTAAATGACACGCATGTTGAGATATGCCTTTCCTGTCATTCCTTCCGTATTTCCGCCATGGTCAATCAATTCTGGCAACCTTGGAGCGGCTGAGGAGGTGGCAATATATACTATAGGTGGAGATGTAGTACAAAGCTAAGTAGTTCCACATGGGTTTAAGGTACTTGTGCATTAATACAGTGTTTGTAAGAGTACATTGATTGAATCTAGATATTGACAACACCACAAAATGGCATTTTGAATAGAATCAAGTTAGAGAGACATGTTCCTCGGCAATGGTATCAACGGAATGATACCTCATGGCAAAGATCCAATAAGGAGAGGCGAAGGCTTTACGCTAAAGAATCACGTGATTGTCGAGGCTCTATCTTTCTTCTCCATTCTCCACCCCCGACTATCCCGCACCTTGAAATCTCCACTCATCAACACGGACGGATACCACCAAACGGGGTCATGATGCTCTCAACTAACTCTACACATTCAGCGGCGCGCATGAATATCACTAGATCACGCACGGGTTGCGCTGTGTGTAAGTCTAAAAGGGTAAGCCATTGTCTTTGCCTCACCCGTGACCCTACCCCTCCCCCTTTCTGACCGCTTAACTAGCTCAAATGTGACGAATCCAAGCCCGCTTGCTCCCGATGTGTTAGACTAGGTATTCCATGTCCAGGTTATCAAAAGCCTCTGCGCTGGAAAGGCGGATCAAAGTCTCCGCCAAAGGATCCTCCTGAGACGCCTGCCGATGCTACTGTTGATGATACCGCCGCCTTACCCCCTCAGCAACCTCTACCAAGTCCAATATATGCGTCTTATCAACCTCCACCATTACAACGCCAACAACAACCCCCGCACCCGCCTCCGCCTCAACCCCAAACACAACCACAATCTCAACACTCGGGACAATTTGTCAATAGTTATTATGATCAAGGACTTTTAGATCATCTCTCTAATGTCATCGACGCGGGATGTATCGAGTCTCGAGGGCAGGAACCCTTGGATGGTTCAATGCCTTTGATGCAATTCACCGATGATATGTTACATCTATATCCGGACCAATCACTCGGACAAACGCCAGATAATGTTTCCCCAGAGCAAACTGACGACAGGCTCTGGTCAACTACCACAATGGAACCGCCACAGGTATACTCACAGGCCTTGACAAGAGTAGAACCCTCAAACCAGGCTTCTGAGCAAGTTATCGAAATGCCATTAGCTCAAGCTCTCCAGGACCATTCCTCTGTACTTGTCGAATACTACTTTAAGGAAGTATGCGGAATGATGTCCTGTTACGACAGCCCGATGAACCCTTATCGAACCACCATCTCAAACATGTGGTCCGGATCACAGTCTCTCTACTATATTACGCAGAGTATGGCTGCCGCATGTCTATCAGAAGTTTCGCCTACCTTTGCGTCGGTTGGCCATCGACTAAGAGACCAAGCCATGATATGCTTGTCCAGGGAAGCCAAGATTGCCGAATTAGAAACGTCGTCTCTGTTGGCCTTAGTCATGTTGGGAATGAGTCTTTCATGGCATGATCCGGATAGTCTCGGCCAGCCTCAATTCGATGTCCTTGCTCGAAAGGTTATATCTGCCGAAGCGCGCGGAGATCCGCTTGCGTTGGCCGACAAGAAGAAGGAGTTTTTCTTCTACAACTCGCTGGTGTATTGGAAAATGCTGCTTTCTTTTGTGACAGATTTGGACCCAAACACAAGGATTGCTGCACCGCAGCCAGTTCCACCGGACTCTCTCGATATGCACGAACCTCGCATGCCTCATCCTCAGACAGGTATCGGTATTGAAGTGCAGGAGTTAGTTGCCAGTGTGGGTAGCCTTGTACGGAAAGAACGAAAGCGATTACGCACCCGACGTTTTGTTTCCAAGGACGATATTCAACAGGCTCAGGACGCAATTTTAGCTTCGGAACAGCTGCATGCGGAGCTTTGTGCAATTGAGCTACCCCAAGAGGGCGATATTGTCGATGCTGGCGACGACTTGACCCCAGCCATTCACCTAGTCAATATTGCCGAAGCTTATCGATGCACGGGGCTACTTCAGTTATACCGAAACTTCCCGGATCTTTTGTTACCATATGCACAATCAGCGCACTTTATGACGGGCTCACCTGATTCATCAGGTTCTTATCCAGATGAGAGGGCTTTTGCAGATACGTGGTTGACCTGCTTAGCTCTCCATGTGCTAGACTTGGTCAAAGATATTCCTACGACATCTCGAAGCAGGTCTATCCAGCCGTTGCTGTTTGTGAGTATCTGTAGTGAGCTCTCGATGTGTCGCTCGTACTGCTCAATTTCAAATCTGCAAAGATCTCCCGTGGCGAGCGTAGCAGCCAGTCCACGGTTTAGGGCGCCATTGAATGGATTGGAAGTCCTTCAAGCAAGAAAGATAGTTCTTGCCCGTCTTTCCGCTTTTGAAAATATCTTGGCTGCTAAGCCGATTCGGCGAATGCTGATGTTGGTCAAAAAGACGTGGGCTTGCATGGACGAGGATAAGAAGGATACGTACTGGATGGATGTTATGATGGATAACGGATATGAAACGTTGATGGGCTGAAATCTCATCGACGAAAGATAGCATATAGACTTTGCGGATTTCTTTTCTTTTCAGACCTTCACTTATTTTCTTTATATGATTATAGAATGCGATCTAGAAGATGTCACTGCTTTGTAGTTTATATTATGCTTTTAATCATCAACTGAACCTATTGCGTTATCTTAATGAAGAGGCGGTCGAGACTTATCAGACGTTAATAAGCATTTAAATAATGCTGGATCTCCCTTGGTTGCGGTTAAACTCACGATCCGTCGAAATTTAATCTAGTCTTTGCATGCCATATCATGTCAGGGTCGGGGCCAGAGCCAGGGTCCTATCCACTTATCCATAAGGAGAAGAGCCCTGCATGCATAAGCTTTAACCGAACTTGGGTGATGCAACCGCCGGTTTACGAGGGAATCCAGTCCCGGCCCTGAACTACCGGTTGGTCGGCTTTCTGACTGGATTCGGGCAAAGAATCGCATAATTTATGCCATTTCGACCGTTGGTCAACCCTTGTTTTATGTTGCAAGGGCTGCTGATAGAAGACATATAAACTGCCATTACCACATACTTACAGTTGATAGCTCATCACTGCCATCACCATCAACGCAATCATGGCTCGTGGTTTTCTCACCATCTGCGTCAGCGCTCTTTTGGCCGTCGCCGGCGCAGTTAAGCCCGCAGACGTGGTCTTTTACAATGGCAACATCTACACCATGAACCCTTCTAACAACATGGTTACCGCCATGGCTGTGCGTGGAGGAAAGATCGAGTATGTCGGCGACAAGAAAACAGCGCACTCGTACATTGGAAAGAAGACAAAGGTTATTGACCTCGAGGGCCGCATGGTCATGCCTGGTCTTGTAGATTCCCACATGCACCTTGTGTCGGGGGGTCTCTTTCTTCTCAAGTGCGATCTGAGCTACCAGACATTGTCCATTGCGGAGGTGCTGGAGCACATTCAGGGTTGTATCGATAATGAGGCCGACAAGGGTGATGATGACTGGATTGAGGTCGTCAATATGGACTACGCTGGTCTTGTGTCGAAGAGCGGAAATGTTGGAAAGGCTCAACTCGACAAGCTCAGCACAAAACGACCCGTTATCATCCGCTCAAGCGACTACCACACTATTCTGGCCAACTCCCGTGCGCTTGATCTCTCGAACATTGATGCCAACACTAAGGATCCTGCTGACGGCAAGATTGTCCGTCTTCCGGGAAGTCAAGAGCCTGCTGGTGCTCTCCAAGACGGCGCTTCTAGCCTTCTTGCTGGTCCCCCTCCTCCCACCAAGGCCGAGAACCTTCAGGCTGGCCGTGCTGCCCTCAAGCTACTGCGTGAAGCCGGTATCACCACCTTTCAGGATGCTGCCGCTGATGAGGGTCACCACACTGTCTTTAGCGCTATTAAGGAGGAAGATGGTCTCTCTGCACGCGCTTATTTCGATTACCGCATTGAGGCTCCCAGCTCAGTGGAAGGGGTATCTGCTCTTGTCAAGAACGTCACTAAGAAACTAGCTTCTTGGCACGACAAGTCTGCTGTCGGACCTAAGCCTAACCTCAAATGGCAAGCCATCAAGGCCTTCATCGACGGTGTCATCACATACCCCTCAAACACCGCTGCTCTCGTCGACCCATACTGGGCACCCGTCAATGCCTCTAACGAGAACGGCACTTGGGCTCCTGACAAGAACTCCCTGAACGACCCCTACTGGAAGCCTGCTGTGCTTACCAAGACCATCGAACAGCTTTTCATGGCCGGTATTGACGCCCAACTCCACGTCGACGGTGATCTCGCTGTGCAGGTTGGCCTTGACGCTGCCGAGGCATTCCGGAAAAAGCACCCCGGCAAGGACATCCGCCTTGGTCTTGCTCACAATGAGCTTTCACAAGAAAGTGACTGGCCCAGATATGCCAAGCTAGGCGTTGACCCTATCGTCAGCTACCAGTGGTCACAGCTCAGCTCATTCTATATCCCCAACACTTTCAATTCCCTTGCCGAGTATCGCATGGACAATCTTCAGGCATGGGCCCAATTTGAGAAGCGAGGTCGCCCTCTTGTGTATGGAAGCGACTGGCCTGTAAGTTGATTTCATATCGTTGACCACAGCTAGATACGGTTACTGACTATGACAGATTGATCCTCTGGACGAGTTCCTTGCTCTCAAAGTTGCAGTCACACGCTCAGGAGATCCTGAAAACCCCAACTCACCAGCGTCACAGGGTCCTCCTTTCGATGGTGTCTTCCCGGGCAGCGGCATCTCACGCACGTCAGCCTTACGTTCAATCACTATCAACGGCGCCCGCTTTCTCCGTGCCGATAAGCAGATTGGCTCACTGGAAAAGGGCAAGCTGGCTGACGTAATTGTTTTGGAAAAAAACTTCTTCAAGGTCCCCGAGGAGGAGCTTGGTCGACAGAAGGTGCTGCTGACCATGGTCGGTGGAGAGGTGCTCTACGTTGCAAAGGGTCACGACTTTGGCGTCAAGGCCAAGTTTCCCAACGATGATGAGGCAAGTGGTAAGTTGGCTCGTCGCACCATTGGCGGTTTCAACGCCAACGATCTGTCAGAGGAGGCCAAGATGGACGCTGCCAAGCTACGAAAGAGGGGCGTTTGTGCTCACAAGCACTAAACGAGTGTTTGTCATTACCAGATTGTAGATAGCACTTATGACGATTCCATCTCGACTTCCTGAATGAGATCTTGAAAAAAAAGCTTAAACGCACAGGTCCCGCGTGATTGTAACTGTGATTGTGATAGACACAAAGTTTTGCAGTATCTCCGCCAAGATCCCGTGTCATGTCCGTGGGACCATGTTTCAGTACGACTTTCCAGATATGGAATTATCGCTTCCCAGACCAGATACGGAATAGTTGAGGAATTTTGGAATTAGCTGTCGGAATTTCTTCTACTTGGCCTTGGTATTGGTGCCTGAGCGCCATGTCTCATCTTAGTAGCACTAATAATGTATTGTACGAGGTGCTTGGACTGAGAAGCCCCTGTACTAAGAAGTGTCCGATAAGCAAGTGAGGAAATAGCTCATGATTAATGGGCGTATCGCATCAATAGATCAGCCACGAGGTAGTGTCAGGGGCATCAAAAGCGGCGAAGGATCTACCGGGAACCAGCAGTATTGAGGTAGTACTCGGCATGAGCGTTCCTTGGCATGCTGCAGGTCGATTGTTTTGGCTTGCCTGCATAATCACCGAACTATAATACTGTATGATATAAGTGTGTTCTTTTACGTGATGTGATATTGGTCAGCCTTTGTTGGCCACTTTTCAGGTGTGGCGCCTGTATCGCGATTCATGTTATAACATGTCATAAATAAGCAGCCGTGATCCGACATCTACCCAGTCGCCGTCTCTTAAATTCTAAGACAATTGATTGAGGAAACAGTGGCTTGATGTCTCTTTTGGTCAGTGGGATGAGAAGCAAGGTATGATTATTCCCGGCATCCCACTCTTGGGTGGACGTGCCCGAGACTCTAGTGCAAACCTTAATGCTTAGGCCTAGCACCCCCTGTCCAGTTCACTAACGTACCTAATTACTGATGTGTTGACCTTTACTTTATTCAGTGGATGTTTCCATGTCTAAAAACGCCACTTGCTAAGGGTTGGTTGAGCTTACAATGTCAGTTCGCAGTCTAGTTCAAGACAATGTGTTTATGGCTTATGAGCACGTCTGGTCAAGAGGTCAATAATAATTAGGAAATCACTCTATCGTAAACTCGTCTAGAGCGACCTTCTTATTTCGTCTCATACCCATTCTTCAGAGTTTTAGTATCCAAGGAACCCTCCGCACTCTACTCTCTACAGGGGACGTTTCTCTCCACCAACTCAACATGGATGTACGCCATAGACTGTGAAAGTCTGCAACAATGCCAAGTCTCCAATTCCTGGGGGACGGATTTGGACTTGTCACTCTCAGGTGAGGCTTTAGTTCATGTACATTGATTAGATACATACAGATGAACCCTTGCTGAATGGCTGTGCTCTAATGCATCTAAACTTTCGGATTTATCAAGGGCATCCATCCCATCTTTCTCCTGCTTGCGTCATGTCATTTCAGTTTTCCTTTTTCCGATCTCCATTACTCAAGCATTGCATTGGAAAATCATTGCAATCCTTACTTCTTTGCATGATACACAATTTCTTTTTCTGATGCTTTGATTCCTTTCCCAGACTCACTATGGCTACCGCGCCGTCTGCTGCTACTGTGATTGTATGTCTGTCCACATGAGCTTTACATCTCTTGATACTGACCCAAATGCGTAGGCAGTGGAGTTCATGCTCGTCGCAGTGGCACTCGCCATCATCATCGCTCGGATCTATCTACGTCTGGTGGTACAGAAGCAAAGTCTTGTTCTTGCAGACTGGATACGCATAGTAGCATTTATATCTGGTTGTGTCACGGCCGTTTTCGACGTTGTGTTCTTGGTCGAAGGGGCATTAGATCCCACCATCACTTTCACGCTGATTAATTGGAATGTGCCACCAGAGAAGCTAGAGCGAGTCCTCAAGGTCCGTCTAACTATGCAAGTGTGTACACACTATAGGCTGACTAGAATATCTACGCAGTTTACCTGGGCCAATGCGATCCCTTTCTTCTCAACCTTTTACCTCTGCAAAGCCTCACTTCTTGTTGTCTACCTCCAGCTATTTCCTACATTCATGCGAAAGGCACGAATAGTGCTCTGGGGAGTGGTTGCTTATTGCGTGTGCGCATACATTATATCGATGAGCCTCGTGATATTCCTGTGTTTCCCCACTGAAAGGAATTGGTAAGTCAATTGACATACAACTTTTTAGGTCTGTTTCTAATTCATCCTATAGGTCTGTCACGGAACCCGAAAAGCTTTGCGGCGATTGGCCGGTGGCTACAACATTCCAGATTGCTTGGGCGCTGCACTTTACTGGATCTCTTGCTCGTGAGCTTGCCTCATATTTCCAATTAAAGTGAAAATACTAACCATACCTTCAGTGTTTGCCCTGCCATTTCTCCTCCTCCACAAGCTCAACCTGCGCCCAAAGGTCAGAGTCGGTGTTTACGCCATTTTCCTTCTTGGATTCATCGACATAGCGTTTTCCTTAACTCGCTTTTTGACTATTCAACTCACCAAAGTTGGCGATTTTGCATCCATCACAACAATTGGTAATTCACCCCCACAATTCCAGATGAACATCTTTTTTTTAACATGTTTCAGCGCTCTGGAGTAGCCTTGACGTCTATGTTGGCCTGATAGTCGCCTGTCTACCCGCCCTCCGCCCATACCTCCACAGAAAGGGCTCCAAGTTCAGTTACGGCGAGTCAGGCCGACCAACAGGTAACTCAACCCATCCTGCAAGAAGGACAGTGGACCGAGGCTTCCAAGAGATAGACGAGACGCCGTCTGTGGAGGGCGATCGAGGACCTGGCCCGTGGGCTGTGGGACACTCACCTGAGCTCTGTGGAACAGGGTGGAGCGATAAGAAGAGTAACGGCAGCGACGTTGAACTGGTGAGTCTTGACGTTATGGCGGCCAAGGATCGCATGCATGTATAGACTATAAAGTTGCCGGGTGCAACGGTAGAGAGGGATATTAATGCACACAAAACCAATTCTTATGCTTGGCACATCGTGGTAACCCACGTGTACTGTAACCTCGAATCATATGCACGAATCGATGTCCATTTAACGCAATTATAATTCGACATGTGAGTTAAGAACTTATATCCCCTGCCTGGACCCCTGACTAGCGTTCCTGGTCGTTAAAGCATGGTTCATTACTCGCATCATCCCACGATCGACACCCGTCAGCTGTTGGTTGCCACCTACCCGCGGCCCGTGGATAAGTTCCTCGGGATGATACACACAAAGTTCTACCAAAGCCTGTTCTCACACAATTTAAACTTCACAACAGTTACAAAACAGGGCAGAATGCTTGAAATAGAACGGCGTAAGTACGCTGTGGATCTTTGCCAGGTCTAGGTCCGAAACCCGGACAATCAAATATCCGACACGTCACATACTGTTTCATACCAAGCTTGCAAAGACACCATGAACATCATCATCGCCACAACATGGAAGCTTCACTGCCTTATCACGAACCCTCGATAACGACCATTGCCATACTTTCAAGCTTTGTACTTCTTCTGAATTTAATTAATCATGGTCTTGATAAAATTGCCTACTGTGGCCTGATTGGCCAGGTCGCGATAGGGATAGCTTGGGGTACGCCAGGAGCAAAATGGCTATCTCACGATGTTGAAAGTGCTGTGGTGCAACTGGGATACCTTGGTCTGATTCTTCTAGTATTTGAAGGTAAACTTCACTTTCTGACCAACATATCACCCACTAACCCATTTCCTAGGAGGTCTTTCAACTTCTTTCAAATCCCTAAAAGCCAACCTCGGCCTCTCATCTGCCGTTGCCACGACTGGAATTTTACTTCCTATCGGCTTCTCCTTCGCAGTCATGTCTATGCTTAACGCAACTCCCCTTCAAGCCTTTGCAGCAGGCGCCGCGCTTTGCTCTACAAGTCTCGGCACAACATTCACCATCCTTGGCTCAAGCGGCCTTTCTTCGACACGTCTCGGCGTTGTCTTAACTAGTGCTGCTATGATGGATGATGTCGTTGGTCTTATCATGGTACAGGTTATCTCTAACCTCGGTGGCGATTCTTTCGACGCTGTTACTGTTGTTAGACCCATTGCTGTCTCTCTGGCTTTTGCAATTGTGATTCCTATCATTTGCAGATTTATCGTTGTGCCAGTTACCCTCCGCCTCAACTCTTACCGTGTGGCAAACTCATCTTCCGTGTCTTCGAAGCTTTTTGGTATGAAACCAACTGCGTTTGTTATTCATACGGGCTATCTTCTTGGTGTGGTAATTGGAGCAACTTTCGCTGGTACTTCAAGTCTCTTGGCCGCTTACATCGCTGGTGCGAGCATTAGTTGGTGGGACTCTGAAGTACCTCACTTGAAGCTGGATACCGATAGTCCTACAGTCGCAGAACCTGAAGAGACTCTCACAACCGATCATCAGACTGGAGAAGGGCCTTCTTTTCAAACACCCTCACCCAAGATTATGGAAGGCGGCTCAGGTGCTGAGGTCTTTCGCCATTATTTTGAGCCTCCCCTACAACGACTTCTCAAGCCATTTTTCTTTGTAAGTCCACCAACCTTTATATCACAAACACATTCTAACAATATAGGCATCCATTGGCTTTTCCGTCCCCATCACTGAACTGTTCACAGGGCCCACGGTCTGGCGAGGTGTCATCTACACGATTCTAATGATAATTGCAAAACTCGCATGCGGACTGTGGCTTATTTCCTTCACCAGTCCTTTCCAGGCCCTCGTTCGACCTGTTCGAAAGATTGTGCCTACGCTCAAAAAATCTTCAAAGATTCTGACAACTGGTGCTCAATGCACAGATAGCTCAGCACGAGAAGGGTCCAGTAGTTCTACGCAACAGAGTCAAGAGCGCGACAGTGTTCCTCTTCAGTCACTAGCAGACACTGATACATCCCAGGTCTCTCCTCATACACGCAACTCAACACCGAAGCCTGAAAAGGCGCTTTCACTCTACCCAGCGTGTATAGTCGGGATTGGCATGGTAGCTAGAGGAGAGATCGGTTATTTGATTTCTGCACTGGCTGAGAGCAAGGGTATCTTTGGGCGTTCAGAGAACGGTCAATCATCTGAAATTTTTCTCATCGTCACCTGGGCCATCACACTTTGTACATTGGCAGGTCCGATTTGCGTGGGACTCATTACGAAACGCGTTAGGAGACTAGAATATGGAAGCAAAAAGGCGAAAGGCGAAAGTAAGAGAAATGTTCTAGGGGCTTGGGGAGTCAGTTAGATATTTACATTGCTATTTATAGATCTTTTTCATAGCCTCAGGGTAGATTACAACGAGACACGAGCTGATGGCGAAGGTCCAACACCCAAAACTTCCCTGTTTAAACCAACCCAAGACGATGTCTCTATAGTACCGTCCATAGAACCGTGGCCCGAGCTATTCCTCATTTTATTCAACGCCTGAAAGCCACCTCGAATACTATCAGCTTCATAGCCCTTGGCACGAAACACACTTGTCGCAACACGAGCACTGTCTCCGTCATAACAAGTGAACAAGATCCTTCTTCCTTGGAGGAGGGACTGAAGTTCTTGTCCAGGTTTCCTGAATGTATCTTCAAGACTCTTCCATAGAGTTTCCAAAAGCTTGGCGTCAGAGAAGGGGCTCGGTGTGTTGTCATTTACAAATGGCATGTTGACGGCACCAGGAAGATGGAAGTTGCTGAAATCTTGAGACTGTCGTAGATCGATAATCGTTGTATCCTGTCTCGAACGGAGAATGTTGTGTAGATAAACTGTACTCACCGATGCACTCTTGGGGTCAGCAAGCACCATGTCGAGAAGAGCGCCTCTATCAACGTCGAAAAATGCATCAATAGCTTCAGAAGCTGTTCTCTCCCACTTCTCGTCGTACCGATAAAGGTCGACTTTCAAAAGGTCCTATATATTGTTAGACAAAGGACTTCATCTTTCTTGATCACATACCTCATTCTTGATGGAAGGAAAGTAGCTTTCTCCGAGCTTATCAAAGTACTCGCTTATGTACTGGTATGGCAAATCGCAGCATAGAAACACACAGTTGATAGTTCCATCTGGTCCAGCCAGATCCGAAAGAGAACCTTCAGCCTTGCGTTTCTCGATGAGCTGAAACATTCCTGTCAAGTTGAATCCAGAAGATGGGCCACAGACGATTCCGTTACGACATAAATCCAGGGACATGGAGAATGAGTTGTGTGAGTCGACCTCTTCGATGTGGTCAACTGATTTCTTCCATGGAAATTGAACAGGAGCCATCAGTGCGAATGATCTTGGGCCAGGGACTCGATCGCCAGGTGCTGTACATACACTACAAAAACAATTATTAATGAGTCCTTCGGGTACGCATGTTTGCTCGATTAATACCTACCCGAGTCGATACACCGAAGGCTTGGCTTCTTTAAAGTATGTGCCAAGGCCGGTCATAGTACCTTGACTCTGTTAACAGCTAACTGCAGAGATGATGACCAGTTCAACTTACCTGAAGTTCCCATTCCCGCACAGATCAAGTTGATTTCTGGTAATTGTGCATGAATCTGCGGGCCTGTCCACTTGACGTGTGCGTTCCAGTTCTGGTATACGTTAGTCCTCAAGCCGATGCTCGATTTGTTAACGACTTACCAGATTGTTTTCATATTGATTAGGGTTGATGACAGTCTCATCCGAATCCTGGGCGAGCCTCTGAGCTGCTCTGATACCACCACGTTCGTCAAGGGGCTCAGGTTGAGATGGGCCTCCAAAGAGTGTACTAAGGTAACATGTCAGCACTTTGGCCCACCCATGGCTTCAGTAACGTGAACGGCTCACATATCGATTCCAAAGAATTGCATGAGTTGAAGTTTCGTTGCGCTCGTCTTGTTACTCAAGAATGCTCGCACATCATCGATGCCATGAATAGCCCTTGAAATTAACGACATGGACAAAACAGTCGAACCTGAACTGTATTCAACAACTGCCTTAGTTTTCCCCGGAACTACACAGGTATTTAGTAAGTTTAAAGCTAAGATCCATATTAGAAAGGTACAAAGATACGCAGAATTGTTCTCTTGCCTGGCATGGCTTTGACATTGTTCGCAGGATGCATAGTCATCATCTTGGCATAGATGCGCACTCCATCCTGGCGATAAGGGTTAAGAGAGTCTGGGATCTCGACTAGTGGAAGAGGTGGTGCTGATTCAGGGTCGAAGTAACTCTTGATAGAGTCTTGTCCCTTGTATACGTTCAGGGGGTTGGGACTAGCCATGCTGAAACAAATTTGTGGCTTGGAGACTGGATTGAGTCGACAGGCATAAGGACAGAACCTCGAAGTTGAAGGAGTAATATAGCCGCTATATAAGTGATTCTGGGTGAGCCTTTTTCTTGTCAGCCTTCTTGGTTTGCTTCGGCTGTGTGCAGACATAGGATGTGTGGCGACCCTTGTCTTCGGGTAGTCAGCAAACGTTCTTCCTCAAAGAGAGTCGCATACCAATCAACACAGCTACAACCCACACTTGAGATTTTCATGGTACTAAGATCATCGTATTCCTGGTGAGAGCGAAGTGGATGCTGGAAACAGTCTGGCCAAAGGGAATGGGGTCTCGTAATGGCAACTCAGTGACCTCCTAATGATCGACAGACTTTTGTTTTAGTTCAGTGGAATATTCTGGCTCAGAGATACCCTTGCCAGGACAATTAGGTTGTTCAAGTATCATGTATGAAGCTCGTGGTGGTGTGTTTAACCATCAAGGTGATTTCCATAAGGAGCAAGTAGATAAATGAGTACCAAAGAATACGTACGCATGTGTATGTAAATAAGAGTAACTTTTAACAGTTGATTCATCTCGACTACTCATATAACCCAGGCTAATAACAATGACTAATTTTGTGAGTCCCTGCAGTAGAGGACCCTGATAGATTTTGGACAAGGAGGTTCACGGTGGAGATGCTAGTCAAGTTTTTCCAAAACTAGATCTACTAGTTTAATGGTTTCTAGAAGAACCTTGATGAACTAGGGGCTGTTTCCCCTTGCAAAACCCTAACCACGCTGCAGCATGTTGCAATCGAGTTTTATATTCCGGCCAGAAAGGTTCTCGCCATATTTGTCGATCCTTACGTATGTAATTTGAGGAGGAAAACTAGAGTCTCAGTCTGGGGAGAAAGTCTCGGCATCAAGGTAGGTTGAAACTTGTGGTTGGGTTAAAAGAGAGTTGACACTCCAAAGAGGTCAGTCGTTGACTGCCAAACGTTTTAAGCGTGTGTCCAAAATACGATAGACAATGGCAAACACCAACAACTCAGATAACAATGTTGTCATGGGTCGTGATATAGGTTCAGCAAACACTATTTTTGACGAAACAGGATCTGAGAACGGCAAGACCCATCAGTTCAATGAGCAGACGAACTATGTCCCCAAGAGAGCCATCATTACAGTATGCTGTGACAACCCACCAGAGGAGCTAACAAGCTGACATATGCTACAGATATTTCTCGCATGTGCAACCGTCGACTTGTTAGCATTGATGGACCAGACAATGTTAGCTACGAGTCTGTACATCATTGGAAATGCCTTGGGCTCAACAGCTCAGGTGTCATGGATAGCCAGCGGATATTTCATGTAAGCGATATCATTGCGACACTGGACGCCCGTTAACAACTACAGCACTTCAACAGTTGGACAGCTCATGTATGGAAGACTATCAGATATCTGGTCTCGTAAGATAATCCTTCTTGTAGGCCTTGCTATCTTCTTCATCGGATCACTGGCCTCTTCTTTAGCAGAGTCAGTGCTGCAACTCGCCATCTTTCGCGCTTTCACTGGTATTGGAGGGGGCGGTCTCATGACTGTCGCACAGTTGATAGTTAGTGACGTGGTTCCTTTGCGAGAAAGGGGAAAGTATCAAGGTATTCTGGTAAGACACTCGAAGCACATTTGTGGCAAAGAAGACTGACGGGTTTCCTTATCAGGGCGCTGTGGTTGCGATCGCCAATGGTATTGGACCTGTCGTGGGAGGTGCACTCTCATCCAGTTCAGAAGATTCATGGCGATGGATCTTTAGAATGCAATTACCTTTGACCCTTCTGACGACCATATGTGTACTTTTCTTCATGCCATTGAAAGGCGTGCAAGGAGACTGGAAACTGTAAGTGCTTGTGACGAATATGAAATGCAACTTAACTAACATGGAACACAGAAAACTCAAGGCTGTGGATTTCTTGGGCATCTTCCTCGCCCTCGCTGGCATGACTGTTGTTATTCTAGGCTTGACGTGGGGAGGAAAAGAATATGCTTGGAACTCGTCGCAAGTGATATCGACTCTGGTAATAGGAACAGCAGTGTCCATTGCGTTTATGCTCTGGCAGTGGAAGGGCCCCAAGTACCCATTAATACCACGCAAGTATCTCAAACACCTATTGAAACAACTTCTGACGAATATTAGTGCACATATTTAGGTCAAAGATCGTCAACGGCGCATGTCTCACCATGGCTATCAACGGCTGGAACTTTGTCATGCAAGTCTACTACATACCATTATTCTACCAACTCGTCTACGGTTACTCGGCTACCAAAGCCGGAGCAATGCTTTTGCCAATCACACTGCTCCAGACCGCCAGCAGTACCCTCTCAGGCCTCATCGTCCACTGGGTCGGTCGGTACCGTGAATGTATACTTTTCGGCTGGTTGTGTTGGGCTGTTGGTCTTGGCCTCATGTCAACTCTTGACGAGAAAACAGGTGTGGACAAACAGATCGGTTATTCTGTACTCATTGGTATCGGAGTGGGCAATACGCTGCAGCCGTAAGTAGGGGGGTTCGTGATGTTTGAATGGTATCAGAAAGGGCTCACAAGAACAATAGTGCGCTCATTGCTACGCAAGCTGGTGTTGATAGGCGTGACATGGCAGTTGTCACCTCATTTCGCAAGTGAGTGGTTGATGGCAAACATAACACAAGAGTGAAGTTGACATATGTAATAGTTTCGTCAGAAACCTGGGTGCAACACTAGGACTTGCAGTTTGCGGTACAGTCTTGTATGCTGCACCATGTGTCAAGAATGAGCAATCGCTAATTGAATGGCTGTAGGAACAATGTCCTCGCCGATTCACTATCCTCCCTCAACCTGGGCGACCACGAATCAAAGACCTTACTGGGGAACCCTCAATCCTTCCTCGATACCGTTTCGTCAAATGAAGCAAAGAGAATTCGATCAGTTCTCATCCCAGCTTATAGACAAGGATTCCGCATAATCTTCGTCATCGGCGCGGGTGCAGCCAGTCTCGCATTTATCCTGGCATTTATTCTCATGCCACAAGTCAACCTTACTAGATCGGATGACTCGAGACTGAAAGAAGAAGGTCGTAGAGCCTATGAAGAGAAAAAGGCCCAAGACACGAGTTAGGTGGGCATGACGCCAGATGTGCGTGCTTTGGCGGGAAAGAATTGTGGGCTTTGGACTACCCTGATTGTCTCACTCCAGATCGAGGTTCAAGTACAGGACATTGGGCGCCAGCAATAACAGTTTGTTTATTTTATTTGACAATTTCTGCCAACATAGTGATGTGAGATGAACAAAAGAATTGCCTGTTGGGAACCTTCCAAGATGGAAGGCCTAGCAAACACGGGATTCAGGATGAGCAGTACCCCTGTGAAAGCCGCTGTCGAAATCCTGATGGTGTCTTCGGCCTTGATTATCATTGGATGGCCCTGCCGCTTGGTCCTATTTGGTGACTTCTTGGCCTAGATGTTCAATGTTTAAGCGTAGAACAACCCCCTAGTTCCCTGCGATAACAGCTAGAACTGTTGCTAACGTAACATGACGATCACTTGACAAGTCTATAACAGCCAACCGCAAATACCGGAGAGCATGGCCTATGTTCAGCTGGGTTAGGTATGAAGATGAATCTCTGCATCTTATAGATGAGGGCTCAGTGGTCGCTCGTTTCTCTCATTGTGTCGCTGGCAACATCGATACCCCCTTTTAGCTCTCGTGTGAATGCATGCGATCTACTCTAACGCAGTCCATTCCTTTCAGTTTTGCAGTCGTAGACCTTTTGGGCTATAATCACAAATCACTTATTCTTGCACTCTTTTGAACAATGCCTGCTCCAGGCTCAAGTTACAATCGTCCTATTCTCCCCGCTCCCTCAAATTCAGAACCCCAAATGCACATTTCCCATACTCTACTACCTCGTCCACCACGAATTGGTGTCTCGGTCGCCTGCGAAACTCGTCGAAGACGCAAAACTCGAGTACAGCACCCACGACTGATAAGTTGTATGTTTACTCTAACTGATATTACAGTGCAACGGGAATCGACCACGATGTGCGAAATGCCACACAAATGGAATACCATGTACCTACGCCTTGCCTTTAAAGGACCACGAGCTACGACAGCAGATCAGGACCTTGGAGGCGGAACAAGAGGTTAACGGAAAACTCATAGAGCTTCTGCGATCGAGAAATGCTGGTGAAGCGAGCCTTGTACTCAATCTGCTCCGGCAGAATACTAGCGTTCGAAACATCCTACGCCAGATCGAGCTTGGGGACATGCTGTGTAATTTGTCTCACCAAGCTAGTCACGGCTATTCTTAACGGAAAAGTTCCTCGCAATGCATACATATCTATCCAACATTGTTGGTTTTTATCACCTCATCAAGTGCTTACAAAATTGACTTTCAAGCGGTCAACTCACTCCTCACGCCATCCTACGATAACTTCCACTATGCTCTTATGTAGCAACCACCAACCACCTACGTCGCATTCAGATCAGTATCTCAATGGATTGGATCAACCCTTCATATCTTGGAGAGTGCTGTAAGAGGCAATTGTGGAGTTTTGGCAGCCATACAGTATCCTGAGGGCCTTGACCTGGCTCAAGATGTCTCAAATCTAAGAAGTTGCACGATTACTCTATCATGGTTGACATGAGCCACCATGACCATCAAGAGAACCTTACCAGCGCCGCATCCCTCATCAAGCTGTATCACAAGTGAAGTATCACGATTGAGGCGGGGATCGTCCAGACCAATGGCAATTACCGCTATCTTGCATGGACTGTGTCAACGAAGGCATCGATGTGTTACGGGCTGAGGTTGAGAAAAGCACAAAATACCAGATATTAGCTACTTACAACATAACACGTTAAGGCGACTCGGGGAAACAATGGCACTTGAATGGGTAGTTTTACTATTGTGTAGATTTGCAACTAAGCAAAACACAGGTGTTCAAGCAAGATATGCAATGGAGCTTCCTGTTTCTTTAAAGTTAAATAGCACAGGTACATTAAATAAACCCACAATCTTAATTTCCTCCTCTAGTATTCTACGCTCCTGACTCGATGTGATTAAGTTGACACTTCAACCTTGTTCATACTTTTACCAAACCTGTATACTGCTCATCAGGCATCGGATATACCTACCGTTATGTCGTCAAAATTATGCCAGAAATAAAGAACATCACCATTGTTGTTGTCGCCGTTATCGTCATTATCATTACCGTCATCGTCAGCGTTGCTACTCAGTGCCTGTAACTACTAGCCCGCGCAGCCGTAGCCTTGTGATTTATACAAAAGGTCTTGATGCCCAAAAGACTTCCCACTGGTCAGGATCGTAAGAGTTCATGGGCCCGGGAACTTGACCTGTCTGGTAGACGAGCTTATAGAAATGGTGGTATGTCCGTATCCTTGCCAAAAACGTGGTGACCATGGGAGGATTTGCGCGATGAAAGCGAAGAGGGAAGCCTCTGTGTTTAGCTTCGGCTAATGCTTTTATGGTCTCCAAATAGTTATCACCAAAGATATGGAAACGAAGCTCCACAGGGATTAGCGAACCATTTCGGATGAACTCTGCAGTGATCATGTTCGAGCGTTTCGAAATAGCTTCCTCAATAGGCAAAGCATCGTATCCATCTGTAGTGCTAACCTGGTGGCCGTGCTCGACGAGTTTCCTGATTATCTTACAGTTCTCCGCCTCATCGTCATCAATGTGGTTGAGATAGTGGAGAGCTGTTGCGCCGCGGTTATCCAATATGGTGTTAAGGTTGGCAACAACGGACTCGTGTTCTAGTAGCGACTCGACTAGACCGGCATCGCCGTGACTCGCGGCTTGATGAAGAGCATGAACGCCGCATCCAGTATGGGTGACAAATTCCGCACCGGCATGGATGAGGAGCTGTATGGTATCCCAGTCACCCCCCAAGATGGCAAAGTAAAGGGGGTTTGCTCCGTGCTCCAGGGTCCATCTAGTAACTTCCTCCTGAACACCTTCAAGACAAATTATGCTAGCTTCGACGTTTACCTCCACGATATCGCAAGAAAATGCACCAACTTCGACACGGACGCGGCGATTTACGTCATCGCCTCGTTCGAGCAGAAGAGAGACAATGTTCTTGTGGCCCAGGTAGGAGGCCCAATGGATAGCAGTGGTTTGGTCGCTTTCCAAGGGATCGCGGATATCAATATCGGCCCCAGCGTCGAGAGATCTTCTGACCCCTTCCAAGCTACAGAGCTTTACCGACCTCAAGAGTGCAGACGATTCGTTGTTTCGCACGTCGGTGCGGTATATCTGTTTAATGAGGAGGTTGTAAAGGGTCTTGCAAGTTCTAGCAAGGCTCAGCGCATCCTTGTATCTCTGCAAGGGATTGAAGTATGGCTCAGGTTCGGTGTCGGCCCAAAACCAAGGTGCGGGCTTCTCACATTCATGGTTCATCTTAAGCATGTTGTCAACGATGGAGGAGATGATCTCCGGGGGTATCCTCAGGAAGGTGCGAGGCATATTAATGACTGTGTAAGTATGGACAGACATCTTGCTGTATAGGTAGGAGTTGTCAAAAAGTTTAGTAATAACAAGTAGATATACCCAAACTCGAGGTACTAGGAATGTCAACAATCTTGTTGATAGTAGTAGGATATGTGTGTGCAAGTCTTGATTCCTTGAACACGGCAATGATGTAGATTACCAATGGGTTTCGCTGTGGTTTAAAATGTGTTTGGTATTCGGGTGCGTGAAGATTAATGCGATGTCTGATGTGTAATGGATTGATGCCAAAGACCGAGGGATTGTGGGAGAGCAGGCTGCTTCTTATACGACTGAAAGGGTTCGTCTCTCGTAAACGTTTTGTTTGCAAAATGGGCGTGGGTTCTTCAAATGGCCGCAACATGCAAACTCAAATCACGATTTGCTCCATAGCAACAACAATCTTGGCTTGTCTGATATGTTTAAATATTGTTCATAAAATGTGCGCACTGCAATTTGAGACTGTTTGGCTTCTCTACGGTCTGAGGTTCATATTTTAACATTTAACAATCCGCTCAGTCAAGACTCTATTGCTGTCAGGTATCCACAAATCATTTGCAAGCTTTTCCATGAGATACAATTTGTAGGCAGGTAACGACAGAAAGTGAACATTGTACATGTGTTCATACAAACAATGCGAGTCTAGATGATCGCCTGGACATGGACAGCAGCATATCTATATAGATGCCTATCGCAGACACCCTGTTAACAATCACCAATCACGGTTATCGATTTCCGGTATGGTGTAGTGGCTAACATTTCGCGCTCTCATAACCTGAGAGATCAGTACCGCGGAGCCCAGGGTTCGATTCCCTGTACCGGAGTTAATTTTTGCCGCTCTCGACTCTGTTGAGTACCTTATTCTTTTTGGGTTTTCATTCTACAGATGTAAGTTTATCATCTGTCGATTGGCATAGCGTAACTCTCACTATATTCGCGATGCCTGCTTGCTGCAGCGACTTAAAATTGAATCTGATGCTTCAAGAACAAACTTTCTGGCAAGGGTAAAACTCTATTGTGCAAGCATTTCGAGAGAAAGGCAGCTCTCATCACTTCTAGCATCATGCGGATAGAGTTGAATAACTTCGCTCGAACTAAGAGAGAAATATCACAACGATCTAGATCGCACCTTGATATATCTGCTGCCCATCAATTATAGTCCGGCCGGGTAAAGACTCGGATCCGGAAGTGGGGCCGGTGTTTGCACATAGAAACGGAGACATTGAACCGTGAGAAGAGTGGTTGATGACGTTGAAAAGATGGTAGAATTGGTACTTCCTTATCGATAAAGCTATAGAATAAAACATCATAGTATCACAACTGTTACGTTGGGCGGTTGTGCAGGTAGTTCAAAGAAATGACATCAATGACTAGTCCAGTGCATTCAAAGTGCTAGCTAACTCTATCCATACAATTACTAGAAATGGCATTATCAGATCATCAGCTGAAGAAGAACAACACTTACAAATCATACCATGGAACACCATCTTTCTATCTATTAACAAAGACAATATTGAATACTCCAAGGCGGATGGAGCTTTCGGAGACGGGTTGATTACAAAGATTATTGTAACAATCGTGGTCCAATGTGGGACCTCCCACTCGATCCATACAAGGTAGCGTAGCCTCGGATTAGAAATCTAAACTGGGGGACCTTATGAATAATTGATCCAGTCCATTTCATTCCCCAGACCAACAAGCCCCTCATTATACGACATAAGTACTGTACTGTAACCATATTCAAGGTTAACATCTTCTACACTACCCATTCTTATAAAAGTCACACCATCCCCTCTCTCCCCACCTCCACTCACTCACTCACTCACTCCACAAACACCAAACATTAATGACAACACGCATTGCCAAACTAGGCAAACAATTCGTCAACATGGCTCAAAAGATCAAGACCGACATCACCCTCTACACCACCAACACTCCCAATGGCATCAAGCCCTCCATTCTGCTTGAGGAGCTCAACCTTGAGTACAAGGTAAACCAAATCACTCACTTTGCAGCAACACAGCCCAGCGTCTAACAAAACTCAGGTGCACGCCATCAAGATGACCGAGAATGAGCAAAAGGAAGAGTGGTTCCTCAAGATCAACCCCAACGGTCGCATCCCTGCTCTCACCGACACACTCGACGGCAAGCAGATTCGTGTTTTTGAGAGTGGTGCTATGCTGCAGTACCTCGTTGATCGCTATGACAAGGATCACAAGTTCTCTTTCCCTCAAGGCTCTGCTGAGCATTGGGAGATGACCAGCTGGCTTATGTGGCAGATGGGTGGTCTTGGTCCCATGCAGGGCCAAGCCAACCACTTCAAGCGTATGTTTTCCCCTCTGATTTCCCAGATGTCCAGTCCTAACACGTCACTCAGGCTACGCTCCTGAGAAGATTGAGTACGGTATCAACCGCTACACCAACGAGACCCGTCGTCTGTACCGCACTCTCGACACTCATCTCTCCAAGCAAGCATCCGGCTACATTGTCGGCGACAAGGTGACCATTGCCGACATCTCCATCTGGGGCTGGGTAGCCTCTGCCAGTAAGTCTCTTGCATTTTATACAGCATCTCACATACTGACGCGACTCAACAGAGTGGGCTGGCGTCGACTTGTCCGAGTTCCCTCATCTGGAGAAGTGGCTCTACAAGCTCCTCGAGCGTCCTGGCTTCGAAGCCGGTCGCCACGTTCCTACCCCTCACAGTGCTTTTGATCTGAACAAGCTATCTGAGGAGGAGCTGGAAGAGAAGGCCACCGGAGCCAAGAACTGGGTGCAGGCCGGTATGAAGGATGATGCTAAGAAATGAACTAATGAGAACATAAAAGTCGAATAATTACAGAAGTCATAATACATACATTTTTTTTTCAACCCATTTACTGTATTTCATGGCGCAATGTGGTCATCACTTCTTAACAACAGCCAGCTTGCTTCGCACAGGCACATTCTCCTGTCTTCCAACCTCGGGGAATCCCTCAACCTTGACTCCCTTGCGGAAGATAACACAATGCGTCGAGCCTCCAAAATGGAACATGCCTGTCTCCTGGCCCTTCTTTACATGATCTCCCTCCTTGACCGTAATCTCACAGGTGCTCACCTCATCCATACCGATACCGACAAATGCTAGCAATCCAATAGCCGGCTCATCCGCCTCGATGATAATGATGGCTCTCGTGGCCAGAGCGCTCAAGTACCCCTGACTCTGCGATAGTCCCGCGGACGAAATCTCCGTGGATCCGGGCTCTCCTACACCTTCGAAGAGAGGCTCGCTAAAGTACGTGCCATCCTGGACGAAAGCGCGCACGATCTTCCCGGAGACGGGAGTATGCCAGCGGTGGTAGGACAGGGCGGAGAGGAAGGCCTGGTAGATCGTTCCACCGGCGAACTTCTCAGCTAGAGGGTCATGGGCGAGCATATCAAGGATGGAGTAGGGTTGTCCCTTTGCGAAGAAGCGGTCGCGAAGCTTGACGTCGTGTTCGATGTTGTACACACGGGACTCACAACAGTTGGCGATGACAAGATCATCATCAGGAGATGCTACAGGACGAGCGTCGTCACGGATCTTGCGGGTGAAGAAGTCTAAGCTTGTTAGTAAACTGCAGGACTTCATCGACGATGAACAGATCACTTACCATCCCATGACTTGTAACCATAGTATTTAGCTGAAGAGTCGCAGATAAACATGTCTTCAAACCTCATGTCTGTACCATTCGGCTTGTTGGCAACCTCGACAAGATCATGGATGCCAGTCGGGCCAAACCAGCCTTGAGTGTGATCTCCCAAGACCTTTGCCGAGTCAGGCGTCTATAAAGAGTCGGCTTCAATCCATATATCTCGCGTATAAATGACATACCATAAGATACTTTCCCCAGTGATTGAGAACCTTTTTAAGCATCCGGTTCACATCAGGGTCCAAGAACGCAGCATAACCACTAAATACTAATCAGCCTCATCCTCACCTCTCTAGTCTGTCAGTGAAGACTCACCTGGGCGTTCCCATAGGGTAATCGAAAATAGCACAAAGTGGTACTCCAACCATCCCCACACTCTCAGCCGCATCCGTCCACTCTGGCGCCGTGCTAAAGATATGGTTCAGCACCTGCAGCATGTGCTGATAGTCGCGTAGCTGCGGTGTGCCTGTGGGATCATTGTCGTAAGGATGCTTCTGAGGGATCTCTTCAAACATCTGCACAAAGTACATATACACGCGGGGCGTCGTCTCAATGAACTCCTTGAACTCTTTGAGGACAGGGGTGAGTTCTTTGGGATTCTCATCTGCGTGTTTTGTCACGCGACGCATGTACTCCCTGTGCACACGATGGTCGGCTGGGAGCCATGCACCAGGCCTTGAAGCTTTGTTAGCTGTTATTATAGGTGAGTAGGAAGTGAGTCACTCATACTTGTGAATCCTGTGCTTTTTTGGGATATTATGGTGGTCTCCGTGTTGATGAACCATTTTTGCTGCAGTGTCTTTAGTGACAATGAGACTCAAGAACAGGTCAATTGCCAAGACAGAGATGCTCTCACTATATATAAACATTTCCTTCTCTCTCTACGTTATATCCATTACTGCTGAAATACGATTGTGCTACGTCAGCATCTCGATGATGCAAACCACTTAGACAATACTCCACCCCCGGGCATTGCCGTGCTGTAACCCCTCTTCCGACGTACCCGTTTAGTTATAAAGTGCCGTTATCCGTATTCAATTACTTGATATCTTTCGTTTGCTTTGGCAAGAATGCAAGGCGCATTGCTTTATCCAATTGTTGTGCCGATCTCCCGAACTTCCAAGGCCAATTGACAAATAAATAATGATGACGTTGTGGGCGTTCTATCTATTTTGAGACCTAAACCTCCAACTCATTATAGTTTGTATTACCTTGGAAGTTGTCGTTTAAGATTTTTCACAGTAGATATTACTCAACACCAATCAAAATGTATTCATCAAGGTTTTATCCTGGTTTGCCATTGACATGAACACTTGTACAGATAACCACTATCCAGATCGCAGATATCGTAACACAACCGCAAACCAATGTAGCATCATCATTCATCACGCATTTGGACACAATCATACTTTTAATGTTTTGTTATTCGTCCGCTTCAACTCTCAATCTCCAAAACATCCTGTCAAGATCCCCCTCGGAAGTCTGGCTATATAACAAGCACTGGCCCACGCCAGCCAGTGTTGCCAGACTCTCACTGCAAGTCTGAAGAATGTCGCCATCAAGAAACCGCCGTCTATCAATCCGCTCCGTTTGTACCCCTCCTCTTTGGGCAGAAAAATAACAGGAAACACCACTTCAGCGGCAAAGCCGCAATCAGTTACCAAAAGACAAGGCAAGAAGCTCGAACGCCGGGGGATTAAATAAGATAATGAAGGACTCCGGAAAAGACATGTGTGTGCCTTTGCTTCACCAGACTCAGGCAGCTCACCGAATGAGCCCGTCACGTCGGTGAATGCATGAACTTTCCTCTATTGGATATATGTCGTGGTGACAAGGTCGCTGCTGTCTTTTGTTCGGGTTGACGTGGAACAGATCGCTTATAAAAAATTGTTCAACAAAGGGAATGAAAGGTGCGTCGCTAACCAGGTGGTGGGCTGGTTTGGTATGATATGGTGTAACACAATGGCTGAATGTAAATAATTCGAAAAAGAAATTCGTTGCATCGTAAAGTTTTGTCAAGCACTGGCGGTAAGGAGTGGGTATTTCAAAATCGTGGTTGAATCGACAATCGACGAGACCGAGTCTACATGACCACACAGCAGCCGCAACCGCCCTTGCTGTCGTCGTCGGCAGGTTGTTGACGTTGAGGTTGTTGTTGTTGTTGCTGCTGCACAGGTTGTTCGGTGGATTGCTCCTCTTTTGGCTGTTCTTGTCCTGGCCCGTTGGGTGAAAGAGGTGCATTGGGCGACATGGGTGTCCTTGGACTTGGGAGAGGACTGTTGGTGGGCTTGTCCGAGATCCTAGGCATTGTAGAATAACCTCCAGCACGTTGTGTAGGACTCTTTGGCTCCAACTTGAGTGGCCACTCACCCCCAGCCTGGCCTTCTTCCTTCTCTTTCGAGTCGGTCTCGTCTCCGGACCTATTCTCATGGTGTTCCTTGCCCAAGGCGTTGTCGTTGAGGGGTCGGAAATCTTTGTCGTAGACATCGCCGAATTTACCCTCTTTCTCCCACTTCTCTTGCTGTAGGCGTCGCGCCACGGTTGGGAGAAGCTGCTGATCAGGAGGAAGTCGAGGATCAGGCTTGTAAGAGTTGATCATCCATGGAGGGTCACCTTCAGGTGCCTTATTCCCAGGTGACAACTCTCCAGATCGAGTTGTAGGTCGCGTGGCGTTTGAGATACTATTTCCAACAGAACCAGACCTTGTCTTTGGCCTGTTCGTTCCAGTCCCTGTCTTGGAAGGTGCAGAGGTCTTTCGTGGACCGTTCGCGTTCTTCTTGGGTGAAGGATTGTCGGTAGCGGTTCGTTTCGGTGCGGGCAAGCTACTATTATTGAAGTTGCTGTTGATCGACATGGCGTCGGAGCCCTTCATCATGTGCGCGCTGCCGGGTCGCGCCTTTTCATATGTCAAAGTCCGTTCATTTTCGGGGCTCGAGCTTGTCTTTCTCGAAGCGATGGATTCTCGCTCAAAACGATCGATACTGATGGGCACTGGACTAACCTTGGCAACCGGAATGCGAGAACCTCCCTTATGGCTGTTTGCATGGAAGTAAGCATTGTTTTCCTCCTCGGCAATCTCCTCTGGAGTTCTCAAATCCCAGGATTCGCCTCCGATCTCGGGACTTCGCGAATCGACAGCTGTGGAGTTCTTTCGAGATCTTGTCTCGGATGTATCTGTGCCTCGGCGCATAGCACTACGGCTACGGTCTCGATCGCCTCGTCGTTGCTTGCTTTGGTTACGGGATCTTGGAATGTAGATTCCTGCAGCCTGAAGCTCCTCGCTTTCTATCTTTGCCAGCTTATCACGATGGATCCATTTGGAGCCCTCATCAGGCGGTTGATCGATAGGTACAGCATTGCGGCTGTATTCGTCCTCGGTCTCATGGGGACCATACTCCTGTTCCCAAGAGCTGCCATTCAAGGCTGGGCTCGTCTGGGACTCGGCAATGTGACGACCTCCGGCACCGTCGACGGAGTTATGGAGCTTTGTACTCGAAAGATTATCGTGGGAGTTTACTTTGCGACCAACTCTATCCATACCAGAGTGGTAAGAGTTGGAGTTACCATTCTGGGTAGTGAAATGGTTCTTTTGGGAAAAGGCATGGTTGGTCATGTCGTTATCATAGTCCTAGCCAGCCAATCGTCAGCAACTTGCCCTTGCAACCTCGATAGCAGCAGACAGCATCCTGAGACGCAAAACTCCATACCTCTTTCTGGGACATGCTGTATCCCCATGAGTCTGCTTGGCCATGACTGCTGCGCGGTGGGGTAATATTCTCGGTCGAGGTCGGGGCTGGAGCCATTGTCGCCGTGTAGATGGCGCCCGCGACCGTTGAGGACTGATTTAGCGGATTGTAGGGCGGTAAAAGAAGGTATGTATTGTGATGCTGATCTAGATAGAAGGAGGAAAATGTCGTGGTCAATGACGCAGGATTTCGGAGTAGTAGCTGTTAGCCAAAGTAAAGGCAGTGTTTATAGGACGCAATCGGTACTGCGTAGATTGATCGAAGCGGCTAACGAGGGGATCCGGTAAAAGGTAAAGGGGTGGAGAGATCGTGATGAAGAAGAGATAAGATAACTTTTTGGTAGAGGGAATACTTGTTGAAGGAGAGCGTCGACGGCCAGCGATACTAACTATTGAAAGATATCGTCGTCTCTAAGATATCATTCTTTTGTGAATCGAGGCGCGTCGGGCTCCGAGAGAGCTTTACAAAGAGAAAGAGAAGGCAGGACAGGCAGACAGTCGAGACAGAAAGACAAGGACAAGGCGAGAGATTTCCCATGAGGGGGCTGGCCTGTGCTGGGGAATTAACACTGTGTTGTGCACTAACAACCTTCGCTGCACGGCCCCTCACCCGGGCGGGCTAGATCCCCTGGAAGCCCCTGTAACGGACTCAGCGAGCTCTAAGTGGACACTGACGGAAATACAGCAGAGAACGGGCAGGGATTGTCGAGCAAGTGGCTTAAGATGGGATATGAAATTTGAATGATGGAGAGACATTCTGCACAAGGCAGGTTAGAGCGTGTCTTGCGCCTGATGTTGGGTTATTGTGAAAATGGCATTTACACTGCCACTATCATGTGCATCAGCCAGCGGTGTGCTTGCTTGCTTGATGGATCTGATCGGACATTGTATCTAACCAATAGCTAGTAGAACACAAAGTGAGGAGTCATGGGAACGCCACGCTTCATGTACAATGACCATAGATCGCGGCCAGTTGTTCAAAGGCCCCTTAGTTGCCGCCGCCGTTTGTTTCATTCTGATTGCCCAATGGGCAAAATCCCAAAAGAAAGGAATGGATCATGCTATGGTGCACAGATGAATGCAAGCCAACGAGTGGAAGGGGAATAACCATGGTTTCCCCTGATGAGAATAAGCCGCGCCAGGGTCAGAAAGCCACCGGACAGGGGGGGAGAAGATGGGCTCTGGGCCAATTTGATCAAAGGAACGCCTGACCCGAATTTTTATTGCTTTTTTTTCGACTCGTCAGTGACTTTTTTTTAGTCAAAGCAAAGCAAATACCCCATACGGAAATATTCTAGCCAACGTCAGCGTTTCATGTACTCGAACACGCATCAACAACAAGTCCAAGGTCATGCTTTGCTTGGTTGTTTTATTTTTGTTTAAATCATTAAATTGCCATGCTATAGGCAGAAAACGACGTGCTTTAACTCAAACGGACGATACCGAGATTAGATTCCCTCCCACAGGCTGGACCGTTGCGCTGGGAATGGACTGTCAATCAGCTGGCCCTGTCCATCTCCCTGTTACCAGCGACAGGGGACGTATTGTAAGTTATCATCGCCTTGATTTATGCAACGCTGTTGAATTGCGCGTCAACAGGGGCCAAGTATCCGAGAAAACATAAATCTGTCAAAAAGTGACGCGGAAAGACGTCTTTCGGACTTGTTTTCCATCAAACCTGCATGAAGCTTTCTTTAATGAAGTCATTCCCAGGTTCAAAAAACAGGCAAACAGTCAGTGCGGGAAGAAACTTGGACGCCACTGAGTGAAGAGGTTGTCATTTAGGGTCCTTCTAGCGCTCAAATTAGCGGCATACAGTAACGTGCACTGTACCGTGCCTTTACAACGGTCCATACCCAACGGCACTTGTTTCTCCAACATCTCGGTTCACTTTCCCAACCTCATGTTTAAATTACGTAGCATTCTTTCTTGTCAAAAAATCATCCCTTAACTATCTACGGACAGAGTATCCGTACCTAGGTAATGTTTCGTGGTATCGGAGGATCATGTTGATGGTAACATCTTCTAGAAGCAGGAACCGTAGCATTATAGAAGCCTTCGTGATCCATCATTAGCAAACAAGCACAAGATCAGCTCTGATTGATCCACCAAATCTGCAGCCTGCACATCACCCTCGCATTACAACGGGTACAAGCGAGAGCCTCACTGGCATGGACGAGAAGATCAAGTAAAGCTCGCTCGCTATCGAAACGTGCTTCAACGGTTGCTCCCGTCGGACAGAATCTCCCTTGCAGAAGGAAAAAGAAATCAAATCGGCCACCAAATTCTGAAAAGACGATCCTTTGTCTTAGACATCAACTCCACAGGGCGCATAGCTTAGTTGCCGAGCTCGCAGATTGACTCGCTGAGTAACGCTAACCAGCGATTACACTTTCGGTTCCTCACCTTTACACAAAAGCCAACCATTTCCCTTAGGCTCAACGGCTGTGAATTAGCTTTTGACGCCATTATGACAGCATCAATGAGGAGAAGAACCAGAATCGTCTGCATCTCTGATACTCACAACTGTCAGGTCAAGCTGCCAAAGGGCGATGTCCTCATCCACGCTGGAGATTTGACAAACCAGGGGAGTCATGCTGAGGTCTGTAGTACTAACTCGAATATTCTGAACGGGCACGTACAAGACAGAAGCTGATCTCTCTTCAGCTTGCAAAGACAGTCGCTTGGTTAGAGAAGCAGGACTTTGAGGCCAAGATCGTCATCGCTGGTATGACCTCTTCAAGATCCGTGACACGGTTGAGCAGTGTCTAACGCGCCTTGCAAACTCCAGGCAACCACGATATAACTCTGGATCCGGAATTCTATGCCGAGCATGGCCTATACTTTCACAACAAGAACCCCCAGTCTCACGACGAGTGTCTGCGACTGTTCACATCTTCGCCATCGATAACGTATCTGTCCCACGGCTCAGCCAACGTTCGTCTCACATCGCCTTCAGGGCCACGTACACACTTCAAGGTCTTTGGATCGCCATATTCTCCACGCCATGGATTATGGGCATTCTACTATGATGCTCCTCAGAATCCGAGCAATTGGTCAGATCTGACGTCGATATGGGAGTCCATACCACTCGATACGGACATTGTCGTGACGCACACGCCTCCGAGAATGCATTGCGACGAAACCGATGAGCGGCGAGCTACTGGCTGCGAGGCTCTAAGGCAGGCACTCTGGCGGGTGAGGCCACAGCTTGTCGTTTGTGGCCACATTCATGATGGGAGAGGTGCTGAACGAGTGATGTGGGATCTCAGTTGTCGAAATGTTGCCTATCAGGAGGAGAGTGTCGTTCGCTGGGAAGATCCTGGTCAAGGCAATAACAAGACATGCCTGGTAGACTTGACTGGAAGGAAGACACCGTCACTAGCCAACGATGGGTCTCATCCGGGTCGATATGGGATAAATATAGGGGGCTCTGACGTAACCAACGTTTCTCGCCCTGTCGAGTCAGCAACGAGTCCATATGTATTCGGATCTGGTCCTATGGATATACATGCTTCTCATGGCACCATCGGATTAGGGGGTGAAGCCGCCTCACCACGAAGCGATCAGGCAGCTCTGTTTGGGAGGATGGGTCGTCGAGAGACGTGTGTCGTAAACGCGGCGATCATGAAGAGCCGGCATCCACATATCGGAGGAAAGCAATTCAATAAGCCTATCGTAGTTGACCTTGATCTTCCTGTCTGGGAACAGGACGGCCATATCGATGATCACTGATTCGCTCCTGACTTACCCTAGACTCAGGCATGAGTTGGTGCCCAATGAACCACGTTGGGAGAGAAGATGGCCTCAAATGAAGTTGAAGTTAACCAAGTTTTCATGTAGTCGTAGGCTATTGATGAAGCTTACTACGTTGTGACGCACCTTCTGCATTGTGCCGGATCGAGATACAACGAATTGACTGCATGTGGTGGTATTTGACGTCGTGTACCATCGTTGTTGGATGTATGTCATAGTCGAGTCCAAGAGATGAACTACAACTGTAGTGCGTGAACGTGGTCCCAATGGTCACTCGAGTATTCCCTGAGTAGATAATCGGGTATCAAATTAAACTTCGATGTGTTTTCAACATACTACGTGGTTTGATACAGTTGCAGGTATTCAGAGCCTTAGACGGTAACCTACCCTGGAGCCGGATAAATTCGTGATCAATTCGACTCTCAACACCAGACCGCCAATCAGTCAGGCAATTCATCGATTGATTCCTGCTACGACACTCATCGTAATCGCAACACCATAACTAATACATCATAGCCTCTACAGTGGAATTACAGCCCCTCCTGTTGAGACGCCAAGAAGTCAAAGAAATGCCTCCCTTGGCACATGAAACAAGGGAAACCCGTTGATAGTCATTCACGTGGCTATAGCATGAAGATCGAACAAACCTTCTTCCTTGCTCTTCGTCGTCGTCGTCCCGAGTTACAGAAAACCTCTCTAGTACCAATTCAAACAAATAACCACAACGAGGGATTTGCTTCATACTTGCGGGGAGGGCTCCGCCGAGAGAGGGGGGAAACAAGTCCAGTCTCGTCTGCTCACCGCCAGTCTTTGTCGTGATACCCTCAGCAGCCCAATAGCGTGGCTTAGTTTCCCCTTGTATTTCTGTTCTATCTTGGGAATGGCGAAGCACAAACCAAAACTTGTCTTCCCCCCTTTTCGTGTACTATTAGGTATTATTTTATACAAGGCTAGATCAGGTACGGCAGTTCCTCCATGAAACCGAGCTGTGCGATGTGTAATACGCTTCGCTTGTATGTGCATACGACCCCGCGTTTAGCGAAGGACAGGAGAAGGAAAGGAAAAAAGGGAAAAAGCAAACAAGTGCATCGGCAGAGGATGGACGAACGCTCACGGGGATGTTCCCAGTAAGAGTGCGCTTGAGGCATTTGACCGACGCGGGTTGAAGCGGCATGTTCCCTGTTCATGATTAACGCGCTTTTTATCTCGAGGGGTCATGAGTGAAATGACATCGGCATCGCCAATCGCGGGATCGTCAAAGGATATCGATATCGATCGATGTCCAGGTCCAAGTCCAAGTCC